GCCATGGAACGTCGTCGTGCAGCCGGCTGAGAAGGCGTCTTCGGAGGAGGACATCGCTGTTGCGCTCCCGGTGTGGAGTCGGAGAAGACGCGCGGCGTCAGAGGAGCTGGAGACTGCACGAGCAAGAAGATCGGACGCTGCAAAGGCCTTCGCTTACCTGCTTCCGCTGGCCAGCCGGGGTACTTTGCACGAGGATGTCAAAACCGTCCTTAGACTGCGACCACAACTCCGGTGCCCACAGCTCCACCGACAGCTACATCTCAACCCCAACAGGCGAGTCAAGATATATCATACACCCGGCCCATATTTCAATCTCAGGCATCATTGGGTTCGAGTCATCTCCACCCGGCATAACACACACATTGACACCGGGCAGCGGAATTTTTTTACGTATGGGTGGCGTAGTTTGTGGACGCAGTGTAAGAAATTGGCGCGTCGAGTGATCGCGGCGGCTGTTGGTTCCTCGGCGATATCTGGCTCTATTCAGGGAATTGAGGTTCGTGTCTTGGTGGACACGGGAGCCTCGGCCACCATTATTTCCGATGAAATTTTTTAATTGTTTCCGATGTCTGAACGACGAGTGTGACCTGTTGCAAATGCTTGTGTCGCGGCGAACGGTGGAAGCATGGGTATCATTGGGCAAGTGGAGGCCCGCATCGAAATTGGCGAAGTTGCTGTGGTCGGGCCTGTACTAATCTCGAGGACGCTGGCGGTGCCCTGCCTTTTGGGTACCGATTTTCTACGAAAAATGCCTGTTAAGATCCTGGTTGATCAGGGTTGTGTGGAAATGCTGTCAGGTCGAACATCTCCAGCGGCTGCGATCTGTTTTTGTCCGAATGCGCTCAGCCAATTTTAAACTGAAACCAGCGAAATTTCATTTGCTGCAGAATTCTGTGCGCTATTTGGGTCACATTGTTAGCGCGAATGGCATAGCCACGTATCCCGAGAAAACGGCTTGTGTGCGCGATTGGCAGACCCCCAAGTTCGTGGGAGATGTGCGCAGCTTCGTCGGCTTTGCGTCGTACTATCGCAGGTTCGTGCCGCAATTTGCCACGGTTGCTAAGCCCTTGCACGCCTTGATGGCTAAAAACCAGAGGTTCCAGTGGGGAGTGGAAGAAGAGTCTGCATTTTTAGCCCTTTGTGAGCAGTTGTCCGATGCACCCACACTCGAGTACCCTGATGTCTCTCTGCAATTTATTTTTGACACAAACGTTAGCGATACGGGCATAGGCGCCGTCTTTTCCCAAGTTAAGAACAGGGTGGAAAAAGTAGTCGTGTATGGTAGCTATGTCCTGTCCCCCGCAGAATGGCGTTATTGTGTTACTCGCAGGGAGCTGTTGGCCATGGTTTATTTCATACAACAGTACAGGCCTTACCTCTATATCAGATCATTCATTGTCTGCACGGATCACACGGCCCTTCAGTACTGCTTGAAGGTTGATCGACCTTCTGGCCAACTTTCGCGTTGGCTTGAACTTTTGCAGGAATACTCGTTCCGTGTGATATATCGAAAAGGGGCTCCGCATTGCAACGCTGACGTGTTGTCGCGGTTGCCTCAATCGGGTGTCACTCGCTGTGCATGTTCGTCTGGTGCGGACCGTTGTAAACCTCCGACGGCGAGTTCAGCTACTGTTATGGCAGCATTCGAGGACACTGAGCCCGCCAAGTTGTTTGCACCTGCGGATAGCGTTTTGCACCTTACTCGTTCTGAATGGGTTCGAGAGCAATTGGATGATAATTCCCTGACGGCCTTGCGGCGTGGTGCGGAGTTGGAACAAAAGGCTCCTGCTGACAGGCCGTGAATGGTCGTTCAGGATGACCTGCTAATGTTGAGAGAAGATATGTTATACCGTTGTCGTGTTGTTGTCCTCACTGCCCTTCGAGGTAAATTGTTTAAAGTGGTGCACGAGGATAAATTGTTGCATCTGGGGGTCTGGAAGACCTTGCTAACGTTGTAGCCTGATTATTATTGGCCGGGTATGTCAAGTGATGTGTAACACTTGGTCCAAGGGTGTACAGAGTGTGCGCGTAGGAAACCGCCGCTGAGGAAGTCGCAGCCTCCGCTGCAATCCATTTCGGTTTCACGGATTAGCAAGTTGGTAGCGCTCGATATCCTTGGGCCCTTCCCGGCCACCCAAAGAGGGCATAGATTTCTCTTGGTGGGGGTTGAGTATTTCTCACGATGGCCTATGGCTTGGCCACTGCCTGACCAGTCGGTGGCTTCGATTGCTGAGGCGTTTTTGTATGGGTACGTAATGGACAAGGGGGCCCCTGAGCAGTTGCTCACTGACCAGGGGCGGAATTTCTCGTCGAAGCTGCTGCGCGAGGTCTGCGACGCTTTGGGCACTAAGAAAATTAGAACGTCGCCATACCATCCCCAGACAGATGGGATAGTGGAGCGGCTGAATAGGACTGTGACATCCATGCTCTGTCCAGCGGTTGACACGACACAAACGGATTAGGATTTGCATGTTCCAAGTGTATTATCTGCGTATAGGATGGCCCCCCACGTTTCCACGGGATTCTCGCCGTTTTTTCTCATGTATGGGAGGGAAAATGTACCTCCTATGGATGCTTAATTGGGTTTGTCGCAGGAAAAGGGGAAATCCAAATTGCCTGTGCACGTGCGAATTACGCTGGAACGCATTTCGGCGGCTCAAGAAGCAGCCAAACTGAACGCTGCCAGAGCACAGGCAGCTAATGAGCGAAATGCGGGGAAACAGGATCACATACTGTCGTGGTACATAGGCGACAGGGCATGGTTGCATTGCCCGCAGGTGCTGGTGGGTACGTCCCCTAAGCTTCATAAGCCTTGGCAGGGTCCCGTGGAATTTATCGAGGTCAAACGGCCGCAGTGTGTGCGTGTACGGGCTGTCGCCGTTGGTTTGTCCATCCGTCTTGGTTGAAATCGTTTGTTCCTCCTCGGGCTGACTCTTCATCTCCAAAAAGTAGATGGCCGGTGTCTGTTGCGTCCGACAAGCCGGGGGTAGTGCGGGCAGAGGGCATACGTTAGAAGGATTGTATCATGCCGTCCACAGTGTCCAAGCCCATGACAGTGGATGGACTTCAAAGCCTCACCGAACAGAAAAAGTTGCCTGCTGCCGCCGAGCCTGCAGCACCTGTGAAGCCAGTGTTACCACCTACTTCTCCGGGGGTTCCGGTTGTGTGCACACCCCCTGTACAGAAGATGAAGACCGTCCCCGTTGACGGACCGGCGTTCGCGAACTCGGTCTAAATGTTTAAGATTCCGTTAATGTGAATGTCCCTGTGTGTTGTATAAGGGAGGGGGGGATTGTGCTTGGTTGCTTGAGTTGTGCTTTTTTTCTCTTCCCCCCCATCTCGTTCCCTCTCGCCATTTTCTCGTCATCCCTTGCCTTGTTATGTGTTTCTTCATTGTTCCCGCGGATTGTTCCGCTTTACTTAAGAAAAACCGGAGCAGTTGCTTGGTTCACTCTTTTATTGCTGTACTTTTACATTTTCAAGGGTATTCCTCACCTGAAATTTTGTTGGTATTAGCCGGGACGGCTATCTTTTTTTAATGAGGGGGGGGGGGGGGGGGATGGAATGACAGGGTGACACCTGCTGGCATGACAGGGTGACACCTGCTGGCATGACAGGGTGACACCTGATGGCCTGGGAAGGGATTCACGGGTACGGGGACATAAGTAACAACCAATCGGGGAAGGAGGTGTATCTGGGGCAAAGGTGGGGTTGGCCAAGATACTCCGGGAACCTGCTCGTTCCACGAGAGGGCGTGGCCGGAGGCGGGGCCTAGCCACGCCTGGGGGGATATAAGGGGGAGCGGACCCGGAGCTCGGGGCTCGTGTGTGGGGTTCTGGCTGTGTCGCTGTTCACCGACATCTCTCTGCGTCGTCCGGTCACGTGGAAGATCTCCTGCGTGGTTTCCATCGCCGTCATCGTCACGCCGCCAGTCAGCGGCGTGGCCGAGTAAGGCGAGGGGACCATGCCGAGTGATCGGCTGTGTGTGTAGCCAGTGGAGGTGTTATTACCTAGAGTTGTACTCAGTGTGAGGAGAGCAAGTGTTGGCCTGTGTTGTGCCCCGTGTGAGTAATAAAGAAGTACCCTCTATACGACGTGTCGTGGAAGCCGCTTATTACACCTGTAAACCCATATGGTTCACCCGTATGCTTGTACAGGGATTTTTTTTTATTTTTAGGTCCATACGGCATACAGCCATTTCAATATGGGCAAAAAAATTGTCTTATTTGTGTTTATCCCTTATGATGGGAAAGTGTAGGATGAACGTTGAGATTTATAAGGGCACTGGGTGACCAATAAGGTCTGAATTGGTCTGTGATAAGGTAGGCACTGATAAGGGGTTGACAGGTGTGTATTTTATATATTGTAATCAATTTTAATATCAGTCTTAATTGTGAATATCTTCATCACACACCAATAACTCAAGAGTAAATTAACATTACCGAGTCCCTGTCAGTCGATAAACATTCAAATAATTTTAATTAAAGTGATATTTTATTGGAGCTAATATAGTGTATCTCGCCAGCACGGAGTCCACCCAAATCTGAATTGGGGTTGTGCCCCGTACTCTGCATAGTCTACACACTGCTGGGCATGGCCTGCTGTGCATGTGAAGCTCGGGGTCCTGGGACCATAATTGCCTTCACTTATAATTAATAAAACGCACCTGGCTCTCCGTAGCATTTACAGCAACACAGCAGAGTGCACAATTATGTGTGATTACGGTAATCACCGGGAAGCTCACACCGGCTGCAGCTGCTATAAATTGAGCTATCATGTGTGGCCAAGTCGCTTCTGAAAAAGTGGCTGTATAGCTTAGTGGGCCTTATCTGGTAAAAAAAAAAAGTTTATAATCCCTTGTAGGTTGTCTCAATCCCACCATCAGCAACCTTTGCCTCGGGTGGGTGGACCTGGGATTGTGACGTGAACGCTGACTCCTCCCCGTGTATCCTTCCGACTGCCCGTGTCTCCCCGTGTCTTCGTGCCCATCCCGGTTCCAGAGCTGCGATCGTCATGTCCATGGAGGCGAAGTCGTGTGATGTGCTCGTGGTGGGAGCCGGGCTAAGCGGTATGGGCACATCTCGGCACATCTCCACTTCCCCTCCCCACAGTGTCTCACTCACGATGTTCGCTTTCTCCTGCAGCGATCTTTTTATCAAAGCTAACTCACACCTGTTACACATAGCCTCTTGTGCCCCATACCATTTGGTTATCTCCTTATGTACCGTGCTCAGCATTCATATCACATCCTCTCCAGTTACTTATATGAACAAAAGCTTCCGGATTATATTGAACTGATGGACTAAAACATTGTTACGTGAAGAGACGTACAGTCAGGGTGACATAGTCCAGCACCCTATGCCCACCCATGGACCTCCTAAGTGCCTTAAAAGCTACACAGCGGTCAATGTATCAACAGCTCCCCCAAACTAAAACTTGGCTTGACCCTCTTGAAAAATACTGTATTCTTGACTCGATTAGGCTTTTATGGGTTACCAATCTTAATACTCATTTTTTTTAAAATAGAATTGCGTTGGATGATTCCTGTGTGGTCTGGATGTGACACATTAGTATCGATCCTTGGAAAAAAGTGACTTCCGATTAATTACGCGAGTTCAAGCGCATTCAACTGCACACTGAATGTAACAAAAAAATCAGTTACACGTTCACTGGCTCACAAGCTTTACTGCAACTTTCCGTGTGGCCAAGTAGGGAACACTTGCCACTGCGCCAGTTTAAAGTTCACGCCATTGTGTGAGGTTTAAAGTTTAACATTATAGGCCTCCAGCAATTTGTATAAAATGACTTCTCCTTTCTGGCTGGATGGGGGGATGTTTCCAGACCCCAAGTTAAGTTTGCGAGGGTAGTCCTTTGTGTTTTAATGTAAGGCAAAAATATAAATACCTGCGATTGAAATTAACAAAATCCTCTACATAGCCATACTTCAGAATTAGAATTTGTATTTATCCTGCAGGAATCCGATGAGCTAATGAAGCTCTTTTTCACAGAGGTTCGGTAGGTATGGGACAGCAAGCAGAAGATTAGTGCTGGATACAGTCACATTCGCAAATGTGATTTGTAATTGTGATTTGTAAATGTGATCCTTACCAATGCATTGCGAATTAATTTTTGTTACGTACAATTTTATTGATTGACTGTGTGTTTGTCTTGGTGTGGTCTGGGACTGTTGTTGCTTCTGTTTTAATGCCTTTCCCAGGCTTGGGATTTGATGATGTAATTTGAACGTGCATATGTTTTTTATTTACGGGGCGCCACAGTGGAGTGATGTTGTCTTCCATGCCTGGTATGCAGGATGTTGGGGATTCGATCCTCACCCTGATGCCTGTATATTTGGAGTTTACATGTTCTCCCCGTGGTTGCATTGATTTTTTTTCTCCAGCTCCTCTGGTTTTTACCTCCACATTTAGAAACATGAATTTAGATTTTGAATATTTGTCTGCTATAAATCCAAATGACAAGCCATTTTCTTGAGCTATCATTTGTGGCCAGGTCGCTTCTGAAAAATAAGTTAATACCTCAGTGGACTTTGCCTCGGAGGATGGAGATTGTTTAGTTTTATTTGCATGTTTTTGGGTGATTTTACCTTTCTTATACTTTGCACTACTATCGTGTTTTTGTATTGTTGTTTTTAACGTTCTTACCCGCCTCCTGGACATCTGTGAAAAAGAGTTTGATAGCTCATCGGATTCCTCCAATATAAATACATATTCTGATTGTGATACATCAACAAATACAAAAAAACTATATAAAAACAAGATCGAGGAAAGGTAACCAAGTCACTAAAATAAATACATATAAATTAAAGTACAAATTGCAGAAGTACATAAATTCCTGCCGATTTGTGAACACTAAATGCAAGTTTCGATTTAAAGCTTTCGTGACTGCAATGATTAATCTTCTTTGGTTCTTTCGGTAAAGTCACGTAGAATGAGAATAAAATAATAAATTGATAAAATAAAATAACACAATAATATTCTCACGACATTTCGGCCACAACACAAGCGGCCTTCATCAGGTGAAGGGACGAGACTGCCTTTAAGCCGTGATCTGAACGTGGCTCTTTCACTCCAGCGCTGTCCTACCAGACAGTCTCGTCCCTTCACCTGATGAAGGCCGCTTGTGTTGTGGCCGAAACGTCGTGAGAATATTATTGTTATTTTATTTTATCAATTTATTATTTTACTCTCATTCTACGTGACTTTACCGAAAGAACCAAAGAAGACTAAATGCAAGCTTAGGCAAGGCAGCAAAACATCAACAAAAACAGTCCCAGACCACAAAGTCAACAGTCCCTCAATTAAATTGCAAATTCAAATGTAACCATCGATACACGGGTAAAGGTCAAAGTTACAAATCACATTTGCAAGTGTGGTTGTGTCCAGCTACAACCTTCTGCTTCATTCCTTCGACCCGGTGAGTATTTATTTGTCGGGTTTACCTCTGGACATCCCTTACATCATCCCCCCCCATCTTTGAAGGAGAGCTGTCCCCGGCTAACAACATATCACTATCAACCTTACATTTCACTCATTGCTGAATGCGGGGCCTGCAAGAGTTTAGGCCAGGCCATGGGGTGCCTGCCACGTGCCAGGTCTCCACCGCCACCCGACCTCCACCACGTTCTACGCCTGCACCCATGTTGACCAAGCTCCATGCCACTCTCCAGGAAGGGAAATACGTGTGATTGCGCGTCTAAAGTGGGGCCTTAACCCTTCTTCCACCCACCCCCCAGCACTCTCCCCTTCCTCAGCCAAGGAGAGGGGTGAGCAAGGGCACCACAGTTATAATACACCAAAACCTTGCCCATCGCTGATTTTACCACTCGTGCCAAATTTATTGAGGTACAGTTCGCGGATTGCACCCCTGTGGCTTGACCACTTACGGTTGACCACAAGATTCCTGTACAATATACATCATAATGAAGTACTGTACAAGTATTCTTAACTGCACTGCTCGCAGTGATGCTGCCGTGGAAGAACACACGCGGCATCTTGTCTCCATCTCGTCTCCCACGCAGCCCATCGTGGGTCTCAGGTCACATGATCCCATCGTCCAATGAGACAGATTCAGCCACCCGTGGTATTTCTTAATTCCTATATTATTTTTCCATTCTATACATGTGTTGAGGCGTAAATGATGACTCGGAGGCAGATCTTCGTGTAAAGGCTTGCGCCACGTTTATTAAGGGCTCATGCCAGTTGTTTTATTAAAGACCTCTCTTTGCACGACTCCGTGTACTGCACACTCACTGCCTACACTCCACACCTCAGGGGAAGGGTACTGAGGATTCCCTAGCACCCGCAGGCTACGCTAGCCTGGTGCCAATTTCCCCCTACCCCGGGGTCCCATCGCTCCCCCAGGGGAAGGGTACTGGGGAAGCCCCAAGCACCCGCAGGCTACCCTAGCCTGGTGCTAATTTCCCCCTACGCTGGGTCCCGACTTTCACCCTTCACGTTCCCGGACTCTCCAGACGACCCTGAACCTGTGACGGGTTCCAGATTAAACCCCCCAGGGGGACATGACGTCACCGTCTTGGCCCCTGTCCATGACGTCACCATCCGTGACGTTATCGTACCGGAGGGCGAGCGTGACATAACGTCACTAACTCCTACTCTACATCACCCCCCCCCCCCCCGTGAAAAAAAATCAGCCGACCCGGCTGCAACCATTACAAGAGCAGAGCCCGGCAACCCGAATGGGAAGACAACTACATCAAAAGAGTGCAAGTGACATGTGTGTGAAGAGAACAGGACCGGCTGCTAGAACATAACCCAACACTAGGGCAGCACGGTACAGGGCAACTTGGAGACGGGCCCCACACGGGACACCGGAACGTGTCCAACGAAGGCAGGGGATGAATAAACGGCCCCACTGGCCATCACCGTATCCGCTTGCCCCGCGAGCGTGTGCGTGACGCCGGCCCGCTCTTCCGTGCCGCGTCGGCGTCAGAATCGGCGGTGTGCTGGCAGATGTCCAGTCCGCCGGCCAATCCGCCAGGTGAGGCGCCGCTGGTGGAATTACTGGCGGGGCTTCTGCAGACGCACCCAAAGGCACGGCATCGCTCGCGCCATCACAACTCGTGCGGCCCGGCTCAGCGGACACAACAGACACCCGGCCCCCTGTGTAGTGGAGATGAGGGGATTCCGGCCGGCGCGAGAGACGAGAAGAACAAAATAACACAAATTCAGACGCGTCGGATGTACAACCAACGCCGCGATGAACCCAAATACAGTAGAACCTCGGAGATGGAATGCACCAGAACCCGAACAAATTGGTGTTGGAATGGCCGTCTGGAACGAATCAAGTTTGATCTCCGGGGTACAAATGTATGTTCACCTTCACCCACACAACACGGGTGGCAGGGTTCCCCGACCCCCAGCCACCGTTCCATCCACTAGACGGTGATGGAGCGAAGACGGAAGAACCGTCTAGCGCTCACTTACTGCACGACATGCACCCTAACAACGGAGGGATACAGCCTCAACGCAACTGGACAACAACGCCCGAACACCACGAATCACCAGCCCTCTGTTGCAACGCGCCTCGGAGTGTCTCGATCTCCAGGCTGGCAGGGCGAGCCTACAGCTCCAGATGCACCACGGAGGGTCTCAACCTCCGGACCGCCAGGTCAAGCCGTCAGCCGTAGCACGACGGGACCACATTCTCCGAGCCATGTGAGCACACAGCCCCCACTAGGCTATCCACAGCACGGAGTGTTTCAATCTCTGGGTGGCCAGGTCAAGCCGTCAGCCATAGCACGACGGGACCACAACTGACTTGTCAGGCACGCAACCCCCCCTGGACCATCCTGGTCAGGATCTGCGCCCCAAGAAATTTGACAGCCAGCACCACAATTCCAACACTGGCAGCATGTCACCATCTCGATTTAAATGCTCCGTACCAATGACGGCAGAGCCACAAACCAAGACAATCATCCCCCGCACAATTGCAATCTCACACCCTCACAACACATACAATTTGACATTTGCATTTCCAAATCCCCCTCAACATTTACCATGGGACTCGGGCATTCCAATTTGAGGAGCAGAAAAAAAATGTATACACAAAACGCCCAATAATCGTCGAATGTGGTAGTACAGTATATGCAGTCTGCATACAGCCAACCATCTCGAGCAATGCTCCGTACAGTCCATACACTGTTAACAATCACAGCACAGCTATACATTAACAATGATGAACAGTTTTCCACAGTCACGTTGACAACTCACAAGCGAAGCTCCATACTGTATACCTAAAACAATCGCCACTCCGCAACGGCAACCAACAGTGTCAACAAATCATAAACCCGGCAATCCACTGGATCTTAACGGAGCCTGAGACCCCCCACCTAGCCGAATTAATCATTAACTGGCTCCTTAAGATAACTCTCCCGACGCTGTAATGAACCAATAATGTAACACGCGGACACCCGACATGAACGCCACGGACAGACGCAAGTTATCAAAAGCAATTGGACGCCCCGCATACCGGCGGGAAAACAAAAAAAATAGCATTAACTCACAACCCGGTGCACGCAAGATGGATGAGGTGTCAACAGGGGCCGGTGTGTGTCGCGTCACACCTCGCCTGACAAGCTGTGACGAGCGGAAGGCGGCAGGGTGGAGCGCTGGGATTCCCCGAAGAATCTTGCCCGCCAACACGGACTCCTCCTGCGACTGCAGCCGCCACCCACGCTCGAGCAGAAGTCGGGGCGCCACTTGAAGTGTGGAGCTCAGCCTCCACAGGTGTTGACGTCGGCGGGAACGGCATTTTGGCGGGAACAGCGCCCCCGCCAAATTGGCGGGAACAGCGTTTTGGCGGGAACGGCGTCCCGGCCAGCTGCCGAAATGGCGGCCCCACCGCGGCCCCCGCATGCCCTCCGGGCCTCCCCCGCCAGCCCTCCGAAGCGACGACGGCGTCCTCTCCTCGCGGCTCCTTCCCGTGCCACAGCTGCTTCAGCAGCAGGCTGCGCACCACGTGGCACCTCCAAAATGGCCGCTCCCGACCACTGCTCCGCCGCGATGGTCACGATGGCGGCGGCCTGCCACGTGGTCACTGGAGGACCTGTAATACAGGCCGTCTCCCCAGCGCGCCCGATGTCCTTCACTGGTGCTGTAGACACACCAGCCGTGGCCGCAATAACCGGGGCCACGGAGCCTGGGGTCGTCCGGTCCCGGGTCGCCGCCTCTGCGTCATTGGAAGACGCAACAGGTGGGTTCCGCTTTTTCAAGAGCATCGCCTTGAAAAAGTCCACTTCTGACGCCAGTTGTTGAGGCGTAAATCATGACTCGGAGGCAGATCTTCGTGTAAGGGCTTGCGCCACGTTTATTAAGGGCTCACGCCAGTTGTTTTATTAAAGACCTCTCTTTGCACGACTCCGTGTACTGCACACTCCAGCGGATAGGTACCTGGGATTCCCTAGCACCTGTAGGCTACGCTAGCCTGGTGCCAATTTCCCCATACCCTGGGTTCCATCGCTCCCCCAGGGGAAGGGTACTGGGGAGATCCCTAGCACACCCACAGGCTACCCTAGCCTGGTGCTAATTTCCCCCTACCCTGGGTCCCATCGCTCCCCCAGGGGAAGGTTACTGGGGAGGTCCCTAGCACACCCACAGGCTACCCCAGGGTCCCATCACTCCCCCGGGGGAAGGGTACTGGGGAGATCCCTAGCACACCCACAGGCTACCCTAGCCTGGTGCCAATTTCCCCCTACCCTGGGTCCCGACTTTCACCCTTCACGTTCCCGGACTCTCCAGACGACCCTGAACCCGTGACGGCTTCCAGCTTAAATCCCCCAGGGGGACATGACATCACCGTCTCGCCCCCTGTCCATGACGTCACCATCCATGACGTCATCGCACCAGAGGGCGAGCGTGACATGACGTCACTAACTCCTACTCTACACATGTACTGTACAAGTTATATTTAACACTGTAAACATTAATCATATTTTACTTTAAAAAGTAGAATAACATGAAACAAAAATAGGTGGTATCGTATGACGATCCAAACCCGAGTTTGACCATTTACCTATGAGTTTGCAGATTGAGGATTTGCCAATTGCAGCTGTTTTTAAGAACGTAACCCCCGCGATGTGCAAGGGTTTGGTGTAAACCAATCGAACCAAGTGGCTCAGCGGTAGATTGAGCCGCTCGCAATCAGAAGGTTGCAAGTTAAAATCCTGGCTGGGGTTTGACTCAGCCCATCATTTCTCTGGGGTCAATAAAAACGTACAACTTTTTGGAGAAGTTGACAACAACAGTTGTCCTGTGGAAGACTTGTCATAGAAATATGGAATTTCCACCAGTGACTGAGTGCTGTAAAAACGAGATGAGCACCATCTTAACGCTAATTTGAACAGAAAATAACTTTGTTGAACTTGAGAAGTGTTGAAGATAAAGGATGTATCTTTCTCTGTGTGTGCATGTGAAGCCCTCTAATGGAACGTCTGTGCTGGTTTAACACTTTTAGCCTGGCCTGCCTGCTTACAATCCATCCTGGGTTTATCCAGGCTAGATTGTGTGAGGAGCTCACACATCCTTGGCTGGGTCATGTAGCCTGCATGCCCAGCAACCGAATGCCCAAGCAGCTTATGTTTGGCCGGATAGAGGGGGCTAAACGGGCACAGCACAGGCTGGAGAAAAGATTGACTAATGCGGTATAGGAGGATGTGGAATTGATTGTACTTGCCAAAGACTGGTACCAACAATGTCAAGATCAGCCTCTATGGAGAAGGTTCACGAAGGATGCTACTGGGTAGTTGAAGATCATCGCCCTTCAACAAAAGCCGAGGACAGGAGCAACGCTCACAATAACGAGCAGAGCGCCGGTCGGTTAAAACACAGAGTTGGCACAGTGCGGAGCATGGTGCATCTGCCAGTCATCTCAGTCAGTCAACCCATGGGACCTGAGTCTGTTCCATGATCTGTCAGCGAGCCTTCGACACTTTATGTCACCTCAAAGTACTAATACTAATACCCGCCATTTGCCACGAAGTGACAATGACGGTGACGTCACCACGGCGCCTGTGCCAGGCCAGGTGCACTTTGAGGCCACGTGAAGTATTGGAAGCCTCGCTGACAGGAGGTCTCGGGACAGACCCAGGTGCCATGGGTTGGCTGACTAAGATGACAGGTAGATGCACCAGCTGTACCCCCACTGTGCCAACTTGCTGCATTTTAGCTGCCCGGCACTCTGCTCGTTGTTGTGAGCATCGCCCCTCTGCTTTCCGTTGTTGCAGGAGGGCGACTGCCTCCAACTGCCCAGTAGCGTCCTTCACGAGCCTCCTCAATAAGGGCCGATCTTGGCACCGCTGGTACCAGTCGTCAGCAAGTCCACTCAGGTCCACATCCTCCCATACCGCCATATTAGGTGCACCTCAAAGTGCACCTCGTATGACACAAGCGCCCTGGTGACATCACCCCAACTTAGTGGCGAACGGAAGTTGTTGTGCGTGTCTGCACCAGGCTTGAGTGCAGCTCGCCTTCTCGTGGCGCGTGGCTTTTCGGTGCTTCTCCTGGAAGCAAGGGACCGTGTTGGAGGACGCACTTACACCGTGGAGGTATTGGCGCTCTTAACAAACTTTTACCAATGAACAAATCACCCAGATTGTGCTCAATCTCGATTTGTAACTTTGATCCTTACCTATATAGTATGAATAGTTAAATTATAATGTACAATTTTATTAAGGGACTGTGCATTGTCTTGGTGTGATCTGGGCCTGTTTTTGTTCATGTTTTGCTGCCTTGCCAAGCTTGAATTTGGTGTTGACAAATTGGCAGGAATTTATGTACTTATGCAATTTGCACTTATTTACTTTATTTATTTATTGTGACTTGCTTATATTTTTTGTACTCTTGTAGTGATATGAAATGTTGTCACTTTATGGTTAGCGCCAGCCACTATTTCACATGTGCTGCTGAGCACCGGGTAATGGAGGGACACGTGACTGGGAGCAGGGAGCTCCTTACTTGATATAGCAGGGACCGTGGCAGAGGGCGGGGCGAGCCCGCGCCCAGGGAAATAAAGGGGGAGCCCCGCCAAGGATCGGGGACCGTTGTGGGGATCAGCCTGGAGTCCCGCGTCTCTTCATCTTCGCTCATCATTCTTCGTTCGTCGGTTGAGTGTAGCCTGATATCGTGGGTCAGACAGTGTGTGTGCTGACTGGCCCGTTCGCTACACTAATGCGCACGCACATAGCAAACAGAAAGACACCCAGCTATAGAACCCGAGTTGTTAGGGTTGTGTTTATAAAAAGTATTGCCTCCAACTACAGTGGGTGAGACTCAGTGTATAACACACTACACTTATTGTTTTTTTTATATTGTTGTAACTTGCTGACCCACCTCTTCTGGACATCTGTGAAAGAGAGCTTCATTTATCTGACCCCTCCCCTTCCGTCCAGGTTTCCCTTTTATCCCCTTAGCCGGGGCTCCTCCCTTTTACTTGGCTCTCCTCCTTCTACCTGGCTCTCCCCCACTAGCAGACGTCTCACTCTGTCTACTTACCCTCCTCTCTAGCCCTTCTGGCACTCCCCTTTTAGCTTGGACCCCTTCCCGCGGTTGCCCCTCTTTGGGTCCCCGCAGTACTCCTCTACACATGTAATCTCATAGTAGCTGTTCCATTTTTGAAAAAAATAATGATTTCTTCGTGTTTTTTTAGGTCTAGGTTTGTGAGCACTTAAATGACTGCATCCATTTTTAAGTCACATGCTTTGTTATAGTTCAGTACAGCTAGGGATAATGGCATATGATATTTATTTCCATTGTCGAGAAGATGATTCAAATTACAGTAAACCTCACATAGCAAGACTTGATTAAGCCAGAATTCAGGGTGAGCTGTAAAGGCTTACAAGATAAGAAAATAAATAACTATTTAAAAATAGCACTGTTCACGTGCTAATTAAGTTATGCGAAGTAAAATATGGCGTACATCTCTGTTGAATCCTGTGTAGGTAATGAGGATTGAGGACTCACACGAGGCAGTCACTGCAACCTGCGATGTTGCAGGAAAGCACACTTTTGGCCACAAACACAGACACCTTGTGTCCTGGTATTCTGATATTCCAAAAGCTCAACGCAGAAGGCATAATAAAGTGTGTGCAATTAGCAAAAGAAAACTCGCCATGGCTTTTACATTGTAAATATGGCAATGCTAAAGCACATTATCTCCCACTTTCTAACAATTTTACAATTCAGATCTGCCTTGAATGCTAATGTCAAAGCCAAAAAGCCTAAATGTCTAAATGTGAAAATTAAAATAATGTATTGTCCCTCTTCTAAGATAACTATGGTGTAGTGAAACATTTGTTGGCAGCTGAGCACCGTGTAAATTCAACATTGCCATGGCAGGGATCAGTTTAGTCATTGGAAAACCAAAATGTATGTTTCACAAGGTCGCACTTGCTTTGTGGACCCTGGAAGAATAATGGGCTGTGCGCTGACTCCGCAACCCAACGTGTGCTGTTGGCCTTTGTTGGTGCTTGCTAATAGTACATTACACTCCAGTCTGTCAAACTGAACATGATGTCTGGTATTGTGTGTATATTGCGTGATGGCGACCTCCCTGCCTCACTGCCCTGGACAATTCAGGATGAGAATCTTGGTGTGACAGACCTGGGGGGCGCCTATGTGGGACCTACGCAAGACCGCATACTGGGCCTGGCCGAAGAACTTGGTGTTGCTACCTACCATGTTGATGACTCCAACAACAGCCTGGCACATCTGCATGTGGGTATCTGATCTCTGGCCTGATGTTTTCAGATTCTGCATTGACTTAGTATTTGACAAATGTCCATGTCTGTTTAAATATTCGTGCAATAATCATCCTAAATCCATTTTAATGTTTCTGCTATATATTTTTAGTTTTTCCAATGAACAGTTTTGAAAATATTTTTTCTCGAGCCAACTTGCATGAAAGGAAATGCATCTTATTTGATTTAATATTGATTTTATTTATGCAATATTTTAGATTTCTTCTATAATATGGTTGTTTTTACCCAGAATTTATGTACTTTATTTGATGTTATTGCAAGTCATTTTTTTAATATGAGAGTATCCTGGTCTCTTTGAGTTCCCACCTGGTTAAATAAACTTGTAACTTGTGGAAACAGCATTTCCACCTGCCAGCTAGTCAGTGAATGTAGCTGCAACGTGTGTTACCATGCTTTGTGCACCTCAAATTAGCAAAGTTGGCTACTTAGTGCAAAATAAGTTCAACATACACAAACTTAGTCGAGAGTATTTCATACTAGTGACTCCAAGTGTAATATTGGACATTATAGATCCTGTGGCATAATTCGAGGAACAGTAAGATATTCTGTGCCAACATCATGGTCCATATTTTCCAACCTTGTAAAATTACACCATAAATTACTTAATTGGAAAACACATAGCGGTCATCACCTCCGACTGCAAATACTGAGCAGGACCCCCTAAAAAAGTCTTGAGACTCGATGAGGCTTTCTTCAGAGTGCTATTGGTGCGGCCATGTCTTCTTTGTCACTAGGGTAAAATCCGAAGGTTCACCGGCACCATCCCCCCAACATACAATCCTGTGGCGCTGTTGGACCTGCACCGCGTGATGCGCGCCGTCGACCGCCTGGCTCGCGAGGTTCCACTCAGGGCACCATGGACCCACCCGCGTGCCCACGACCTCGACAGGATGACGGCACGAGAGTTTCTGCGCAGCCTCGCCTGGACCCGGTACACGTGCCCACAGCACGCGCACCATAACCACACGCGGCATGGCCATACAACATACACAATCTCCACCTCGCACTGTGGCAATACACCCAATTGTCTGCTTTTATATCCTGATGCTTGATAACCCATGAAAGACTCGCTGAGTCTCAAGACTCTTCTTCATAAGGGTTCTGCCAGATGTTCACAGTCAGGGCGATGTGTTATGTGTCTTCCGAAATTATTTGCAGGTAGTTTTTCATCATTGGATTATTTGGCAAATTCCTTACATTGTATGGCATTTTAGCAATGGGAAGAAACTGGAGAACCCAGAGGAAATCCTTTGCAGAACAGGAGGAGAACATATAAACTCCACACAGAAAGGCGCACGAGTCAGGAATGTAACCCAGGGCCTTATTGCTGTGAGCCACAAGTATTACCGCTGTGTCACCCTTACAGCTACGAACGGTCGGACCCTCACTCGGGTCCTGGCCACGTGTTGATGCCTTGTAGGACGTAAACTTCCAGCTTGTAGGACGTAAAGCTTCCAGCTTGTAGGACGTGGAGCTTCCAGCTTGTAGAACGAAGCAACCCCGGTCCCTCTCAGGAGAACCCAGAGGAAATCCTTTGAAAAGGAAAATAATATATAACAGGCAACGTGTTTGTCAATGGTCCTTCCTGATAGTATAAAGAACAGGCCAGAGAGACGGACTGGATAAGAGTTGGATACACGCATAATCGAGGTTTTTTGGGTTAGATATAACCAAAAAAACCTATATTATGGATGATATTGGTCGCGAAAGCATACGTGTTAAGTTGGATACACCATCGTACACCTTAAGGCCCAGATAAAAAAAACATTTGAACAATTTTGTCAGATGAATAGTCTTAAATTGGCATATGACTCTTAAAATGTATATATAATGTGTTATGCATAAAGGAATTGTATTAAAATTAAAGATATCAAAAGTTGCTTCGACATGGCATCTGGATACATTGCATTTTCAATACATGACTGTCCAACCGATATTTTTCAAATTCAGAGCTGGAGTTTACCAACGTTAAGTGGAAACATTAATTGAATGTGGTTTTGTTGAGCAGTCATTGGTAATGGGACTGCACTATCAGATGATCTCTTGCTTGGCTTGACCAGAATCTAATCATGGGTGGTTGCCCAGATTAAAACCCAGATTCCCGGCATTGCCATCTCAGCGCTCCATGGCCCCCTAAGCCACTTTGTCACTTCGTGACCCCACTTTGGTAGTTTGTAAAACTGTTACTTCATTCTTGATTTGAAGCTTTCGTAACTGCAGAAATCCATACTCTTTGGTTCTTTCGGTAAAGTCACGTAGGTAGAAAATAATAGATCACGACGTTTCGATCGCAACACAAGCAATCGTCATCAGGTGGGACACCCAAAGAGTATGTTACTTCATTATCAATTATAATTGACCAGGTAGCACCTCAGTGCTAGAACACGCGAATTGCAATTTGTACTTGTATACCTTTTTTGTGACTTGCTTACCTTTTCTCTACTTTGCACTCCTATCGTTTTCATTGTTTCTTGTTGTAATATGCTGACTTGCCCCTCATGCGCATCTGTTAAAAAGAGCTTAATAGCTCATGGGATTTCTACAGTCTAAATAAAGATATGATTCCGAAGGTTGCGAGTTAAAACCCTGTTTGCTTTGTTAACTGGGCAAGTCAACAGTGGTTGTCCTATGGAGAGACTCATCCCCACCATAGTGATGTGAATTTCCACCTCTGGCTCAGGGCTACAATCAGGGGATGAGGACCACCTCGATGCTCGTTTGAGTAGGAAATCACTAACTTCGTGGTGTTTGCTCAATGCTTTCCATGCTCCCCAGCACCACGGTGAGCTTGATGGAGATTTTGGTGCGGAACGTGTTTGCTGCGGAACCACACGAGCTGTCGGCGCTTGGTGTGATGTGGTACATCCACTCCGGCGGTGGCGTGGAGCGAGTCGCCAACATCTCAAATGGAGCCCAGGTCCTCCCAGCCACCGCCCTCCTCCCACATTTAGAGCTGAAAAGTGTTTAACTCCAATGTCTTTCAATTATTTCAGAATCAGAATGTTTATTTAGACTGGAAGAGTCCGATGTCCAGCATGAATTGTCACGATGGAGGTTCAATTTGAGTCGATTCATTAACTTTATGGTGAATGTAATGCCGTTTGGCTGCAGGACTCACATGCACCCATTACATATGTAGTGACATCGGGGATGTCACTGTATGGTGCCGGCCCGGGAGGGTCGTGGCGTGCGATGTTCCTACGTTGCGGACAGCACTGGGTGGGTTGCTGTGTGATGCCGGCTTTACTATAGCATGGCGTGCGATGCACCGTCATCGCGTACACCCCGTAGATAGGTGTAGTACCAGCCCTAGCGGGGCTTGGTGAGCGCTGGGATAGTGAAGGGCATCGTGCATAGCATGTAGTGCGGGCTCCCACAAGGGGGAGTGGAAGAGTGTCAGCCCAGGGGCAGGGTTGCCCTGGGCCATCGCACTCTAGTTCACCCCGTAGACACGTGATCCGGAGTGTCCACAGAGAGGGCCCCAGGTGGGGGGGGGGGGGCTAGGGGGTGATCATGTGTCCGGGGAGAGCTCTCAAGAGGGATCAAGAGGAAGCGAGAACGCTCGAGAAGGTGGGGGGGGGCCTGGACGGAGCCAGCCCCGACCTGGGAGGATATAAGGTGGGTCTCTGAGAGGGACCGGGGTCGCTTCGTTCTACAAGCTGGAAGCTCCACGTCCTACAAGCTGGAAGCTCTATGTGGCCAGGACCCGAGTAAGCGTCCAACCCTTCGTAGCTGTAACTCCTCCGTATAATGTAGTTAGCTGGGTGGTCACCACCCTAGGCTGTATCTGGTAAAGGGGCATTTACCCCTTTGTGTATTACGTGTTGATATCATAAATCTGTTGCCTCTAAAGAATAACGTCTGTGACTCAGTTTGGACTTACTACACATACAACATCTAGGAATACATTTGTAGAGGTATTATTATGCACTCCGCATGCTGTCAGCCGGTAGTATCCCACACGTGTGAATCGGGGGCGGTAGTGTGACTGAGCCCAGTGTCAAGGGACTATGGCCCACGGGGCCAACGGTAACCCCTATGGGATAACGGAACCTGGGACGCAGACCCCAGACCCCAGGAGGGGGGCTGGGGGATGACATCACCCTCCCAGGACCTGGTGGAAGATTCTGGAAGGAAGGCGTGGCTGGGGCGGAGCAAGCCACGGACTTGTATAAAAGCCGGACCTCTGAACGGTAGAGGAGTCGTCATCCACCTGAAGATCAAGAGCCTCCTGAAGAGAAGAGCCCAATGGGCAGAGCCTTACCCCTGGCAAGGGTCGGCTCTAAGCTATACCAGTGAAGACCAAGCTTCACTCAAGAAGGGTTAGAATAGCCAGTGAGAGGCGTATTGGGTTTAAGGGGCCGTTACTCCTTTGTGTTAGGAATTATTTGTTAATAAAAATACGTGTTGCCTCAGAGCGACTCTCCTCTAGTTATTGACCCACTACACATTTAATAAAGAAGGCAGAAAATTCAGGGTAAATCGGACCAAAATAAAATTCACGTACAACAATGTCACTCAACAAAATAAAATTATTGTTTCATGGACACAACTGGACAATATAACTAAATAAGTGAGTTGAGAGCAATTCCTGAAAGCAGTTTGGAATCAAATTTATGGAAAAAGGGTAACAACAGTAGGATGTTTTTGGAAAGCTGAATTGGACAATGAAAAGAAATGTACGATTATGCCTTTTTTGTCAATCGGTGCATATTACCTGCAGCTATCAAGATCAATCAATCAAAGATAAATACGTTATTATTGTCAAAGCCGTTTATACCATCAGACCTCATCGCCAGCGCTTTAATGGAATCACTGTCTCTTGTTCTCTGCAGAAATTTTCATCTTCCACACATTACGCTAGCTTACCCAGAAAATCATCACCGAGTCTCAAGGCTCTTTTTGAGGGTGGTCCTGCCAAGTTTTCACAGTTGGGGGTGATATTGCTATGTGTAATCCCAAACAAGTATTTTGTAGAAAATGTTTCTACATTTTGATTTAAAGCTTTCGTGACTGCAGGGATTCATATTCTTGGTTCTTTCGGTAAAGTCACGTAGAAGGGAAACAACTCCACTTTTTTAAAATGTTCTTGCTGTGGTTTTCACACCTGATGATGATTGCTTGTGTTGCAGTCGAAACGTCGTGAGAATTTTATTGTTTTATATTTTTATTATTTTATTGTTTCCCTTCTACGTGGCTTTACTGAAATAACCAAGAATATGTTTCTACATTGTTATGTTTGGCCAATACCAATCGGGCAAAACAGAGGAAATGCATGCAGAACAGGGGTTGAATATTCAAACTCCACACAGTAAAAAATCGAGCCCATGTTCTCCTTGCTGGCATGAGATTCCGACTGAACTACCCTGCCACCCTATGACATATGCGATGACGAATGACACGCGGATGTTATGACTGTCTGCGCGCAGGAGAGGAAGTTTGTGCTGGGTGCGCAGACCGTGAGCGAGCGCTTGGCAGATCGCGTGGGCAGGGACATCCTGAAGCTGAAGCACGTAGTGGCCAGTATCGTCCAGACGGACGAGGGCGTGCAGGTCACCACGGTGCAGGGGGACCGGTACAAAGTAAGATGCTTCACACTTTACACAGTACCACACTGGAGGAGCTGTCACGGTGGCAAGATGTTAACTACCTCGCCTGGTATGCAGGAGGTCGTTGGTTTAATCCCTACTCTGATGGCTGTATATTTGGAAGTTGTATGTTCTCCCTGTGGTCATGTGGATTTTTTTCCGGGTCCTCCGGTTTTTTCCTACACATTTAGAAACATGCATTTAAAGTATTTGGCTGCTATCAATTGTCACATGATAAGCAACTTGGTTGTGCTATCATTTGTGGCCAGGTTGCTTCTGAAAAAGAGCTATACAGCTCAGTGGGCCTGACCTGGTCAAATAAAATAATTAAAAACAGTTTAGTTTAAATCGTTTATCAGCAGCCATTGCCAATTCAATGAAGGCCTGCCAAATCTGCCACCACCTCACTCAATTTTGCAATGCATTATTTCACCCAGCACCCTTTGGAGGACGTACTAAATAGAATCGCGTACAAATCCATCAAATCCGTGGCAAGGCAGAATAATGACCAATCTATGAGGCCATGTAACTAAAATAAGCCAACAAGGTAGCCCATTAAGGAAGCCTTCATTGTGAATTTAACTCGTAGGTTTTCGTGACTAAATGTGCTTCATAATTGATGTTCAGGTCAGATCCTTCTTCAGCATCATCAGCAGTTGCCATAATTGTGGCAATTCTGGTTGTAACTACCAGCAAAACAACGTTCCCAATTGTTAAATGGTTTGCGATTGCTCTCTAATGCATCAGTCTCCAATCAAACACAAATATGTACCATACATGATTTTTGGATCTTCTTCTAGCATATGGGAAGTATGTTTAAATCACATGTCCAAGTTTAAGTCTGTGAGCCATGCGATAGCTTCGGGAGTAGCGCGACTGCTCACTCCACCGGAGAGCGGGCGTAGGATTCATTTGTTTGCGATATGGTGGTCCATTGTCTGATTCGAGTGGCCACAGTCACACTGCGGGTTATTTTTAATCCTCCACTTGTGGAGGAGGTGTGCGCATCGACCAGTTACTGTTTTGAAGTGGTTAATGGCGCACCATAGTTTTCTTAGCATTTCAAAGCCGTGGAGAGCAGTGGTGGGGTCGTCGATGAGGCTTTTATTTGGAACCTCCGCAGAACTCCATAGTGTTCACCAGTGGTCTTCAGTTGACCCCCGCTTCATCCAATTGTCTTGCGCAATCCCAGATTGGTTTCTGGGATCTCACATGGGTTCATGGAGGGTTGAGTAGGTCTTGGTGTAATGGTAGATGTAGACTTCCTCGGATATTTCCCAGTTGGTTTGATGTCGCGGGATTCCGGCAGAGGTTTGCTGGCACAATGTTGGCCAGAACCGGTAGCCACTCAGTGGGAGCGAATTTCAGTGTGCCCGTTATTGTTCCAAGGACACCATTGATCTGGACGTTCAATTTATTTGTGTGGGTGCTTGAAGCCCAGACTGGTGTGCAGTGCCCAGCATTGGAGTGCATGAGTGCGAGGGCTGCCATGTGGAGGGTTTTGGTGGTGGCTCCCCATGCTGTACCGGGCAATTTGCATATCATAGCCCCTCTGCTTTTAGTTTTTTCGCACACCTTTTCAAAGTGCTTTTTGAATGTGAGGCTTCTGTCTAATGTTATGCCCAAGTACTTGGGATATGGCTCGCTTTTGACAGGGTTACCACAGAAAGTCACTTCTGACTTGGCATTTATATCATAATTATTGAGATTGTGGATTGAGACAGTCGTTTTGGATGGATTCAGCCATAATCTCCACCTTTGGAAGTAGTCTTCTAATCCAGACAAGTCTTCTGTCAGTCTGTCACTAGTGGACTTCAGGTTTGTTTCCTGAGTAACCATTTCTATGTCATCTTCTTGGTTCTTTCGGTATAGTCACGTAGAAGGGAAATAATAAAAATAAAACATAATAAAATTAAATTATCACGACGTTTCGGCCACAACACCATCAGCCATCCTCAGGTGAAGAAACAGAACTGTCGGAAAGACAGCGCTCCAATGAACACTGCTAAGTTTGGCAGCGTATTTTAAGCTGGGTGGGAGGAGCAGAGCGCCTTGCCAAAAGAGTTTACATATCAACAGAAGAATTTAGCATTGAAGTAGCTATGTTAATGTGAGAGATTAGCAGGATGTTAAAGTCAGAAATTAGCATGTAACTGGGAGATTAGCATGATGTTAATGTGACGAATTAGCATGCAACTGGTCACGGAAGTAGCTGTGTTAAAGTCAGAGTTTACATATCAACAGAGACATTTAGTATATTGATGCTAAAGAACTGCAACTACCCAACTATCATACAATAAACCGATGTGAAAGAATTAAATATAAACTACATCAATATCATCAATGTACTCAATATATTCTACACTAAGCTGAGCTACTAACAATAAGTCATTATACATTACACTTCTATGTCGCTAAAATTATTATAATATGCCTCCAACTAATATTCTTATTATAAACTGCCATGGACAGACCCCAACATTGAATTATACACTGCGTTACTATACACTACCCTATACTTTAGACTATAATAATATTAGACTTGTAATATTACACTATGTATTATTCTACCAACCCTACTGTATACCACACTGCTGTATATTCACTGTACAATTACGATACTATATATTACCAAATAAATTATATTAAACATTACACTGAAAGGTACTAAGAGATTAGCAAGATGTTAAGGTGAGAAATTAGCATGTAACTGGGAGATTAGTATGATGTTACCTGTGCGTACTGCTGCTCTTTAATGTAGACTTATTTAAGCTTGATTTATTTAAGCTTATTTCTTCAATGCATTTCTATTATTTCGATTGCTCACGTCACGCTTTTTACTGATACGTAGTACTGCGATGCTGATTAATATGTTATACTGCTAAATACGTTGGACTTTCTTAGCTACAGCCCATTGCATTTCGTCTATCGTTTTGTTATATTCGTGGGAACATCATCCATTTAGATTTTGGCATACCGCACCTTTACTTTCCACCAAAGCGGGGAGCACGCAGGGAGGTTCAATGCCCCAAATATTGTTGATCTTGCTTTCTTACGGTGGGTGAGGGACATTGTTCTTCCATACCAATAAAACACCAACGCACGATTTCCTGACACTAACAGAGCATACGATGCCCTACAATAACACATTTTCCTGTCGCAAGGCCAAGATGGGTACCACGTCAACATTCCTCCAGTTACAAAGCTGCAGGACAAAGACATCCTCACAAAACTCTCTCCTCTAAATAAACTTCTATTCCTTCGTAATCATGGACAGAGGAGGAAACCGCATATTATGGTGCGTCAACCTCTTTCACCAGTATGTTGTCGATGAGTATGCCAACATTGAGAGTGAGCACCTTCTTTACATTCAACTGAATCAAAGCCGCCTGCGTGTGAACAGTATGCTCATCTCTGGGATGCCATCAATGCCAAAGGAGATGCAAACGCTCACAATGTGAGCAGATTAGTTATTTTGCCTTCATCCTTCACAGCTCCACCAAGATACATGCATGAGAAGACTCAGGATGCCATAACGTACATCAGCCAATATGCCACGCCCCATCTTTTCATCACCTTCACTTGCAATCCAAAATGAAAGGAGATCCAGGTTTACCTTTATCCAAACCAAAAACCACCAGACAGACATGACATCTTAGCGAGGATCTTAAAACTCAAAGTTTATGACCTCATGATGCTTATTGCGACCAACGAAGGCGGCGTCTTTGCATAGACAAGCAGTACCTTGCACACTATTGGGTGGCAAAAACGTCGTCTTCCTCATGCTCACATTTCGCTATGGATGAGGGAAACAATTCATGAAAGTCACATTGATACATTTATCAGTGCTGAGCTACCTCACCCCCATCAAGACCCTGCCCTTTTTACACGCTTTTATTTAACTCACTCTGTCTGTGGTTGTTGTTCTTGTCGTTGTTGTCATTGTTGTATCCTCAAATCTTGTAACTCAATTTTTACCCACTTCCCAATGTGGTATCGACTGCAAACTTGGTATATGAGTAAGGACATCCGCCACAGAGCTCAATTAGAAAATACAAACCTCGATGTCAACTTTTCTGATGTCATCTTCAAACAGGCACTCATCCTCCTTGAGGACAAACTGCACTCCATTGGTGGAAAATACCTCACGTCTATGGGACTACCAACACCCTACAGGGACAACCTGCATGCCCCTTGCTCAAGAGATCCTATGTTAAATATGCTATGATGCTTTACAGCTTCTTATATTTATTTAGGAAAACTAGCCAAATCTCATGGATGCACAAATAGAAACCACGAAAATCTTGGAAGACATTGAGACTACAAATCGAGTCTTTTTTTTCCTTGATGCACCTGCCAGTACTGGGAAGACTTTTGTTTTCAAACTGCTCCTCGCTAAGACTCGCCAGAGAGAGAGAATTGCTCTAGCTGTGGCATCATCGGGGATTGCTGTATAAGTCGATGTGTGTGTGTGAGTCCATGTGTGTGTAAGTCAATGTGTGGGCGTGGGTCCATGTGTGTGTGTCAGTCGCTGTGTGTGTTAGTCGATGTGTGTGCATGGCTCCATGTGGGTGTGTAAGTCACTGTGTGTGTCGATTTGTGTCAGTCGATGTGTGTGTGTACGGCGATGTGTGTGTGTACGTCGATGTGTGTGTGTGTGAGTCCATATGTGCGTGTGTGTTAGTCTGTGTGTGTGTGAGTCGATGTGTGTGTGTAACTCCATGTGTGTGTCTAAAGTCGATGTCTGTCTGTGTGAGTCCATATGTGTGTGTGTGTGCATGTAAGTCGATGTGTTTCTATGTGTGTGGGTCGATGTCTGTGTGTAAGTCCATGTGTGTGTCTGTCTTTTTCGCCCGGGCAGCGCCGGGTACTTCCCGCTAGTTACTTATATTCATTGATGTGTGTGATTGGTGCGATAGCCATAGTAAAAATGAAAACCATATAAGTTACAAAAATTAAAAATGTGTATAGGCGTCATTACGTGTTTGCTATGTGTCAATTAACAACCAGGAAAATGAGATTTTACAGGTGATTCCAGGTGAAATACTTAATTCATAAACATATACATAAAAGACTATTACGCATCTTATCTGTATAGGACAGCAGGGTGGCGCACTGGTAAAACTTGTGTCTCAGAGAAAGAAAGGCCTGGATTCAATTCTCCAATTGGGCGTCTTCTGTGTAGAATTTGCATGTTCTCCCCCCGTTATGTATGGATGTCCTCTGGTTTCTTCCCATTGAAAAAAAACGTACAATGTAACTGGTATTACCCAAACATCCCAATGCTGAAAGATTCCCTGCAAATTTCTCAATTGAAATTACACACAGCAGAATCATTGCCCCCTACTGTGAAACAAAATTCTTTGCAGGAGCATCCTAGGAAAAAAAGTCTAGGCACTTAGTGGGGCTTTTCTGGCTAAACAAGTGTTACAGTAATATTATTGTTGTGCTGGCCTTGAAAACACAATTCAATTTGTTTGACCATGTCACGCAGGCACATTTTGCAATCAGCGCAATCCCCACCGCTCTCATAAACAAGATGCACTTTGAGCCGGCCCTGCCGCCCCTGAGGAGCCAGCTGGTGCAGCGCATGCCGATGGGATCCATCATTAAGACCATCACCTTCTACAGCACGAGCTTCTGGAAGCAGCATGGTGAGGCCACGTCAGTAGACACTGTTTATTGTGTTTTTGCCGTGTATTTCGGTTTGGGCTGACACCATGTTACAGCAATTGTCATGAACGCAGCCTTAAGTTCAAGTTAAAATCAAGGGGGTATGACCATTATTTATTTTTACTATACTTTTGATTTAAAGCTTTCGTGACTGCAGTAATTCATATTCTTAGCTCTTTCGGTAAAGTCACGTTGAAGGGAAACAATAAAATAATAAAATATATATAAAACAATAAAAATTCTCACGACGTTTCGACCATAACACAAACGGTCGTCATCAGGTGTGTCGGTTTGCATTAATTTATTTATTTTTAAGCGGTGTATTTATTTATTTTGAAAAAAACGTCAGCGCCACGCGCAGCGATTTGGCAGTTTATTTAGAAGGACTAGTCCATCTATGTTCTGAAAAGAGGAGGGGGGAGACGAAAAATTAATGTCTGCTGTCTGAAAGCCACCGTACGCGTGAACAATCAATTAAGACCTTGAATAAACACAAGATCCAGGTCCGTTTCAACACATTACATAGAATCCGTAATCTGGTTCCGTCTGTAAAAGATGTGATTCCGGACATACAGTACCCTGGTGTCTACAAACTAAGTTACCTCTGTGGTAGTAGTTACATTGGAGAAACCAAACGCCATGTATCGGACCGCATTCGTGAACACAAAGCAGACCTTAAACACGGTAGGACCAACACCTCGGCCGTGGCAGATCATTGTTATAATTCAGTAGGCTCACATGATATTGACTTTTCCAAGACAGAGGTTCTTTGTAAGCCATCTGGCTACCATGAGAGATTCGTTCATGAGGCTATCCACATATACAAGCACAGAGACAATTTCAACCGAGAAGATGGATTCTGGCTTAGCAATCATTGGAAAGATTTGATTAACCATTTCAGGTCTTAATTGATTGTTCACGCTTACGGTGGCTTTCAGACAGCAGACATTAATTTTTCGTCTCCCCCCTCCTCTTTTCAGAACATAGATGGACTAGTCCTTCTAAATAAACTGCCAAATCGCTGCGCGTGGCGCTGACGTTTTTTAAAAATAAATAAATACACCGTTTAAAAATAAATTAATTAATGCAAACCGACACACCTGATGACGACCGTTTGTGTTATGGTCGAAACGTCGTGAGAATTTTTATTGTTTTATATATATTTTATTATTTTATTGTTTCCCTTCAACGTGACTTTACCGAAAGAGCTAAGAATATGATTTACTATACTTGTTTACCCAGGAAAGTCTTAAGACCTTTTCAGAATTAGAATCTTTATCGTGGAGAAATCCGATGAGTTATGAAGCTCATTTTCACTTATGTCCAGTATAGGCGGGTCAGCAAGTTATAACAACAAACAATACAAACAACAATAGGAGTGCAGGGTAGAGAAAAGGTAAACAAGAAGGGTCTCACTAAATTTTTGCAGTTGGGAGCACGATTGCTATGAGTTTCCCACCTAAGTAGTTTTCAGGTAATGAAAAAAATCGGCAAATTTTGACTGTGATGCCAGGACACAATGGCCTAAGCTTCTTCAAAGCATGTCACAATATTTTCACGTCTACAGTAAAACAGACGACCTTATAATATTGTGTAGGTAATTTGCCCCAAGATGGTGTTGATGGAATGCTCCCCAGTAAGTGATGCTGACTTGTGTGAATGTGATTTGTTGAAGGCTTCAATGGATCATGCATGTCCGACTCGGGCCCAATATCGTACTGCATCGACGACACGAAACCGGACGGGAAACACGCAGCCATCATGGGCTTCATCCAGGCAGACAAGGCGCGAGCCATGTGCCTCTTCAGCCCTGAGCAGAGGTGCAGTGCCGAGTGCCCATGGGTGGGCTCGCTGTGTGCATGCACCTGTGCTCCCTTGTGTCCTTGTTTGCATGTGAATTAGGGGTGGAGCGACGCCTCATCTCGGCGATCGGTATCTATTTCGGCGATCGGTATCGATTCATAGGACGATCGGTATCGATTCATAGGACTGACAAATACGCTTTGAATCGTGCGTGTGTAGTGTCAGTGATTCGGAGACAAGGTTTGTAGGCAGCACCTTTATTATCAACATTCACAGTCTCGTCCACACACTCTCCACAGTCGCTTAGCTTAGCCTGTACACAACACTAGCCGTCTAACACTAGCCGTCTAACACTGAGATAGCCAACAACTATCCTGCAACGCAATATCTAGCGAAGACGGCAGCGACGACGACGGCGACGTGACGACAGCAACGACGAGACGTGTCCACTCCCAGAACCGGCAGCTTCAAGCTCCCGCTCTCAGCTCCTTTTATCCTACCAGCGCGGCCTGGCTCCGCTCTGACTACGCCTCCCTTCTCGAACCCACGAGCAGGTTCCAGGAGCCTCCAAATGGGGTCCTCCGTGACCCTTGCCCTAGCTCCTCCATTCTGCCAACACACCCGTGGACACGTTCACCGGCGTGTGTGCTGTCTGTCCACCACAGTTGCCGCTGCTGTCCACCAGCCGGCGCTATTACGTCGTAGGAACGAGATAGAACAAAAAGATAGCCAAAAGAAGAGCCAAAAATGATAAATCCTGAAATTATCTCAGTCCTCAATTATCGGGGGGGGGGAGGTGATTAATCGTTCTACCCGTAGTATGTATACACGTGTTGTACTCTTTCATTAGCTGTCTTGTTACAGGTATGGGGCAGAGTAAATGGTAGGTGGATTTTATTTTTGACTCTCTTGATGCTTTAAGTGACAATAAACATTCGTGTTTTTTCCTTCCCAGGAGGAAAGCGGTGATTGAGCATTATGCCAACATGTTTGGGATTCCAGAGTTTTTGAAGGTACCTGGTCAACTGTTTATAAACTAGAACATAATGTGCAATGCCATATTTGTTTTGTGGCCTTTTTGTCTGTTATTGGATGGGTAATGATTTATGTCAAGTGTCTTTTACATGCGATAAGCAACTTACTGTATTTTCCCGCATATAACCCGCGGGGTATACCACTTTTTACAAACAAAACAAGACCCTGCGGGGTATATGGAGGTGCGGGCTATCCCAAAAATATTTTACACGTGTGACATTTCATAACTCGTTTAATGTTTTCATGGTAGGACTATCCACTATGCAACACTTACCTTTGACTAAAGCACTGCTGAATAAACCACACACTAAAATTGCACATGTTATCACGTTTTAAATTATTCGAATTGTTTGAAGTGGGCGCACTTTGTTTACCGTAATACTTTCAGTGGCTGTAGGGGGGTGCGAAAGTTTCAGCTGAGGCTATGGATTGGACAATGGGAAGGGCCTTAACAAGCGTCTACCAGACGCGGAATCATAATTGCCGAGTCCCTTAGGCCGCTGCTATTGGCTGAGCACTATACAGTCGCGACCATGAGCTTTGTTTCAAACTTCCAATGGCTTTGTTGCCAGGAGGCAATGGCGTTACCGTAGTGCCGCTATTGTCTGCGCAGTGCGCAATCTACCAGTGCTAAAACTGTACAGGGGTAACTACCGGTCCAGCAGCTGTAATATGATGAGGTCGAATGCTGGTAAGCGTAACAGTACGCTTACTTATCTACCAGTCATGTGTTACTTATTTATTGGATATTTACTTTTGTCACTTGTTTACTGTTTTAAGTTCACTCGTTTCCGGTTAGCTTGATTTCTTTGTGCACGTTATGATTTTAATGTTAACAATTGATAGTGGAATGTATTACAAATGTAAACTTTGTATTAATGAGGCGGATTCACTTGATGATGTGTTGTGCTTTATCATCACTGATACAGTTACTTTTTTAATAAATATTTCACCTGGGAAATCCTTTCATATGGAACAACTGATTGGAACGGTATCCAGGCCATCCGGTTTCTCATACGTAGCAAATACATAATGACGCGTATGCACACATTTTACATCTATAACTTATTAACTTTTAGTTTTAAAATCTCAACACTGCTCATTTCTATAATGTAGCACAATCACACTCTCATTCAGACACAGATCTGCTTCAACATAGAATGATCTCCCAGATGCAAAAAATGCCACCAGTCTGGAATTATTTAAACAATTAGTGGAGCATCAGGTGGTCTCAATGCGCATCTGGCCTGGAACAGGTGCCGTGATGATGTCACTGCCACTTAGTGGCGAACAGCGGGTGTTGTTGTGTGTGTTCGCTGTAATTACGAACCTGCTGACCCAGGTTTGATTCCTGCTTAAGGCCAACACCAGTGACGATTATCTGAACCAGTCCTGGGCCTCCCCTAGGTATAGGGGTACTTGGTGTGGTGTGTAAAAACATCAGCACTGGGGAGACAAAGGCGGTCGGGTGCAGTGCTGGCAACCCACCTCGTGTACCGTGCCACCCTTCATAGGTGCTCGCTAACAACACTCGCCCCAACAGACTGTTAAGTCTATATGGGGGATATTTGTCTTTGTGTGTCTATGCTTAGCCTGTGGGCTACCTCGAGAAGAACTGGATGGAGGAGGAGTTCTCAGGAGGTTGCTACGTCAGCTGTTTCCCACCGGGGGTTCTCACCAGCTATGGAAAGTATGGCATGACATCTCGTTTTTAAAAAAATCACAGCAAAGTGGTGCCTCGTTCTAAATTTAAACACGTACTTACATTGTTTATGAATGGGTGGATCATTTCAAAGTTCATCTGCACTACTTTCTGTGTTCCCTTGCCCTGCACTGTGCTCACAAACACGCATGGTCCCAGGGTGCTGAGTGAACCGTTTGGCAGGGTGTTTTTCGCTGGGACAGAGACGGCCTGGGAGTGGGCAGGCTACATGGATGGGGCGATCCGTGCTGGGGAGAGGGCAGCTCGCCAGGTCAACGCACATTGCACTCCACGCAAACTACATCAGTTGTGTTAGTGTTGTGTAGTGGGTCCAACTGAGTCGCAGACGTTGTTCCTTTTGGAGGCAACACATTTATTTGTAACACAAAGGGGTAACGGCCCCTTTACCCGTTAAATTTATTAACAGGTCCCTGCAGGGTGGGCTGGTAGGACAAGTCTCTGCGCTGTCTATTGCTGATTTTACACCCAACAGCACGAGATTTCACTTCGTTAAAGTATTGAAAGGGGACGGACGGTCGGACGGACGGATGGACACATTAATCTATTGCAGGCTGGTACACTAGTTTACAACTTCGTTCCTAATGTTCTCTACATGTCTGTTTCTGCGCAGGTATTGCATGCTCTTGGTCACATCCCTGAGGCCGCGGTTTGGGAGAACGAGCCTCCCCTGCCCTCCTACACGCCCGGCCACTCCCCCTGCCTCAGCTGTCTGCTCCCATCTGTGCAGACGGCACTCTGCGCCACAAGCGTCCTCATTGCTGGGGCCATTGCTTACTTGCTTCAGTCGGGTGCCTGACCACACGACTGGCTCCTGCTCTGCCCTGGATGCTGTGCTGTCCAGATCAAGATGTCATCATGGCCAAGTCTTTGATAACCACGACAGCTCCTTGCCACCAATGCATTATACCCTCCACCAGTTCCTGCAGTTGCTGTACAGTAGACCCACAGCCTGCCCTAATGGTATCTCACCCACCATGTGGCCTTCGGTCCTCCCCTTGGTTGCCAGACTTGTCGAGACCACTCCAATATCTATGTCGGCAATTGGCCCTCCCCCATCCCGCACGCATGTACCACCCCCTAACAGTTTCCCAAATGTGTTATCAGAGCACGTTCGAAATAAAATCAAACCTTGCTTTCTGGAAAATCACGGTTGATTTGCTGTCATGATGTCTATTTTATAACCTAGCTGATTTGGTCTAAAAAATGTTGGTTAAAAAGTGATTTGTAACATCCAACAATACTGGATGTTTCTTCCAATGTCATCTTGTTTAAGCACCCTCATATTACGTCACATTTGAATTGTGAACCTTTGCATAAGGAATGATTCACTTTGGTTGCCTTGGGTGTAACGATACATCGATTTATATCTAATTAATGTCTTCTATATGTTTATTTTCTAATGGTTTCATGTGACCCCTTCACCCAATAGATGTTGCTACATTCACCAAAATGCATTTGAAGTTGGGGTTGGTGGTTCACACAATCATTTGCTGAGACTCCCAGTCCACAGGGCTACATCGCAGCCAGTTGATGGCTGTTTATTACTGGTACCCTGCTTTATTCCCACATACTGAAGATTTTGCAAATATGCCAGTGCAAGATCCTCCTACAAAAGGTCTTGCAACTTCATGGGGCTATTCATAAAATGAGTATCACTTGCAGCTGTAAACAGAAGATGAGAACCAATGCCTCAATACTCATTTAGTGTCCTTAAAAATATTCATATAAATGCAATTTAGCTTCTAATGATATTCATAATAAGACTGTAATAGATAAACGAAGCAAATACTATTTTATGAATAATAATTGTGTAGAAGAGTATGACGACGTGACGCCATGAGCGCTGTAAAACGCGATGACGTCATGTCACGGGATATACTTAAGGGGGACCCCGTGACGAAAGGGGGGCTCGTTGTGGGAACCCGGGATGGGGAGCGTCTGAAAGGAGGTCTCTCTCCTGCTCGTGACCGGACGGTTTTGGCAGATCTCCCGTCCGGGTTCTACGAGTAGAGAGCCAAAGATATAGCCAGGGGTAGGGCTCTCAGAAGTCTGTAAGAGCCGGCTAAGGCTACGTGGGGTGCTGCTCTCCTCGGTCGGGCGGTGTTGGCTGAACCCCCATCCCGGCCCGAGTGAGAGAGCCCAAGAGATAGCCGAGGCTAGGAACAGATAGAGCCTGAGGTCCGAGGGAAGGACCGAGTGTAGGGACACCCATCTCTGGTGTAAATTGTTATCCCGTTGTTAATAAACTGGCGCAAGCACTTACCAAGAGTTGCGTCTTCGAGTCATTCTGCACTACATAACAGTGAAACAATGTTTCTCCTATCCGAATCAACAAAGCAATCTCTGCTAAAACACGACAGAGAACTCTGCTCACACCCAAACACCCGGAGTTCAATGCTGCTGAGTGGCCATTCTGTAAATTTTAACCAAAAGTACAGACAAAGTTAACATTGGCTTTAAAACTAATCCAAAAATGCCTTCTATGTTTCCCATCATAACGTTTTAATCACCTTCTGATTATACACTGATTCAACTACAGTTACCAAAACAACAGTTCAGAATCGGAATCATTCATCCCGGAGGAATCCAATAAGCTATGAAGCTCTTTTTCACATGCCCAGTAGGGGCGGGTGAAAATCGCGACAGCTGCTCGCAGCAGACGTCACAGCTGTCGCGATTTTCACCTGGAGACGGGCGCTTGTGTTGCGTGCGAAACGTGATTTATTTTATTTCCACCTACGTGACTTTACCGAAAGAACCATAGAGTAAAGAGATGCTCCATTTAATGAATAAGAGACAAGCCAAGAGGCGCCGAGTAGACACTGCATAACGACTAAACTATGTTTATATAGATAATAGTTTTTTGCCTTTTGTTTCATAATACATTTTATTTATATAACCCCTTTTGCTGATTTTTTTTTAAGTGTTACACGAACAGGACAGGTGACATGTTATCACGTAAAGCAACCATAAACACATGAAAAGACATAGGTTTACAATTTATGAGTAACACTCTATCTCCACAATATACATAGACGATAAATGTATAAACTTAAATATCTTGGGAACAGTAGCCAATCATTTGCTTTAATTGTCATATTTGAATTCAGCACATCAAAATCTATCACAAACAGCACATTTCATCTCTGAAGCAGACGTCTCAAAAATTGTAGACCAGTGAATGATCAGAGCACGGATTTTTTTTGCATGTTCAACACACGTGCGTATGGTTAATGCTCACAGGATTCCTAGCAAAAAGGTTTCTATTTGGTGTTTGAACATCTTAACACCGGTTTTATTGCCAGAAAGGGTAAAACCTATTCTTATTTTTTCAAGGACTGTACTTGTATGAAAAAGGTAAGATATATATAGACTGAAATGTTATATCCACAGCATTGCAAAGCGGGACACCGTATTCAACGTGTGCAGATTTAGCACTTTAATTTAAATCATTATCAACAATCATAATTGTAACATTTTGGCAATGAAAATAGGGATAATCATTACAGCATTTAATTCTAAATAATGATCAAGGTTCTCACCTGCTCGCATAATGTGAACATAACCATGTTGCGCTCAGCGCGTCGTAACGGGCGTGACAAAGCATGCAACAATACTATTTCCTACGATTATAATTATTTAAATAATAGCAAAAGTAGGCATGTTTGTACTTGTTGGTCTTGCGCTAAGGAAGAGGGAAACAGTGGCTGCTCCGGTGCCATGACAAGCGGCAATATAAGCGCGCCTTTCATTTTCAGCGGCTCACCAACAGCCGCTCTGATTGGACAAGACGTTTGACCTCGTAGCTGGGAATGACCATTCGTGATTTGAAATTGGGGGCAGAATGTATGAGTATTAATTATAAAAATTAAGTCAAAAACACGAATAGGCCCAGGATCGGCAGGACATGGAACGTTTTTTTTCAAGGTAAACTTGAATTGTCATGCGAGACGAGTCTGTGTAGAAAATTTCAGCTCCTTAGGCTTCATAGATCCAAAGATATTAAACATCAAATATTTGAAAGAATATAAAGACAACACAGCAAGTTCAATAAAAGTGTGTAAACACTAGCTATATAGCTCAGTGGGCTTTACCTGGTAAAATAAAAGTTTTTTTGTTTGCACTTGAGACTAATTTATTGTGGCAATTAAAACTGAAGGATGCATTGCCAGCCCTTTCCATTCCAGGGTGTGGGTATGGATGAGGTGGTCCTTAAGGGGGGTGAAGGCCATCTGGCAGGCCTCTGTCCACTGATAGGGCTTCTTAGGGGAAGTGAGTTGGGTGAGGGGGCGTGCAATCTCGCTGAATCCCTTAACAAATCGACGATAATAGGTGGCTAGCCCCAAAAATGACCTGATCTCCACCAGGTTCCTCGGCCGTGACCATTCCACTACAGCGCGTACCTTTTCCGGGTCGGTGCACACCCCTGCCTCGCTGATGCGGTGTCCGAGGTACCCTACCTCGCGCTGCGCAATATGGCACTTACGTGGCTTGAGCTTGAGATGGGCTGCTCGCAGTCGCTGGAACACCTCCCGTAACCTGGGCCAGTGCTCAGACAGGGACCTACTGAACACTATCACGTCATCCACGTAAATTAGGCACTATTCCAATTGCAAGCCTCGCATCACCAACTCCATCAACCGCTGGAACGTCGCAGGCGCGTTAGTGAGTCCGAGCAAAAGCACTCGGAACTCGAACAGTCCCATCGGGGTGGTAAATGCGGTCATGGGCCGATCCTCCTCCGCGATCCCCACCTGCCAGTACCCGGATGCTAGATCGAGGGTGGAAAAATACCGCGCCCCCGCGAGGCTGTCAAAGGTGTCGTCGATGCGGGGGATGGGGAAGGTGTTGGCGAGGGTAACCGTGTTCAGCTTTCGATAATCAACACAAAAACGGATCGACCCATCCTTTTTCGTCACCAGTACAACCGGGGCAGACCAGGGGCTCGCTGAGGGCTGGATTATTGTTATCGTGGAGCATATCCGCGACTGCCTCTTTAATCTGGGCCTGTTCGGGTGCACCCACTCGGTATGCGGGGAGTTTAATGGGTCGGGCGGCACCTGTGTCAATTTGATGCTTAACGAGGTCTGTCCGGCCCACATCCGAATCGTGCTCACTAAACACGTCGGTGTACTCCGGCAGTAACCCTCGCAGCTGATCAGCCTCCCGCTTAGGTAAATCTTCCCAGGGTACATGTAGCGCGTCAAGCAGGGGGATGACCTCTGAACTGGGAGTCGGACCAACTCGCCATGCCAGGTCCTGGTTGTCCTCGGGGCAGCAGGAGTCCTCAGCCCAGAGGGCAAACACCGAGCTGCTAGAGTGGCGTGCGTGCAGGGGGTACACTGTGGCTACTGTGGTGCACCGTCGCAGCGTTGCTGGGGTACTGTGGAGGTTCATAAACAGTCGGTCCCCGTCTGCATTTACTATCGTGGCTGACCCCACAACCCCGGACCGTGCCGCCAACTCCGGGTGAGGAGTCAGCATTACTTCACCCGATGGTCGGGTGTTTCCACCGGCACCAGCATCTCCGCGAGAGGCCCGATGGTGACGGCCGACACCAGAGTAGCGGCCACGGATGTGAAGCGGGGGCGATCCGGCTCTTGTCCCAGGAACGGAATGCGCTCCCTGCTGCCTTCCATGGTGGCACATCGCTGGCGGGGCTGTACATTTAGCCACAACTTTTCCAGGTGGTCGGTACCTTTAATATACTCGTGGCACAACATGCTCGACACGTATAATTTTTGGTCACACACCTGGTGTCCGAGACGGACCTCCAGGGTGACCCTCCCCAGCAGTCCCATCCCAGCTCCACTCACAGTGTGCAGTGCGCAGTCCGGGGCCTGTAGGCGGCCCACGTCAACCCCGACCATGTTGCAGTGTGCTGCGCTCACGAGCGATGCTACCGCCCCCGTGTCCAACAGAATCTGGGTACGCCGCCCATTTACCTGCCCTTCCACCAGCGACGTGGCCCCCATGATTCCCGCCACCAGCTCCCGCAGCCAGTCACCCGCAGTCGCCGCGTCCTTGGGTGTCGTTGTCCGTATCTGCGTGGAGGTCACTCGCTCACCATTATTATTGTCTATTTGTGTTGGGACCGTGTCGCTTGCACCCCTAGTTGGTCCGCTCTCTAGGCGGCGTTGGCGTATAACCCTGGCGCGTGGGCGATCTGGGGACAGTCTCTCACGAGATGCCCCCGATGGCCGCATAGATAACACGCCCGGGGAAGGGTGGCGGCTCCGTAGGGGGCCCCCTACCCACTCCCCCTCCCGATACGCATCTGCCCAAACTCTGACTCTAATCGGGACACCCATCCATTTATCCCCCCTACCTCGACATGGAATGTCTCCACTATAGACCGCAGTTTCTCCATATTTTGGTTTCCCTCCTCGCATATATCCCTTATGTCCGTTTGTATCTCTGCTACCCATCTCGAGGTTGTTTCACGGGGCCCCGGAGGCTCCCTCGTCCCCCCCCCCCCTTACCGTCCTGGCGAGTTCCTCCTCCTCTGGAAGAAAGCTAGCGATGGCGCACTCCCGTCCCAGCCCTCGGAACTGCGTGCGCTCTTTAGCGAGTCTCTCGCGTGCAAGTGCGCGCTCAACAAGGGCGTTAAATGGGAGGCGCACGCAGCTCACATCCGGCTGATACACACTACCTGGAGGAGGAATATTTCGCGAGGAGAGCCTAGCCTAAATCTGCCTATGAACTCAGCTACACAAACGCCCTACCAGGTACCTTGAAGCGGGACTCGCGGCGTCCCATGGACGCTGAGAGAGTCGGAGGGAGGAGAACAAGAGAAGACTTGCCCAATCATTGTGTCTCGCAGCAGCACTCGCTGGCATCACATGGATGCTGTGAACGGCTTGAAGAGGCAGGACGGGAGGGAGTGGGTCACGAGATTGTAGAAAACTGAACTGAAATCGTCCGGACCCTCCCCCCCTTTTATTCTCTAAACTTCAAAGGCCCAGGGTGATGTCATACCGCGCAGCCAATCGTGCGCTTACTTGCGCCCTCGCGCTCGTTTCCTCGTCCTTCCTCGAGTGCCGCGGAAGGGCTCTTGCGCTTTTGCCTACTCAATATGCCGCCCTCCGTCCCCTTGTATTTTTGTGTCCTTCTTGCTAAATGTTACATCCTCCATTCTCCCCTTCCAGTTGTACCTCATTGCAGTTGGCCCAGGGAACCTTTCCCTTCTGCGCCCATCACATTTAAGCCAATTTAGGGGCACCGCAATGTAACCTGTCCTGTGAGGGTCAGCCAATCTCCTGGCACCAGGAAACCGTGGGACTCTCCCTCTAGGGGCCCTTCAGATTAAAACCCAATGTGCCAGGCAATCCCCCGCTAGGACACTACGTGGGTGCAAGTGCGGCGTGTGTGCGTGTGCTCAGGGTGGGGGCCGGCAGGGGATCGCGGCGTTTGCAGAGTTGCTCCGCGGTCGTGGCACCACAGTTTTTTTGTGGGGTGACGCCACCTCACGAGGCCTCTTCACGCAATTCCAAGTTCTTGGGGGTTTCATCGGCTTGCATATCCGTTTCTTGGATTCTAGTCTTTCATTGCTTGGGTTTATGTCGCAGCGCCGTGTGTTTCACTTCAATTTCTTGGGGTTGCCTCGTGCACGTGGAGCCACGAGCGGATCAAGTGGACTGAGATGCCCTCTGTCAGGAGGTGCAGGAGATGCATTACTCCACATACCTCATCATCAGTATCATCAGCAGCAGCCATGATGAAGGCCAACCCGTTGCATTATTTCATGATCCTTTGATGCAACAATCCACCTAGCATCAGCATACGAGCAGATATCATCGCTGCATCTCCCCAGTGAACTTTCACTCAGATGCATAAATAGGACTTTGTAAGATTCTGCAAATGTGTACATAGTTGTATGGCAGTTACCCCTTTGTGTTACGTGTTGATGTTACAATAAAAGTGTTGCCTCTAAAGAACGTCTGCGACTCAGTTGGAATCACTACACATACACACCTCTATCTGGTGCTGGCGGAGACATGGCGGAGAAGCAGGCCCGAGAGAGCGGGGTTCCGTCACAGAGGGATAGAGGGGACGTACCGAGATGGAGTAGGGAAGGGGGCATGGAAAAGGGGGCCCGAAGGACACGTGACGCTGGCCCCGGTTCCGTCGAGAGAGACCGAGGAGAGAGTGTGGTCAGAGGCGGAGCGAGGCCACGCTCGGGAGGATAAGAGGGACGGGGCCGGAGCGATCGTGGTTGTCGGGGACGGGGAACTCAGGGAGCAGGTTGACTTGGGGGTCCGGGACGCATGGGTCGTCGGGGAAGTTAAGGGATAGAGACCCATTGGGGTCTAGAATAACCCCCCAGTGTTGTTAACCTGTAGCCCTGTTTAGTTGTTAATAAACCGTGGTGCCTCCAGACCTGAGTGTGTCTCTCGTGAGTCATACACTACACAAGCATTTATGGGATTTTCTAAGGTGCAAGAACTCCCAATGGCCAGCTTCATATAACATTTGGTTTGACAAGTGTAGTCGATGTGGTTGCAAATATCAACTATCGAACTCATCATACCGTGGTACCAGAGCTGAGTATACTTGCCGATGACTGGTACCGGTGGCCTCTATGGAGGAGGCTCGTGAAGGACGCTCCTGGGAAATTGGAGGCAATCGCCCTTCAACAACAGTGGAGGGCAGAGGAGCGACACTCACAGGGGGCAGAGCACGGAACGGTGAAAACGTAAGGTGGCAACAGTGAGGTGCAGAGTTGGTGCATCTGCCAGTCATCTCAGCCCATAACACCTGAATCTGACCCATGACCTGCCAGCAGCAAGCCTTCCATACGTGATGTGACCTCAAAGTTCACCGTCACTTAGCGACGAATTCCGCGTGTTGGGCGTTTCCATCGGTGTGTCACTGACCTGCAGTACAGGTGAGACAGCATGGCGAGTTGTTTTTAAAGGTGGGTGGGGGCAGTGCCGGATCATCCGAGGAGCAAAAGTAGCATATGCCACGGGCCCCGCACTTTCAAGGGCTCTGCGCTAAATATTTTCTAGCAATAAATTCTGGTTCAGTGATTCTGCACTTGCTCTTACTATAGTACTATACTGCCTTCAATTGTTATGAACGACTGGGTGTTTGAGGTTAGCGATTTATCGTATTATCTGGCTTTATAGCAAATGAAAAAATACAATAACTTTACTATGCAAGTAAAAAAATGTGTGTTTTAATATTTGTGTGTTTTTTTTAATTAACGGCTCTTTATAACATATGCTACAGGCCCCGCACGAGCTTAATCCGGCACTGGGTGGGGGTGCTTTGTGACCTGCAGCGAGCAAAACTCAAGGGAACTGCGGCGACACGAACAAAGCGATGGACCACATCGTGAACAACTGCATCATTCTGCACCCGCTGCCCGGCGGACTGGGCATTGTTTGTTGTCTCTTGTGAGCCGTCATGGCTACGTGGCTCACAAACTCCAAACGCGGGCGCGCAAATTTTACGCGAGCTTCAACGCGCGCCAAGAACGACGTCGCCACCACGGGGTCGCATCGATCCGATCCGCGTGGATCGCGAATCGCGAAATCGCGTGGCTCGGATCGTCATGGCCGGGACGTCTGCTGGGCACACTCCCTCTCGTCGTCTGTGAAGGTGTCGCTTGGTCTTTCTTCCTTACAGTCACAGAGATACAACAACAACAAACATCAACCCCCGTGTTAAAAGGCTACACGGGGCCGCGGCCGCCTTTGTCTCCCCAGTGGCGATGTTTACACAGCGCCCCAGGTGCAGTACTCATTTGAGGCTAGCGGAGGCCCAGGGCCGCTTCAAAGCAGTCGTCACCGATGATGTTGGCCCTGAGCGGGAATTGAAACTCGGACCGCCGGGTTCGCAGCGCCAGCTCGCGAATTGCCACGCTCCCCACAGTCACACATCACTCCAGTAATAACCCCCCTTGAGTCGTAGATCCCCTACAGTCACACGGCGACGGTGATCCCCGTGTCGCCACTCAAACCTCCTGCGTCCGTGTGCCCGCCTCCCAAGGATAGAACCAAAGAGTATGGATCCTTGCAGTCACGAAAGCTTCAAATCTAGAATCCCAAGAAGTCAATTTGCTGGACGCCCTCGACTCGTGAGAGTGTCCGCCAACTCGGCGACACCGCCTCCTGCCACCCTCCTCCACAGCCACGCTGGCGGTAGTGTTTGTACGATGGACAAAGCGGTCTCCGTTGCACAAGGCCTGCTCGTGTGTCCCCCAGGTCTCTCCGCGTTTCTGTAGAGCGCCAGGGACGGCGGCCGCGCTTTCTTACGGGCCTGGTCCCGGCTGGGTACGCGAAGTCGGTCCCGGCTGGGTACGCGAAGTCTGCCCCGGCGAAAGGGCCTCGCCAATCAGGGCCCCGTGTCCCACCAAAACGGTGTTGGTGTAGATCGTGTGTGTGTGTGTGTGGTCCAGGAGCTGCACACCTTGCAGACGATGGAGGACATCACGGACCTGGAGCAACACCTGCCCAGACATGTCGAGGATTACCTGCGTGCAGACTACCTGCACCCAGAGGTACCTGCTGGCTTCGGTAACTAGGTGCGGGTGGCAGCAATTTATTTGTACCGAGATCTGATTTGGGTTTTTTTTTTCCATCAACATTCTTATCGCAGTGACCTGCACAGATTTTAGACGAGACCCAGACTCGCTGAGAAATGTCCGCAGAGTTGTCTCGAATCTTGCCGACAAACTTGCAGGGTGTGATTTGTGCGGGGGGGGGTGGTGGGGGATATTTTTTAGTTTTTACAAAGTTGCTGAGCAAAGGCACAGGAACGTTAAGCTTCCAGCAACAAACTTCACCGTGAAAGTTGTAAGAGTTAACATGTTTCTTGAACATTGATTAGAGACGATTGGAGGGAATTCGAAAGTGGAGCAGTGCGAGGGACGAAGCAGCGAAGTGATGAGACGAAACCGTCTGAATTGATGCGTGAGTGATCGGATGAGTGAGTTTTGTAACCTGCAATATGGTAGTTGAATACTATTAATCGCATTAAGCAGTCTGGTAGACCCAAGTTCTCAACATGGGTGGAGCAATCAACGAGTAATGTTCACAGAAACAGTAGCCATGGTCGTAGCGATGGAAGAGTGATAAGGAGGTGACTGATCACCGGTGAGTGAGCGAGTGACTGGAGTGAATTAGTGTGCTGGATGAGTCATCACCCTGGTTGCTTTACATTGAATTATGTCAAGTGCCGCGAGGCAGGGTGCTCCACCCCAGAAATGCAAAGTGCTCCAACTTTGTCTGAACTGTGCTTGAGAATGTCAGGCGTGGTAGGGTTGCACGCGTGTCTGTCCGGGTGAGGTCTCGAAGCGACCCACCACGTCGCTCGCCCCCCTTGACAGGCTGTGCAGGCACAGGGCGCCGATGTTGCCGAGCGGCGTTTCCGCGCCGTGCTGAGGCGCCTACAGCTGCCTCCGTCGTTCACGTGCGTGCGCTACAACTCGCTCCACGTGTCGCCGGCAGAGGCAGCCTCGCTCCTCGGCAGCCACGTCCAGCAGGTTACTACGGGAACACAAGTCTCCAGACTGCCGCAGAACAAAGGGCCCACCGCAGAACAAAGGGCCCACCGCAGAACAAAGGGCCCACCGCAGAACAAAGGGCCCACCGCAGAACAAAGGGCCCACCGCATGTTAAAAACCGGTCTAGAGTTTGCTTGCGTTGAACCAATGCTGCCAAAAAATGTTGACTCCCAGAAGGCCGTATGGCTGATGGCATGTGTAAAAAATACTTATAATGTTTAATTGGGGGACAGATATGAACGTAACGTCTGCTTATTGATTGCATTATATATTATCCACAACCCTGATCATTATTTCGTGTTGTGTACGGTATTATATATAACAGAGAAGAATCCGTGCCAATACACATCTGGAATTTCATCAGCTGTGGTTCAAGCAAGCCTGACTCTGCTGATGAGACACTGAATGTTGAAACCGGTCTAGAGTTTGCTAGTTTTTAATCAATGCCGCTGAAAAAATACACTCCCAGAAGGGGGGGCTCATGGGTTGTCTAGAAAAAAATTCTAATTTTATTTGGAGAGACGTCTGGGGGGGAGGGCTATTGTCCGCTTATTCATTATGTTTCTTATATTCTCCACAATGACAATAATTATAATGTCATGTAGTATGGAGAGATACTTTAATATGCAAAATGAAGGGACTTGCATGCTAAATTGTACGTCATCAGCTACTTTCGATCCACTGCTGGATAAACGCCCCCTAAGCTGCCATCACCTCTGATGACCATGCAATGAAAACCCCTTGGAAATTAACTTCTATTTTACATCCATAATATAGTTTTTTATATATATAGTTGCTGAGCACAGGGCCCAAAGGTCCCAAAAGTCAAGTGTTCAGCAATAAACAGCACCATTAAAGTTGTAATAAACGTCACACATTTCTTCAATTGAGCAACGTTATCATAGCAGCTTGGGAAAATACACCATAGGAGGGAATTCCAAAGTAGAGCGAGGGAAGAAGCAGCAAGGCACACTACTGTGACCTGCAGTGCAGTGGTTGAACACAGTGGATGATATGTAACAGTGTGGTACACTGAGTGGCGTTCACGGGAGCAAGAACCGTAGTAGCAGTGATAAAAGAGTGGTAAGGAGGCAACCAACTGTTGCCGGGCGAGTGATGAGTAAATTAGGAAGTCCTGAAGCATCGGTCAATGTGAGAGTGTGGACCACATCCTTGTTACATGTCTATGGAATAAGAAGTGTTTGTTTTCTGGGTTGTTTGTCTATTTAAGCATGGACAGGTATGTGGAGGTGAAATCCCAGTGCTGCATCATCCACAAGTGCCAGACATTCTGCTTGTGCCTGTCTTAGAAACAAGGTGGGGTATTGTGAAACATTGCACTGCAGTCATTTTATAATTTAAATCTAAACAACACATCTTGCATATTATGGTGCTTACTTAAATGCGTCAGCAACTTAAAGCGCCTTCCATCACATCTCTCAAGCAGCTGTCCCTGTGTGGTACAGGTGACTCAGAACTGGCCTGCAAATGGTCATGAGTCTGCTCGTAGAAGACGATGATGGCTGTGTGTAATCCCATGAAGTGATTTGTGGGCATTTTTTTATTTTGACAAATTTGGACCATTATCCTGGCATACAGTGCTCTACATGTTTCAAATGACGGCACAGGATCTTTAATACTCACTGTTAAGCAGACGGTGCATATGGTATGGTCAATACAACTGCAGTATTAACCAGAGCGGCCTGCCACATTAAAACCGCATACCTCTACAACAAGCAGCGAACGCACTGCCGCTTGGCCATGTTGTCGCCCAACTTTTATATTTTGCTATTGTCTGTCACCTGTCTGTTCACATTATGCTTTGTACAAATCACTTCCTGAGACTTCTACTCTAATACCTATCTCTATCGTAACATTGAGATCTAAAGTTTGTTTTTTCATCGCTGTTACCTCCTTCGATGTTTAGCTGCATTATGTCAGAATCAATCAGAATCATGGTGTGAAGGGCAATGGTTACTTGTCTCATACATTATTTGATCAATTATTACTATGATACAATGCACACATTTTTGCCGATGTTGTAACACTTGTCACTTTGTATTTCCCGCCCACCTTTTTTCCCAAGCTCCTATACTAACCTTGCTCAATGTAAAACACGTGTAAACTCTATATCTCGGACAGCTTTTATGGTGCTGCTTTTTTTGCTGGCCGCTGGACATTTTTGCACCTTATGGTCTGTGCTCAGAAACTGGATTTTGCAAAACACAAGCAAACTTCGTACAGTCACTGTAGAAAGTGTACCATGATTTTAAGCCAAATTCACACCCCCTCTGTATTCACTAGGGTACAAAGGCCCAGAATGTCAAGCAACCAGGAATAAACAGCACCATCAAAGTTGTAATGAATAATACAGCAAGTCACTCATACTCTCATGTGTGGTTGTTTAGAGTGCAGCAAGAGCATGGACTGCCTCAGGTGGTGGTTGCGGTGGAGTGTGGGAACGCGGTGCTGCGAGGGGCCCATGTCTATGTCCCTGGAATTTTGGCAGCTCCCAAAAGTACTGAATGATATCACGTGTTTGTTTTATTATTATGAAACTATTACACCTGGAAAACCCCTTAAGATAGAACATCTCGTTTGCAAAGGTGTCCAGGCTATCAGTTGACACACACAACACACGTAATGCTACGTACACATATGCATATACACTAAACACATGTATAAAACAAAGATCCCCTTTATAGATTTGAGGCAAGTGCTATTAGCACATTTGAATGCTAACAGCACACAATGGGTGGCTGGCACCACAAACGGCCACTTTTGTCTTGCCCATGGTGATGTTTACACACCGCACCAAGCACCCATTTAAGGCTGAGTTGACCTAGGGAAGGCTCAGAAACAACAGTCGATTGGGCAGGTCGCATGTGGTTGGACCAAACCACATGTGACCTGCTGATCGAGTGTGGGTATACCTCATGGTTGCACCTTTACAGTGAGGGAAAAAAGTGTTTGATCCCCTGCTGATTTAGTACGTTTGCCCACTGACAAAGAAATGATCAGTCTATAATTTTAATGGTAGGTTTATTTGAACAGTGAGAGACAGAATAACAACAAAAAATCCAGAAAAACGTATGTCAAAAATGTTATAAATTGATTTGCATTTTAATGAGGGAAATAAGTATTTGACCCCCTCTCAATCAGAAAGATTTCTGGCTCCCAAGTGTCTTTTATATAGGTAACGAGCTGAGATTAGGAGCACACTCTTAAAGGGAGTGCTCCTAATCTCAGCTTGTTACCTGTATAAAAGACACAATCAATCAATCAGATTCCAAACTCTCCACCATGACCAAGACCAAAGAGCTCTCCACGGATGTCAGGGACAAGATTCTAAACCTACACAAGGCTGGAATGGGCCAAGCAGCTTGGTGAGAAGGTGACAACAGTTGGTGCGATTATTCGCAAATGGGAGAAACACTAAAAAGAACTGTCAATCTCCCTTGGCCTGGGGCTCCATGCAAGATCTCACCTCGTGGAGTTGCAATGATCATGAGAATGGTGAGAAATCAGCCCAGAACTACACGGGAGGATCTCTCAAGGCAGCTGGGACCATAGTCACCAAGAAAACAATTGGTAACACACTACGCCGTGAAGGACTGAAATCCTGCAGCACCCGCAAGGTCCCCCTGCTCAAGAAAGCACATATACATGCCCGTCTGAAGTTTGCCAATGAACATCTGAATGATTCAGAGGACAACTGGGTGAAAGTGTTGTGGTCAGATGAGACCAAAATGGAGCTCTTTGGCATCAACTGAACTCGCCGTGTTTGGAGGAGGAGGAATGTTGCCTATGACCCCAAGAACACCATCCCCACCGTCAAACATGGAGGTGGAAACATTATGCTTTGGGGGTGTTTTTCTGCTAAGGGGACAGGACAACTTCACCGCATCAAAGGGACGATGGATGGGGCCATGTACCGTCAAATCTTGGGTGAGAACCTCCTTCCCTCAGCCAGGGCATTGAAAATGGGTCGTGGATGGGTATTCCAGCATGACAATGACCCAGAACACATGGCCAAGGCAACAAAGGAGTGGCTCAAGAAGAAGCACAGGGTCCTGGAGTGGCCCAGCCAGTCTCCAGACCTTAATCCCATAGAAAATCTGTGGAGGGAGCTGAAGGTTCGAGTTGCCAAACGTCAGCCTCGAAACCTTAATGACTTGGTGAAGATCTGCAAAGAGGAGTGGGACAAAATCCCTCCTGAGATGTGTGCAAACCTGGTGGCCAACTACAAGAAACGTCTGACCTCTGTGATTGCCAACAAGGGTTTTGCCACCAAGTACTAAGTCATGTTTTGCAGATGGGTCAAATACTTATTTCCCCTCATTAAAATGCAAATCTATAACATTTTCGACATGCGTTTTTCTGAATTTTTTTTGTTATTCTGTCTCTCACTGTTCAAATAAACCTACCATTAAAATTGTAGACTGATCATTTCTTTGTCAGTGGGCAAACGTACAAAATCAGCAGGGGATCAAATACTTTTTTCCCTCACTGTACATTTTATTTACCCATATAATCTTTACCCCGAGGCCTATGTCACCGAGCAATTCGGACGCTCATATGATCCTTATGGCGGTACCCCGGGGTACCAAATAATACAAAATGGCCGAGGCAATTAAATATTTTATTTCTGGGACACTATTTTTTTCCAGGGGTGTACTTCACTCCGCGACTGGGGTACCAATCAATCCGAAATCAGTGCTACTCCGCCATGTCGAAACGCAGCGAGGACTATTGCGCTGAAACCCTGGAAGCTCGCACGGACTGTAGTGGTGCATCGTGCACGGCTCGTCGAGATGAGTGGATTGCCGCATCGCCGACCATCAACAGAGTAAAAATGACTGCATCACGGACATTATGCGAGGGCCGGGGTACTATGGTACCCCGGGGTACCGCCATAAGATTCATATATGGGCCAGGCACTGCACTGCATTAAAAAGTCCACACTGGAATCGATTTTACAGTTCCTAACTTTCAGAACCGGTAATCCATTGTGGAAACGGTTACCGGTTATCACTTGACAACCATAGTTATAATGTTAAATTTTGAGAAAAAAGTTTTAAGTAAATGGTTTGTTAAAATGTTTTGATCTGTCTACTATATCTTACTAGTGGTGTCTTACTGGTACAACACTCGCATTGGTCTTGTTTACAGTTTTAAGTAAATTTTGTAAAATGTTCAAATTACACCAGAATAGCTGCAATGGACACTGTAACCACCTAACAATCACAACAACAACAATTACCTATTTACCCTTGAGAGCCACACTTAATGTTGGCCAGTAACAATTACGTTTACTTAATGCGTAGGTATTTGCAGCCTATGTTATGATTCTGAATTGATATTTGAGTTAGGCCACATACTTATCTGGCCAAATTTTTGTTTGGAAACCCTCCACCACCTGACATAGTAAAAAATTAATGCGCCATAATCATCTCAGCTCACCAGTGAATTATAGAACAATTCTCACGAAGAAAATTAGATTAGTTTTGCTTGAGACTGCGTCTTGCATCATCAGGAAAATCCAGTAAGTCAGAAAAAATCGAGAAGTCATGAATTTTTTTGATTTTATTAAACAATTGTAAACGTGGAAATTTAAATTGTTTGGCTATGTTGGGTGATGTAGGGTCTTTGGACAGACATTTGGCCAGTCCTTTAGTGGTTTAACCCAAAAATAACATGTAGTCCCATTCAATTGTGCGCAGTCTCGTGCGCATGCGTTTGTCATTCCTGGCTGCTGTAGCCATGCGAGCAGGTGACCGCGTCGCCGTGTTCGTTGACATCGGTGGACAGTGCCGACGTGGAACCGTGAAGCCGTTGTGCGGACCCGTGCTGTTCGTGGGGAATGGCGTAGCCCGGTTAAGCCGGGCTCAGATATTCCTCAAAGATGGAGTCACCAGGTGAGAGATGGTTGCTAAGCACGCGCCCCAAAAATATCAAGCGACCAGCAACAAACGTCACGATTGCCATTGCTTGTAGATAAAGAGTTAACACACGTGTTTTGAGTTGAGCAACGTTATTATGAAGAAGAGACGATGGGAGGGAATTCTAAAGTGGAGCCGTGCGAGGGAAGAAGCAGGGAAGTGTTGTGACCTGCATTGCAGTTGTTGAACATAGTGGATGAGACGAGACAGTCTGGTAGCTGTGGCTGTGAAATTTACGGGAGAAGTAGGGTTCTTTGGGCTAACCACTGCCATGATAGTGCTGTTTGTTTCTGGCTACTGAGACCGCTTCAAACCTATACTGGGAATTGCTTTGTACACCTCCAGTGTTGATTCTGTCTGCATCGTTCTCTTGAATGGATATCTCCAATCTAGTTGGTGCAACGTGCTGTTATTAATAAGTCATTCATTTTGGCCAGACCAGCTCTCCCTGTGCAGCACCGGTCTGTAAGTAGGCATTAGTATACCTGTTGTGTAATGCCAATTGAGTAATTTGTGAATAATTAATTAAATTTGGCAAATTTCAACCATGACGCCGGCACACAATGGCCTACTTGTGACGTCACAGGATTTTGTTTTTAATGTCCACTGTTAAGCAATCAGCATGTGGTATTTGTGGTTAGTTCACGCCGCTGTGTTAACCAGGGCTGCCTTCCGCACTCAAACCGTGGACCTCTGCATCAAGCTTGGAACGCGCTACCGCTGGGCCATGTCACCGCCCCATGGATGCAGCAATGAGTGTGAATCCGTGTGTGCAGTGGGATCGGGGTGAGCATGACGGAGCCGCTGTACTTTAGCCCATCCTTCGAAAACCTCCCACCCAGCATCTTCTTCCCACAGGTAAATATGTTCACACACACATACACTCGTTACTTGATGAGGGTATTGCCATTCTGTGGAATAGAATTAAAATCGTTCAAATCATTATTTTTTGTTTACATTTTTGGTAACCGCAAAAATGTCTAGTAACAAACCATAATATTAAATTTTGACTTAAAACTTTCGTGACTGCAGGAATTAATATTCTTGGTTCTTTCGGTAAGTCACGTAAATAGAAAAAAACATAAAAAAATGAAAAAAGAAGATACAAAATAATAACATTTAAATTAAACATTGCAATAAATAAAATAAAAAATGTAAAATAATGAAAGCAAAAAACCCACGACGTTTTGATCGCAACACAAGCGGTCTTCATCAGGCGGAGAGAAGACCGCTTGTGTTGCGATCGAAACGTCGTGGGTTTTTTGCTTGTATTATTTTCAATATTTTATTTTCATATTTTTATTGTGGGTTTTTTGCTTTTATTATTTTGAATTTTATTTTTTATTAAAATTGAAGTATTTTTGTATTTTTTTTTCTATTTACGTGACTTTACCGAAAGAACCAAGAATAACCATAATATTGGGTACCTATTTAACTTGAGAAGTGTAATGGATAGCACAGGGAACTTAGAAACCAGAGGTTTAATTCCATCTCTCGGCACGGCAGTTGACACAACGTTGCAGGTTCCTTAAATCCCTCTTCACAGCCTCTGTCCACCTAGCAGTAGATATGGGATCACTGCAGTCAATTGGTAGGTCGCGTGTGGTGGGGTAAAGTGTGGGTACGCCCACCTCTTCGAACACATCTGGTCAATGTAGAAGAGTAGACAAAACATACCTCTAGAGTTTGCTCCATAGCAGGGGCCCTTCTGCCCACTGTATCGTGAGTGAGCAATTGTGAGGCTGCATCTTTACCGTTGAACTGAGAAATGAGGGCAAATATACCACGGGGGGCGTTTATACGGCCATGTTTGCCAATTGGTACAGTGATTACTAGAATGACACTGGAATCAATTGCCGGTTTCCTGACTCGCGGAGCTGGTAATTCGATTCTGAAATGGTGACCGGTTTAGTTGTTAACAATCCTGCTGGTCGGTATGTGCTGTGAATGTTTTCCCTCTGCTAGAACCTGCCGTGCGTGCTGGCTGGTCACGTGTTGGACGTTCGCCCTGGGCTCAGGGTTCTAGACATGTGTGCCGCACCAGGAGGGAAAACCACGCATATCGCCACACTCATGGGAGACACGGTAATGTCTTGTCTCCTGTTTATTATGGAGATCATTATTATCCTTTTCATTTGGTTCCTCCCTCACTGAGCTTGTGTTTCTACCCCTATACACTTGATGGAATTCAACATAAAGCAGTCACAGGTTGGTTGATGATCCAGCACTCCCTGATTCATTCAAGTTGCTCGCCCACTGGTGACCAATTGCCACCTTATCGCTCATCTATTGCTTCTACCATGGTTACCATTCCTGGGAACTTCATGAATTATTTCACTCATCTTGATTAGGTCAACCAGTCTGACTTTTGTCTCATCCACTACTGTTCAACCACCACCACACTGCAGAGCTCAACACTTCTCTTTCTGATTCTTCCCTCGCACAGCTCAGCTTTGGAGTTCTCTTCACATCAATTACATTTATATCGCGCCTTTCATCGATGATCTTAAAGCACTATACAACTTATTTTGCACCGTACGTAGCCAACTGTGCTTATCGGAGGTACGGGAGTTGAATAATATAATTGGAAGTGTATAAATAAATAATGTTCCTTGGTTCTCTCTTTAAAGTCACGTAGAAAGAAAAGTAAATTAAATAATGGCATGCGACGTTTCGATTGCAACACAAGCAATCATCAGGTACGAATGAATGAGAGAATCAACCTAGTAAACTTAGAAATATAATGCAATACAACACAGAGAGTCGGCTAACATAACAGTCAACACCCTACCTGGTTGATTACGTTCTTCCAAAGATTGCTAAATTTGAGAGAGTGACAAAACACAGACATACAGACACACAGACAGACACATAAGCAGAGAAAGATAACACAGAAGCACACAGAGAGAGACACACACATAGGCACACAGAGAAACAACGTCTCTGTGTCGAGGCCTTAAATAGAGAGAGGGTGGCAAAGAGAGAGGTGGGGGTGGAGAAATTAGCATGTCAATGAGAGATTTGGAGCTTTCATGACTGCAGGAAATACTAGAGCAACAACAGGAGGACACAGAGAGAGAGAAAACACTTAATCAAACAAACTTAGTAAAATTTGGAAATGTAATGCAATGCAACACAGAGAGTCGGTCAACACACAATTAACGCATAGCCTGGTTGATTACGTTCTTCCAAAGATTGCTAAATTAGAAGTTGTGTGAAATTTGAGAGAGAGACAAGACACAGACACGGAGACACAAAGACAGACACAATAATGTTGTTTGTTGCTGGCCACTTGGCATTTTGGGCCTTTGCACCGCAACTGTGTAAGTGACTCACTATGCCACACATGGAACGAGGAAGGAAAATGTTAATGTAAACGTGTGTGTGCGTGTGTAACACAGGGAGAGATAATTGCATTGGACAAGACAGCTGCCAAAGTACAGAAAATTCAGAACAATGCATCGCGGCTGAATCTTAAATCTATCCAGACATTTTGTTGTGATAGCACACAGGCCATCGCCTCTGGACCACACACCGGCAAAGGTACACAGCTTGGCAAAACGTGCAAATGAACTGTAATCTGACTGTGACATACAATTTTGCAGTGTCATCTTACCATGATTAATCCACCAGCACCTCATGGTCTTGTCATGCAACAATCCTTCCAGCACCTGCACGTGAAATGAGTCCAATGCTCTAGCTCCTCAGCGGACATCCATTCGGATGCGTTCCATTCCTTGGCTGCCACTCCGTTATTATTATTGACCATCGTCCCCTCCGACAACGTGTCCTACCCTGTGGGCTTCTAAGTTGCCATCTGGTTTGCCATGCAAGTATAGCAAGTGGATTAATTTCCATCCGTACGGGGATTTTCACCGCCCATTGCATGCATGGGTTTTCTCCGGTTGTTCCTGCTTCCTCCCACTTGTATAAAACTCATAAATGGAGTTGGCCAAACATCCCAATATAGGGCCACAGAGCTTGGGCAATTGGCGATGCTGGTCCTGGTTACCTTCCTCTTGTCTGGTTTCCCACACTTCTGTGCGAAATCTGCACGTTTCAAATCCTGCAGCAGCATTTTGAGATGCGATTTGCATGAGTGACGCTACATACAAACATAATGTGCTTGCTGTGGTGGGTAGGTCACCCACCGTTCCCCGAGGAGTATTTTGACAGGGTGCTGCTGGATGCTCCATGCAGTGCGCTGGGGAAGCGGCCCTGCCTAGGCTTCCCTGCCTCCCTGCGTCAGCTGCAGTCGTATGCTCCCCTCCAGCGCAAACTTCTGGCCGCGGTAATTGTTGCAGCTGCTCGAGATGTGCAAACCACCCACGTTGAGAACTCGGTCTCCGAGACTGAATGTTTCGTCTCATCCACACTCTGTTCAGCTACCACACTACACATCAACACGCCCATTCAATCAACCACTCACCAATTCACTCACCCACTGAATTACGACACTGCAGGTTATGACACTACACACTGGCCCACTTCAGAATTCCCTCCCATTGTCTCTTTTCCCAAAAAACCCGTTAACTTTTATTTATTACAATTTTGATAATACTGTTTGTTGCTGACCGTTTCACATTTTGGCCCTTTCTGTGCAGAGAAATTGTATTTTAAAAAATGTCAGCCACATTGTCGACTGTTATTGTGTCTGTCTCTCAGGCAGTGGCGTTATTGCGGCCAGGAGGGGTCCTTCTCTACACCACATGCTCCGTGGCATCTGCTGAAAATGAACGTCAGGTTGCCTGGGCATTGAGGACCTTTCCTCAGCTGCACCTCGTCGCTCAGGTAGTTTGCATGTAATCCTTTGTCTTCTTCTGACGTACAGCTGGATTCTGCGTGAACAGCTAAACTTGGATGTCAAGGGGCTGTGAAGTGTACGATGGCCATATTGATGTGTATAGGAGTATTCTGAGCTCTGTTTACATTTGGTTCTTTCCAGGAGCCTCACCTGGGTGGTCAGGGTCTGCCAGGAGCTGGTCTGGACCCTCAGCATCTGCGTCTGCTGCAACGTTTTGACCCTGGCAGTGAAACAGAGGATGGAGTCTGTGGGGTCTCAACCACTCCCCGGGCCCCCCATAATCTTGACCGTGCCATCACCGACACAATTGGCTTCTTCATGGCAAAGTTTACCAAACTGCCCATTTCCCCACAGTCGTTAATATAACTTAGGAGGCTTTTTTAGTCTTCTTCCCTGACATTCACAAAAATATGTAACTGTTATTTTGCCAAACGCAGGATACTGGACTGACCCGGTAAATCAGCAGTATATAGCGGGTGGCTCGCAATCAGAACGTTGCGAATTCAATTTCTGGTTGGGGGTTGATTCAGCCCATCATCCAACTGAGGTCGGTAAAATAGTTACCATTTTGTAGGGAAGTCAACAGTGGCAATCCTATTGATAGACTCACCCTTGCTTTAGGAATGTATAATTCCCACCACTGGCTCAGGGCTGTAAACAGGAGATCAGAACTGTCGCTTTGAATGAAAAATCACTTTGACTTTTTAACTTGCAGAAACACTGGTCTGTACATTTTTTTTTTCAATAAAGAACATTTAAATGCAATGCCATAATAAGAGGTGTGAGATTAATACTGAACATGTTTATTTTTATACGTACACTTACAACCTGCAGATTCTATGGACCTGACTGTCCGTCCCATTGGACATGATGTCCTGCCAGCCAGCAAAACTTTTTTCTCATAATGTTTCATGAGCAGGATGCCCATGAAATAGAGCCTGCCAGCTCATTGGGCTCTTTTTGCTGAAATGAATCAAACGTATCTCTATCTAAACAGGTTGGTGTTGGTCCACCACTGTCATGCATTTCCCTACAGACACTGATCCTGGAAGTGGGGACATGTTATACCCACATCACACAAAAGGGGGGTATGGTCCATGGACCAGCAGTTGGAGCACAAGTAACATATCTGTCCTTCCACGTAAAAAGTACTTTTTACTCATCCAATTGGTGACACGACCTTCCCTCTGGGAGAGCATAATTCAGCAGCATTGATTTAAGACAAGCAAACTGGGCCGGTCTCATCAGCAGAGTGAGGCTTGCTTGAACCGCAAGGAAACTCTGTTAGATAAATAGCATAACACTTAACAGTCTTACAAATCTGCATCCATTGAGAAACTTCTGCAGATCTGTAAACTTGCGGCAAGGACAGTTCATGAGAGACTAGCCCTGTTCATTTGCTTTAGATAAATGTTCTTGCTCATAACTGTCCAGTTTCAAGTTTTATTTTGATTAACCAGGTAAGAGCTCAAGATACAATGAGTCGTATTTGCAAGAGGTACCTGGGTCACCAAATGACAAGCAATAACATAAAAACAAAGTACAGTACTGCAATGAAGCAATTAGAATCGGATCAAAGACAACTACATTACAGATGAAGTTGAAAATAGTACACACAAATATTAAATACTATATTTCCTGTAACGAAACTCGGCTCGGACAATTTGATTTTAAAAACCATAGCAAAGTTCAGTTACAGAAACATGAAAATGGGATTATAGTAACTTGCACCAGTGTGTAAACATAGAGGGACGTGTGTCAAATACAAGTGCAAGTGAAGTTATCGCACAGAATCGACAGCTCAGCATCAAACTGTGACTCAGACGGCAGAATATTCCAGGATACTTTTTAAGCGATGGATTCCAATTGTTTTAGACACGAACAGAGACCGAGCGAGAACCGTGTCAATGTTTTGTCCTGGCTACAGTGCACTTTAATGTTTTGGAGTGACTCAGCTTTTGAGGGTTTCGGTCCTTTGGTCCCTATGAGAGGTGAGAGGCAGTCGGTAAGTGGCCTGGCTGTTGCACGTGGCTGTGTACGTTTCAATGGTCATGGTGCCCGTGCGATTGGTGTTTTCTTTGTCGGCGGTGATCGTCCCTTTGTTGACTCCCCTTTTCTCCCGTTCTCTCTTCTCTGACGCTGCCCACCTTGACGTGGCCGTGCTTTGGCCGTTCTTCACACGAGTTCTGTGAACTCTTCTTATGTGCCGCCAGGCCCTTTACAATTTTCGAGGCATGCACTGGCTCGCAGGTCTCCTCGCCGTGACCCCCTCGCTCCGTCATCTTGTGGTAGTGGTTGGCGTGTCGCCGGGGGCTCGGCGGTGTCGTTGTGTGCTCCCTGCTTGTTTGCTGTTCATGCTGGTTTGGAGGATATGGAGCCTGTGACATTTAACATTCGTTTCAGTGACGCTGGAAACTTAGGGTTGTTAATCAGTCATCGTTATCAGAGTCCATTACCAGTTTGAAATGTTAGGAGCCACTAATTTATTTAAGTTAAAAGTGAATCAGATTCACCGAGTGGCACGTGGGAGCGTACAAACCGCATGGCGTCGAAGTCACCACGTGGTGCATTTGTCCTTGTTTCCCAGTTAAAGGTGCAGCCCTGCAATCGCCGGCTCACGCCATTGCTGGCAGAAAGGTCTCCACTGGCGTGAGTTCTAGAGGGTATTTGGTCTACTCGTCAATGCTGGCCAGACATCTTGGGAATAGGTGGGTGTACCCACACTTAACCTCACCACACGCAAATTGCCGACAATGGGCTAACTGCGGAGTACCAATTTGTACTGCTGGGTGAACAGGGGCGGTGGAGTGGGGATTAAAAAACTTGCACCACAGTCAACTACTGCGCCGGGAGATAGCGTCGAACCGTCCGTTGTGCCTCTAGCCATTACCCCACGGCAACTCGTTACCCTCCATGGAGAATTGCCACCACTGGCTCAGGGCTGAAAACAATGCTCATTGAGCTGGAAAAATAAATTTGAATATGCATGGAAAGCCACGAGATTATAATTCTGTTAATGCAGAGAGTGACTCGCATGCATACTTACCACAGAGTGCTCGGGGTTAGACGGAGGTGGCATTGAGACTGGTATAGCCGCAACGGCAGCAGGGGTGCCGCTACCGCAAGTGGGGTGTGCAGCCCGCCAGTACATCTCCAAAAAATCAGCCAAGTGCTCGCAAGCCTCATCCAACTGGTTCTCATCCAGAATTAAGTCAAAGAGGTCCTAGCCATCAAACGGAGAAAGGAGTATCTTGTCACATCAATATAGGTCCCCAAACCTATTTCTTCATCACTCTATTTTAAGATTGTGTTACACTAACGTATCTGATTTTAAAATTATATCCTTACTGAAGGTTAAAAATAAAGTTGTTTAAACTTTTGACTTAAAGCATTCGTGACTGCAGGAATTCATATTCTTTGGGTCTTTCGGTAAAGTCACGTAGATAGGTTCAAAGAAAATAACAAAAAACTACGACGTTTCGTTCGCAACACAAGCAGTCGTCATCAGGACGATGGCGACCGTTTGTGTTGCGATGACGACCATTTGTGTTGCGATCGAAACGTAGTTTTTTGTTATTTTCTTTGAACCTATCTACATGACTTTACCGAAAGACCCAAATAATTTGTTTAAACTGTCACTGTGCATCAACAAATGTATGAATTTTTTGCTGTTGAATTGTATTGGTGTTCAAAATTGCTGCCATTTGAGTACAGGTGCCAGAGGCAGATGCTGGGAGTTTCGTGGAAAGTCAGGATAAGCAGAACAGTTGTCCAGAATAGAACGTGACAGGTGAGTGTTGTAGATGTGATAGAATACAGCTGTGCTGAGTGGGTCATGTGTGCAGTATTGTGTGTGTGTGTGACGTGACGTGTCGTACACACCGAAGGACACTGTGCGAGTTTCTCTGCAGCAACCATCTGCATGTTGAGGTACTTGCTCTGGGTCTTTCCCCGTGACTTTATGAGCCTGTGCAGCACCTGACATGAACACAACGAAGCTACTCCAGCGAGCAATGGGCGACCACGTTCGGGTGGCAGGAATTTATTTCTACCGATATCTGGTGGTACTGTTGTGGTACTTGGCAGCACAGGGAGAGAGGTATTGGAGACAGCACATTACCTTGGGAGATGATATTTTGACGTAGACCAGCATGGGTGCGAGGCTGGAGTGTGCGAGCTGAGCCGGATGATTGATGGTGTCAGCATCCAGCACCACGAGCTGGAGGGTGCGAGCTAGCTCAAAGATTCGTTCAACCTCCCCCTGAACTTCAGCTGATGAAAGCAGAGAGCGGATGGTCACTGACACGCGGCAAAACTACACACCTTGTTTTTACACTACAGTAATTTATTACTTAAAATTATCTTGAGCGTTGTTGTGGAGAAATATTTATTAAAACAAAATAAATAAGCGGACCATCTGCCTCTCCCAATTTATGTTCTTCCCCGTAGAAATGTTTACACATCTCATCAGCCAAACGACCCTCTGGGAATGCGTGCTTTCTTCAGCATTGGTTGAATACATGCAAATTCTGGACCAGATTTTACATTCAGTGTCTCAGAATTGTCAGGCTTGCTTGAACCTATGTTGGTGACCTGCCAGCAGTATCTTTAATATACACACAATTAAGCAGTTTAACACGTAAGCTTTCGCGACCAATATCCATAATAGAGGTGTTTAGGTTAATTCGTGTAAATATATAAATGTGTCGTTAAAACCCGCCACCACCCGACACAGCCAACTAGTAAGGGTTGTCACGTAAACAGAACGTGCCAATTCGTCACTCGTACAGCACAGCAGTGTGTTGGAGAGCCAAGCCACAACAGTTACAATCTGATTGACGTTTCGCCAGTAATTACAACTAGCTTCATCAGGCGACAGCCAGATTTGTGGAGAAGTCTTACTATTTCGTTCTTTATATAGAGGCGTAGATGTGGTGACCACACTTGTGCGCTCTTGCGCAAAGTGGGGAGGGGGAGGAGGATTACCGAGTCAACGTACTTTATGCATGTGCATTATGCGAGCCCTTTGATCTTGTCCTTCCTGTCTTTTGTGTTTATTAAAATAGCCTACCAACAATTAAGCAGCTAGATTGCAATTTCATATACAAAAAATGTGAAGAATGTTTTTCAGTGTAATAAACAGTCTGCCACCTTTACATACCTTGCACATCTGTGTTGAGGGTTAGCAGGCCACACACACATACGGTGGGAAATAGAAACGAAATCTGGCATTAGTTTAGTTACAGACTCGTGCAATAATCACCCTAAATCTGCTGTCATGTTTCCGTTATTTATTTTTAATATGAATTTGTTAGAGCCATAATTCAATTTATTATTTTAATATTGTTTACGTTTATGTGGCATTTACTTCTGTAACGTGGTTGTTTTAGCTTTGATTTCTATTTGCTTCTTTGCGGTACGAGTCTTTTTTTAATTCAACTGTGGTATCTTGAGTTCTCACCTGGTTAAACAATATAAACTACAATATAAACTAGAATATAAACTAGAATATAAACTAGAATATGAGCCAAGAAATTTAATTATTGCCTTGGATTGCTAAATTTTGTTCTTTCCTTGACTGCAATTCCTTAGGTCACTGTTTTGTGTGTACGAGTATACGTGCACGTGTGTGATGTGCACGTGTGTGATTCGTACGTACGCAGCCATATTTTCTATCATTACAACCTGCGGTGGAGCACACAGTTCCTACCTTACTGCATCGGATAGAGTTCAGAGTGAGGCAGTCGGGGGGGTTTGATGAGCCAGCACTTTTTCGATTTAAAGCTTTCGTGACTGCAATGATTCATCTTCTTTGGTTCTTTCGGTAAAGTCACCAGACAGTCTCGTCTCTTCACCTGATGAAGGCCGCTTGTGTTGTGGCCGAAACGTCGTGAGAATATTATTGTGTTATTTTATTTTATCAATTTATTATTTTATTCTCATTCTACGTGACTTTACCGAAAGAACCAAAGAAGATGAGCCAGCACTTGTTGCTTCACTCCAGTCACTCAATAATCAGTGGTCAGTCGCCGCCTTATCATTCTTCTATCACTATTTCCATGGTTACTGTTCCTGTGAACTTCATTCATTATTTTTCGATTTAAAGCTTTCGTGACTGCAATGATTCATCTTCTTTGGTTCTTTCGGTAAAGTCACGTAGAATGAGAATAAAATAATAAATTGATAAAATAAAATAACACAATAATATTCTCACGACGTTTCGGCCACAACACAAGCGGCCTTCATCAGGTGAAGGGGGCAAGACTGTCTGGTAGGACAGCACTGGAGTGAGAGAGCCACGTTCAGATCACGGCTTTTAAGCTGTGTGAGAGGAACAAAGAGCCTTAGAGTCGCGGCATCTCTTCAGAAAGGTGAGAGACTCGATTAGTTGAGCCTTCTTATCCCGAAGTCTGTTGAATGATCTTAAGGATGTGTGGAATCCCTCCCCGTAGAGGCGGTTAAATTTCGATTTAAAGCTTTCGTGACTGCAATGATTCATCTTCTTTGGTTCTTTCGGTAAAGTCACGTAGAATGAGAATAAAATAATAAATTGATAAAATAAAATAACACAATAATATTCTCACGACGTTTCGGCCACAACACAAGCGGCCTTCATCAGGTGAAGGGGGCGAGACTGTCTGGTAGGACAGCGCTGGAGTGAGAGAGCCACGTTCAGATCACGGCTTTTAAGCTGTGTGAGAGGAACAACGAGCCTTAGAGTCGCGGCATCTCTTCAGAAAGGTGAGAGACTCGATTAGTTGAGCCTTCTTATCCCGAAGTCTGTTGAATGATCTTAAGGATGTGTGGAATCCCTCCCCGTAGAGGCGGTTAAATTTCGATTTAAAGCTTTCGTGACTGCAATGATTCATCTTCTTTGGTTCTTTCGGTAAAGTCACGTAGAATGAGAATAAAATAATAAATTGATAAAATAAAATAACACAATAATATTCTCACGACGTTTCGGCCACAACACAAGCGGCCTTCATCAGGTGAAGGGGGCGAGACTGTCTGGTAGGACAGCGCTGGAGTGAGAGAGCCACGTTCAGATCACGGCTTTTAAGCTGTGTGAGAGGAACAAAGAGCCTTAGAGTCGCGGCATCTCTTCAGAAAGGTGAGAGACTCGATTAGTTGAGCCTTCTTATCCCGAAGTCTGTTGAATGATCTTAAGGATGTGTGGAATCCCTCCCCGTAGAGGCGGTTAAATTTCGATTTAAAGCTTTCGTGACTGCAATGATTCATCTTCTTTGGTTCTTTCGGTAAAGTCACGTAGAATGAGAATAAAATAATAAATTGATAAAATAAAATAACACAATAATATTCTCACGACGTTTCGGCCACAACACAAGCGGCCTTCATCAGGTGAAGGGGGCGAGACTGTCTGGTAGGACAGCGCTGGAGTGAGAGAGCCACGTTCAGATCACGGCTTTTAAGCTGTGTGAGAGGAACAAAGAGCCTTAGAGTCGCGGCATCTCTTCAGAAAGGTGAGAGACTCGATTAGTTGAGCCTTCTTATCCCGAAGTCTGTTGAATGATCTTAAGGATGTGTGGAATCCCTCCCCGTAGAGGCGGTTAAATTTCGATTTAAAGCTTTCGTGACTGCAATGATTCATCTTCTTTGGTTCTTTCGGTAAAGTCACGTAGAATGAGAATAAAATAATAAATTGATAAAATAAAATAACACAATAATATTCTCACGACGTTTTGGCCACAACACAAGCGGCCTTCATCAGGTGAAGGGGGCGAGACTGTCTGGTAGGACAGCGCTGGAATGAGAGAGCCACGTTCAGATCACGGCTTTTAAGCTGTGTGAGAGGAACAAAGAGCCTTAGAGTCGCGGCATCTCTTCAGAAAGGTGAGAGACTCGATTAGTTGAGCCTTCTTATCCCGAAGTCTGTTGAATGATCTTAAGGATGTGTGGAATCCCTCCCCGTAGAGGCGGTTAAATTTCGATTTAAAGCTTTCGTGACTGCAATGATTCATCTTCTTTGGTTCTTTCGGTAAAGTCACGTAGCATGAGAATAAAATAATAAATTGATAAAATAAAATAACACAATAATATTCTCACGACGTTTCGGCCACAACACAAGCGGCCTTCATCAGGTGAAGGGGAAGAGACTGTCTGGTAGGACAGCGCTGGAGTGAGAGAGCCACGTTCAGATCACGGCTTTTAAGCTGTGTGAGAGGAACAAAGAGCCTTAGAGTCGCGGCATCTCTTCAGAAAGGTGAGAGACTCGATTAGTTGAGCCTTCTTATCCCGAAGTCTGTTGAATGATCTTAAGGATGTGTGGAATCCCTCCCCGTAGAGGCGGTTAAATTTCGATTTAAAGCTTTCGTGACTGCAATGATTCATCTTCTTTGGTTCTTTCGGTAAAGTCACGTAGAATGAGAATAAAATAATAAATTGATAAAATAAAATAACACAATAATATTCTCACGACGTTTCGGCCACAACACAAGCGGCCTTCATCAGGTGAAGGGGGCGAGACTGTCTGGTAGGACAGCGCTGGAGTGAGAGAGCCACGTTCAGATCACGGCTTTTAAGCTGTGTGAGAGGAACAAAGAGCCTTAGAGTCGCGGCATCTCTTCAGAAAGGTGAGAGACTCGATTAGTTGAGCCTTCTTATCCCGAAGTATGTTGAATGATCTTAAGGATGTGTGGAATCCCTCCCCGTAGAGGCGGTTAAATTTCGATTTAAAGCTTTCGTGACTGCAATGATTCATCTTCTTTGGTTCTTTCGGTAAAGTCACGTAGAATGAGAATAAAATAATAAATTGATAAAATAAAATAACAATAATATTCTCACGACGTTTCGGCCACAACACAAGCGGCCTTCATCGGGTGAAGGGGGCGAGACTGTCTGGTAGGACAGCGCTGGAGTGAGAGAGCCACGTTCAGATCACGGCTTTTAAGCTGTGTGAGAGGAACAAAGAGGCTTAGAGTCGCGGCATCTCTTCAGAAAGGTGAGAGACTCGATTAGTTGAGCCTTCTTATCCCGAAGTCTGTTGAATGATCTTAAGGATGTGTGGAATCCCTCCCCGTAGAGGCGGTTAAATTTCGATTTAAAGCTTTCGTGACTGCAATGGTTCATCTTCTTTGGTTCTTTCGGCTCAACTAATCGAGTCTTTCACCTTTCTGAAGAGATGCCGCGACTCTAAGCCTCTTTGTTCCTCTCACACAGCTTAAAAGCCGTGATCTGAACGTGGCTCTCTCACTCCAGCGCTGTCCTACCAGACAGTCTCGCCCCCTTCACCTGATGAAGGCCGCTTGTGTTGTGGCCGAAACGTCGTGAGAATATTATTGTGTTATTTTATTTTATCAATTTATTATTTTATTCTCATTCTACGTGACTTTACCGAAAGAACCAAAGAAGATGAATCATTGCAGTCACGAAAGCTTTAAATCGAAATTTAACCGCCTCTACGGGGAGGGATTCCACACATCCTTAAGATCATTCAACAGACTTCGGGATAAGAAGGCTCAACTAATCGAGTCTCTCACCTTTCTGAAGAGATGCCGCGACTCTAAGGCTCTTTGTTCCTCTCACACAGCTTAAAAGCCGTGATCTGAACGTGGCTCTCTCACTCCAGCGCTGTCCTACCAGACAGTCTCGCCCCCTTCACCTGATGAAGGCCGCTTGTGTTGTGGCCGAAACGTCGTGAGAATATTATTGTGTTATTTTATTTTATCAATTTATTATTTTATTCTCATTCTACGTGACTTTACCGAAAGAACCAAAGAAGATGAATCATTGCAGTCACGAAAGCTTTAAATCGAAATTTAACCGCCTCTACGGGGAGGGATTCCACACATCCTTAAGATCATTCAACAGACTTCGGGATAAGAAGGCTCAACTAATCGAGTCTCTCACCTTTCTGAAGAGATGCCGCGACTCTAAGGCTCTTTGTTCCTCTCACACAGCTTAAAAGCCGTGATCTGAACGTGGCTCTCTCACTCCAGCGCTGTCCTACCAGACAGTCTCGCCCCCTTCACCTGATGAAGGCCGCTTGTGTTGTGGCCGAAACGTCGTGAGAATATTATTGTGTTATTTTATTTTATCAATTTATTATTTTATTCTCATTCTACGTGACTTTACCGAAAGAACCAAAGAAGGGTTCATTCATTATTGTTTCCCTTCTACGTGACTTTACCGAAAGAACCAAGAATATGAATCCCTGCAGTCACGAAAGCTTTAAATAAAAATTTGACTGCCATACTGTTTTGTCTCATTCATACTGTGTTCAACCACCACACTGCAGTTCCAAACAACGCTCACCCACCAACTCACGCACTCCCCACTCAACATCCACACACACTGCAGGTCACAACGCTTCTCTTTCAGCTTCTTTCCTCGTACTGCTCCACTTTGGAATTCCCTCCCATCGTCGATTTTCCCAAGTCTTAATAATAACCTTGCTGAATTCAAGAAACTTGTTTAATCTTCCCTTTAACAACTTTGAAAGTGATCTTTGTTGCTGGCCAATTGATGTTTTGGGCCTTTGGACCTATGCTAGGATTGCCACCTGTCCTACAAATTACATCTGTGTTTGGGTGGCAGGAATTGAATTATACCGATATTTGGAGGTAATGTGTTGAACTTTTATCACAGTAGACCGTACAGTTTTTATATACCTGAGCTAAATGAGAAATATGTCCAGGTTTGTTCTTTGGAAAAGATGGAGGCCCTTGCCTGTGCTCGGCGATTTGGTGCACAGACACGTGGTTAGCACGCTGCACTACAAACCCGGTGAACCGAATTCAATTCCCGCTCATGGCCAACACGTCATGATAATCTGAACTGGTCCTGGGCCTCCCCTAGGTCGACAGCCTCAAATTAGTACCTGGTGCGGTATGTAAACATCACCACTGGAGAGGCAAAGGCATGGTGATGGCCATCCACCCCCTCGTATGCCGTGCCAGCCTTCATAGGTGCTCACTAACAGCACTTGCTACAACAGTCTGTTACAGGAATGTAATAATAGGGTTTTCCCCTTTTTTCTGGCAACAAAACTGAAACCTTTTTACAAGGATTCCTGTCTGCATTAACCACAATACCTGCAGTCAAAATGCAAACAAAAAACATACTATGATAATATATGCATTGTCCTTGAAACTGATTGGTCCACACCAAGGGACGGCTTTCTTTTGAGCCTCGACCCAATTGGTGCTCGACCAGATGACGCCAAAAGGCGTACAGCTCAAAGGCAATGCACTATCAAAGTAATGAGGGCTCGGGGTGAGTATCTACATCATTAGACCTCCTTTGCCAGTATGCCTTTTGGCGTCATCTGGTCGAGCACCACCAATTGGGTCGAGGCTCAAAAGAAAGCCGTCCCTTGGTGTGGACCAATCAGTTTCAAGGACAATGCATATATTATCATAGTGTGTTTTTTGTTTGCATTTTGACTGCAGGTATTGCGGTTAATGCAGACAGGAATCCTTGTAAAAAGGTTTCAGTTTTGTTGCCAGAAAAAAGGGGAAAAACCCTATTATTATATTTTGGTACTGGCAAAGGAGGTCTAATGATGAAGTCTGTTACAGGCTCTACGGGGAGTCTTTGTGCGCATTTTTTTTACAGGAGGCTTACCAGAGGTGGCACGGGCTGTGGTGCGCTCCAGGGGTGCATGCCTGCTGGGATTGATCGCCAGAGAGCGGCGAGCCAGCGAGACATCAGCAGTGACACGAGTGATAGAGATCCTGCACAAAAGAACAGCTCAATCTGTCAACGCCACTTTGGTGCTGCATTGGCCACCACGCTGGACTTGTAATCCAGAATTCACCTGTTCGATTCCAGCATGGCAGCTGAAAGGAAAGTTTCTCAAACCCACCCCACTTACCTCTGTCTACCAAGCAGTATGAATGGGGCGCGCCACAGTTCAGACGAATTGGTGACACCGTATTTGCAGTGGTGCCAATAATACGAATAAAGTCACCACATTCGTCGATGACACTGTCTTAATGAGAACAAGTGTATCATAGGTGACGTTTTGGGCAATGGTAGAGATTCTCACTGGCCTCTCTGTGTGTTTTGAAGAAGCGCCGATGCCTAAATTTTCACCTATTTTATACTTCTTAAGGCCACAGGGTTATTCGCCAACGTGTGGTGCTTTCTTATTCCAGACAGGATGATTATATTCACCGTATACATCGTGGCGGCACATGCTACTGGTGTACAAACGGGGGTTGGTAACTATTTTTTGCATTATCGGTAACTGCATTGATCATCATGGTGAAATACTATTATAGGTTTGCTACCGGTTAACTACCGGTTATCGTTTAACGGCCAAAGTACCTCCGATTTTTCAAGGTTGGCGACGTACAATGCTAGAGAAGTTTAACATACATATATAAGGAGTGCGTAATTATATGTGTACATTATACCACATTATATAATTTGTCTTATGTGTTACATATATAAAAGGCAAAGTTGTGAATGTGTCTGTTCAAAATGTTTAGACATGCAACAAACTTGAAATTTGCCATGTGGGTACTTTCCAGACTGTACACCATGCAAAAATTATAAAAATATACTTTTTTGGGAGGGAAGGGGGGGAGCTCAATAATGCAAGTGAGCTGTGACGTCAAATCTGTCACGTGACCCGCGCATATGAGAGCGTAACGCATTGTAGTGTAGTGGTTAGCACGCTGCGCTACGAACCCGGCTACCCGAGTTCGATTCCCGCTCACGGCCAACACCGGTGACGATTATTTCAACCGCTTCTGGCCCTCCCCTGGGTCGACTCAGCCTCAAACGAGTAACTGCTGTGGTGTGTGAACATTGCCACTAGGGAGACAAAGGCGGCCGGGCGTGCTGCTGTCACCCACCCCCTCGTGTGCCGTGCCGGCCTTCATAGGTGCTCGCAAACAGCACTTGCCCCCTACAGTCTCACAAGCTACACGGGGATCTTTGTCTTTATCCTGTCTGGTGGGGGGGGGGGGGCAGTGACTGTGTAGCTATTCGCGCGCTGCGCTACGAACCCGGCTACCCGAGTTCGATTCCTGCTCACGGCCACCACCGGTGACGATTATTTTAACCGGTTCTGGGCCTCCCCTAGGTCGACTCAGCCTCAAACGAGTAACTGCTGTGGTGTGTGAACATCGCCACTGGGGAGAAAAAGGCGGCCGGGCGTGGTGGATCCAAGTCCCGGACGAAGCCGGGTAGTACAGCAAGTGTGTTATATAGTTCTGTGTCCAATGAGGACCCACATCTTAGAGAGGTCCCTTGCTTATAAACAACTGAAATTTCGATTTAAAGCTTTCGTGACTGCAATGATTCATCTTCTTTGGTTCTTTCGGTAAAGTCACGTAGAATGATAATAAAATAATAAATTGATAAAATAAAATAACACAATAATATTCTCACGACGCTGTAGGACAGCGCTGTCCTACCAGACAGTCTCGCCCCCTTCACCTGATGAAGGCCGCTTGTGTTGTGGCCGAAACGTCGTGAGAATATTATTGTGTTATTTTATTTTATCAATTTATTATTTTATTATCATTCTACGTGACTTTACCGAAAGAACTGAAATTTCACCAGCATTGGTTCAAGCAAGCCTGACTGCTGATGAGACTGAATGTTGACATTGGTCCATAGTTTTCTTTTATTGAACTAATGCTGGAAAAATTGTGTACCCCCAAAAGGTCGTATGGCTATGGAATGTGTAAAAAAAATCTGTCGAGGTACATATGTTGTTACTTATATTCTCCACTATGCGACTTAATAGTTTTCTGTCCGTACAAATCAAGATTACTTCATAGTTCTTGAACTGTAGTTCACTAAAAATAAGTGTGACTTCCTCAATTCATGTAACACATCGCCTCGAGGACAGGAAACGAGTTAACGTTTTTGTACGATCACAGAAGGGTTTTACAACTGAGGATGTCACGTGAGTAGAGTCCCTCACACCGAGCTACACTACGATAGCGGATTATACGGCTTACTGATGTTCTCAAATTCTTCTATTTTAAGCAAATAATTATCTTTTACAAATGAGATTTGGGTCATTTTAGTTGCACAGCGGGCAATGGTTTCTGTTTATAATTTACAGCAAGTTTCACACTTCGGGCCATGATACGAGCACACAAAGGTAGACCCTTAATATGATCTCAAATCAAATTTAATGTTAACGTTACTTGGGTAATTCCATTAAAAATTTCTATTCAAAATTATTAGGCAGCTTCCAGAGTGAAAACCGCAAGCACGCTAGGACCACAATGTACTTCTTCAGGAAATGCTGGTAGATTTCTGCCTAATACACAGGCTGTGTGCTTTTTAAACTAATTTTTGTGCCTGATTGTTTGATAGCACGGCAGTGATTCAGCAATTTCCACTGTGCTCTCAACCCATTACACTTTCCTCTTGTCACGCCACAAGTGAGTTCCTGCTCAAGTGAGCATTGAGGTGGTGCTCATCTCCTGTAATACAGGGTGTTTCAAAAAGATGGACCCGATCTGAAATCGCTATATCTCTGCAACCACGAACCGCCCACGAATGAAACTCTTACCACTTGAAAGGGCGAGGCATAGAGTTTCAAATGATTACCACTATATGCCTCTCCCAGCGCACAAACAGCCCCTAGCCTCAGTCATTCGTAAGACACACTGCCTCAAAGTTGGATAAGTCGCACGGCACCCCAAGACTTGGCGCTACACTCTTGGCCCCCAAGATCCCCAGACATCACACCCTGCGACTTTTTCTTGTGGAGATACGTCAAAGACCGTGGTGTTTTTGTGCCACCATTATCAACTAATCTGGATGACCTCAAAAACAGAATCACGGCAGCGGTGATTTCAGTGGAAGAAGACACTTTGAGAGGCGTTTGGGACGAATTCAACTAGCGTCTCGATGTTGTCCGTACAGCAGGTGGAGGGCACATAGAGCATTTATAAAATGGTTAGTAAAACTTGATAACTCATTAAACCGTTTGTAACTTTTTGTGTAATTGTAACATGTTGCCATTGTGAAATATACTGCTTTAAAATTGGGTCCATCCGTTTTAAACATCCTGTACTTGAAATCTTTTTTTTTTATACCAGGTAAGGGCCACTGAGCTATACAGCTGTTTTTCAGAAGTAACCTGGCAACAAATGATAGCTCAACGACGTGGCTTATCACGTGAACATTTATAGCATCCAAATACTCTAAAGTGTGTTATAGGGAGAATATGCAAACTGCAAATATACAGGCATCAGGGTCGGGATCAAACTCACAATCTGCTGCATACCAGGCGAGGTAGTTAACATCTCACCACCGCTGTTGACAGCCCTCAGCCAGTAGTGGAAATTACTCATTCCTATGGTGAGGACAAGTTTATCCATCGGACAATTACTTCCACTGTCGCTGGGTTGGGCTTCTCTGTTGTAAAATATTTCCAAGAAAGGCAACTCACCTTCCCTCGAATCTGTGCTTGAGAAAATCAAACAGTGCCTTCTGCATCATATCTGTGATCTGTTCACAACACACAAGTGGCAAGGCAATTCAGGACAAATCGGCAAAATCATGCATAACGTGTCACAATGTTTGTCTTCGGAAGCATTTAATCAACAATGCAGAAACCTTCAATCTTCTATCGCTACTACCATGGCCACTGTTCCTTTGAACTTTACTCATTGATTCCTCCTCATGTCATCCACGCTGTGTTTAACCACCGCACTGCGGGTCACAACGCTTCTCGTTCTGCATCCGCCCTGGCACATTGGACTTCCCTCCCATCATCTCCTTCCCCCCCAAGCTCTTGCTCAATTCAATACATTTGCTCTTGTCAGCTATATCTCTGATGGTGCTGTTTGTTGCTGGCTGCTTTACATTTTGGGCCTTCGGACCTGTATTCAGCAACGGTATTTAAAATATGTTGTAATATTAGGTTTCATATATTTAACAGCTGCATGAAAATTCTGCACTGTGTGCACGCTACACATGCACGCATGTATTAACGATGCATAGCCACTCATGATACGTGTGAATGAGACGCCACTAATGTCTCCGTTGTGTTCTTCTCAGTGGATGGCAGATTATTTTTTATTGAATTCGCATGAGTATTTCAAGTGGTTGTGTGGTTCTACACAGGACGTGCGGGGTGAATGCTCCTGTTTAGTGGAACCGCATCGCCACAACCCTAACCTCGTAGCCCTTGAGTGAAGGCCCGACCAGCACCACGGGACGCATCGATGGCACCACGTCGTATGGAGGAATCCCCTCCGCCTGTGAGGTTTTGTGTCCACAGCAGAAACATCGACAGCAGAGAAACAAACGTGTCGCCAGTCCCAGCTGTTTTAATTGTGTGATTAAAACTCGCTCACTCAACTTCTGCAACCGCCACGGGGCAAGTTTATTATCCGTGAACCGGCCGTGTGTAGCACTTAATTATGGATTTACGTGTGTGTTTGACTGGGTGAGATATACACTGTGTAAACGCAAACTGTTACATGTTTACAATGTGTACGTGCCATGACGTGTGTGGGCGAATGTGAATGAGTGTAAGAACTGCAAAATACACAACACAAAATAATCATTCGCGTCATTATGGAGAATATGAGTAATAACGTAAAATGTTATTTCTTTTGTAACGTACATTCCCCACGACGCAAATGACTGTTTTATGCATTACGTCGTTTTCCACCGAGCAGGGATCAATATCTAACAGAGCGGCGTTCTTGCCGAAAAACATCTGGCAGTTCACCAGCTTTGGTTCAAGTAATGGGCCATCCATTGAGTCCGTACGCATGAAGGAGGGAGGGGGGTTAACCCAAATACGTAGCTTGTGTATGGGGGGGGGGTCTACTGACAATGTACGCATAGGAAACGGGGTGGGGAATTGAAGCCTCGATAATAATTTGTCTACATTGGCCCTCAAATGAGTTAGATAGTCCGGCGGTGGACTATCTGTTTGCTTAAACACGTTTAATATTATTTTAATCCTTTATCGTTTCTGCATGGATTAAATATCGGCCGTTCTATAGGATTCGGGGGGGGGGGGGGCGTCAGGCGCACGTACGCAGGTAGGGGGGAGCGTAAAAAGTCCGCGTGCGTACAGGGAGAGGTCATGTTTTGACAGATTTTTGCGTACCTACTCAATGGATGGCCCCTAAGCCTGGCTCTGATGATGAGACGCTGAGAGTCCAAATGGGTCCAGAGTTTGCTCGTGTTGAACCGATGCTGCTGCACTGCTGCAAGTATGCACTTATATAGAAGGACGTGCCGCTGATGGGATGTGTAAAAGATACTTACGTTACATTTTTTTTAATGTGTAAGGATAGCTATGTTAAGCAAACAATGATATACTTTGCGCATGTCAAGCCCGGAACTCACCAGCTTTTGTTTATGCTTGGCTGCTTGCGTGAGCAGTGAGAAGGACACAACGAGAGCGTGCACCGACCGTGATTAATGAAAACTAACTGGAGCTTACGCACAGCTTTCGCGGAATGTCGATACGCGGCGTGGTTACGGTGGATGTAGGAAGTGTGGTTGCTGGTAGGAGTAGTGATGGTGGTAGTTGGAATTGTGGTAGCTGGTGGTGTGTTTCAGTTTTGCTTTGATTAACCGCGTAAGAACACAAGACACAAGAAGATTCGCATTTGCAAGAGGGATCTGGGCCACCAAAAGGACAAAAACATAACTTAAAGACGAAGTGCAACCATGAAGCAAACAACAATCAAAGCACAAACAACCAAATAGATATCAGAGCAATATTTTTTTAAACCGCGTGACAGAAGTATTAAAACATAAAGAGTATCAAACCAAATATATTTCCTGTAACGAACGTTGGCTCGGACAAATTGCTGTAACAAATAAAAAAACGTCGTGCAATTTAGTTGAAGAATCCCCAAGGTGGGATTCGGGTGATTGTGTCGCCCCGTGGAACAGACGGGGGGACCCGTGTCACACACACACAGACACACAGACAGACACAACAACAACCGCCATTCGCCACTAAGTGGCGGTGACGTCACCACGACGCTTGTGCCAGGCCATGTGCACCTTGAGGCCACGTGAAGTGTCGAACGCCTGCCGGCAGGAGGTCACGGGGCAGACCCAGATGCCACAGGTCGGCTGACTGAGATGAATGGCTGATGCACCACCTGTGCCCCCTACTGTGCCAACTTGCTGTACTTTAGCCACCCGGCGCTCCGCTCGTTGTTGTGAGCGTCGCTCCTCCGCCCTCTGTTGTTGTTGGAGGGCGACTGCTTCCAACTGCCCAGTAGTAGCGTCCTTCACGAGCTTCCTCCACAGAGGCTGATCTTGACACCGCTAGTACCAGTCATCGGCAAGTCCACTCAGCTCCACATCTACCTGTACCACATCACTCCATCTCTTCTCTATCCGTGCCGCGCCCGTTTAGCCCCCTCGATCCGGCCGAACAAAAGCTGTTTGGGCATGCTGTGATTGATTGTGCGGTCCCCCTTTTTAAGAAGGGGGACCGCACAGACTGTAACAACTACAGGGGCATCTCACTCCTCAGTGTGCCGGGAAAGGTCCTGGCAAGGATTATTCAACATCGCCTTGCTAAGCACGCTGAGGAGAGGCTTGCGGAGCCCCGATGTGGTTTCAGGAAAGGGCGGTCCTGCACAGATGCCATATTTTCTGTCCGTCTGCTACAGCAGAGGTGTAGGGAAGGATGCCCTGGTGGTCCCCCTTTTTAAAAAGGGGGACCACCAGGGCATCCTTCCAATCCTGCGGAACCCATCCAGTGGCCCAAACTGTTGTTATGATGTCATTTAGGGCAGTCTGCGCACAAATGCCACCTTCCCTCAGCATTTCGCTTGGGAGATCATCTCTGCCCGGTGCCTTTCCTGGTCTCAGACGCTGGATCGTCTTCAGTACTTCCTCAATGGATGGCACCTCAGCCAGCCACTCACAGGGGGTGACTTCCTCCTCCAATATTTGAGGCACCGCAGCCTCAGCAGGGGCATCCCCACTTTATCCCATGATGTTTTCCAGGCTGAGGGATTCTCCCTCCCCCAGGACCTCACAGAAATGCTCAGCAAATCTGCAAACCTGTTCCTGGAGGTCGGAGATTGGATCACCGTTCTTTCCCCTAATGATGGTAATAGGTGTTGCACTGCAGGTTACTTTTTTGATGGAGTTAAATATTAACCTGACTCATCAGCCTCAATGGCCTGTGATCGCAGGCCATTGAGGCAGACTCCATTGACTCAGCAACCCGCAACCACCACCCATCCTTGCAGCGCCTCACGGCTCTCCGAACCTCCGAGCGAAGGCTGCGGTAAGCCTCATTCTCTGACGTGGGATGCTGTAGACGATTAGAGTGGGCCTTTCGCTTTTTCTCAACTATCCTGAACACCTCCTCTGTCAGCCAGGGTCTCTGGGGAGGTCTGGACCGTGTACCCAAAGCAGCCATTGCAGCTGCATGAGTCACAGTCCTAAACCTCGCCCGTTTACCCTCAACATCAAGAGTGGGGGACGATGCCAACCCAAGCCGCAAGCGATGATGAAATTCTCACTTGCAACTTCCATCAGCTAACTGAGACCAGGCCACCTTAGGTTGGATTGGGGTCCTGGGTGTACACCCACCACAGGAGTGGAAGAATGGCAGGTGCATCTTACAGATGACAAGTCGATGGTCAGAGGCACATGGGCTGCACAAAAATCTAGCAGCCTCCTACCGTTGTTATTGAGCTGATCTGGCCCATGCCTTCCAATCACTCCAGACCAGGTGCCAGCATCATGACCAACTCGGGCATTGAAGTCAACCAACAAGATGACTCTATCCCGAGGGGCCACTTTAGCTAGCACCTGTGACAGGAGGTCATAGAAGGCACCTGACTCATCGGCCTTGCCTGCATCCCTCCACAGATGTTCGTCTTCGGTGGGGGCATAAGTAACCACGACCACCACTCCGCACCTCCGGTTGATGGGAAGGCGAGCCCATAGTAGCCTGAGGCTTACAGCTTCCCACACCTCACCGCCACGCTCCCATGTCCCCTTCATTCTTTTGTTCAGAAGAAGAGCCACACCCTGTTGTTTGGCAGTCTCCTGCCCCGAGTAGAGGACTGTCCACCCCTCATGGTGGCAGGAGTCAGAGCCGGTCCACCGGACCTCCTGTATGCCACAGAGATCCAGGCGGTACCGGTCCAGCTCCCGACAGCGAGTGGCAGCCTCTCCTCCGCAGTGAGCGTTTGAACATTCCACGTGGCCACACGTAGTGGCTTTTTGTTGTTTCCGGAGGAGCCCCGAGGGTAAAGATTCAATCTCCTGGCTCTGCCAGATGGGGTTTGGCCAGGAGACGTCATAGACGCCTGTCCCCCCGGAGCCTCCGGCACAAGCTTATTTATTAGACAGACACACACAGACACACACACAGACAGAGAGAGAGAGGAGAGGGCTACAGCTGCTGTCACCGACCATGGGCCGGGGCTGCCGCCGTGTGCTTGGCTCCGCCGCCGCTCTCCTCCGCACCGCCTGCAGTCTTGCTGCGCGGTCCGTGTGGAGGCAGAGGGACGACACACAGCAGTGGTGTACAACTTCCATCTTCAGCATTCGGGAGGGATTGTTATAAAACTCGTTAAAAGTTAATAGGAAATTGCCATTTTTTTTCAGCATAAGATTTGGCAATGGGATATTAAGGTGTAAGGTTGTTTTATCCTGGGATGTGAATATCTGATTGTTATTTAATGGGTAATTCTAATTATATTATACACAAAATATAATTGGGTAAATCTTGCCTGTAAACACTTGTTACTAGCTTGTTAGCCCGTCCTAGGACGGAAGCTGTAATATTAAAGATGTAAATGAACTTTTATTGTGTGATTGTTAATTTTATTCGTAAATGTAGCACATAAATACAAATGTCTTAACTTATTAAATGGAATTAAGGACTTTGGAAGATTTCTCGATATACGATATTCTGTGTGAATCTCTTATCACTGTTCAAGAGGTTTCCCTGCAGTTGGCTATCCTTGATGAACACTTTGATCCACTGAGGATATTAGATCAAGACAGAGCCACGTACAACTGGCCATGGGAAAATACGGGTTCATTGAGATAAATACCCAAATTTTCAAAAGTCTGACCCTGCGACTTGTTGATCGTCATCGCATACGCAGGAATTATCGGAATTTGTCGTCGTTTCAGTACGAAAGGAAGAGTAACGTCATTTGGAGCAAGGTTGATTTTCGGGATGAAGACGATTTCGCCTCGGTTGCATTCTGACGTAATGTCACAGTGACACTGTATTTAACGGACGTTCAATTACTTGCAATTCACTGCCTGATACTAATCTTCCGCTTTCGTTCGCTGGGGTTGAAAACAATTGGAATTTCATACAATGTCTGCAAAGTAGCAGAGAAATGTTTATTGTAGCATAATTTGGAAGCGTAAAGTAGTTTTACCTTTTGTTGGACGTGCCGAAGAAATAAATAAAGGCACCAAATGCACTGTGATGCAGCGAATAATTATTTATTGCCTTCACTGTCTATAAAGATTCGTTAAATCGAAAGCGAATTTGTGTATTTATTTTTTATCAGCCGCTCGACCTTATGAATAATGAGGGGTGAGCACATATGGAGTGACATCACGCGCGGGGCACACACAGCCTTTTTTGGCTCCTTATATTAGTTGCTGCGTTGATTTCTTTATTAGCTTTACTTTCCATAAATAAAGATCAAAATGAAAGGTAATTTGCGGAAACAAATTTCCGTTTCCGCTCCACCTTCTGGATGTGGAGTGACGTCATCCATTCATGATTATTAATGAGGGGGGGGTCCATGTGGAGGACCCGACCTGTTCATGATTATTAATGAGGGGGGGGTCCATGTGGAGGACCCGACCTGTTCATGATTATTAATGAGGGGGGCATGTCGACGTGGAGTGACGTCACGCGCGTTACACACAGACATTCTTGGCTCATTATATTAGTAATTTCGAGGGATGGTTATGTGCCGACTTATTTTCTTGCACAACTACGCCGCAAGCGAATGCCTTGCGTCATTTTAAAAGTATAATTTACCCATATTGTATATGTTTCAACAAAGTTGTTGAGCACAGAGCCTAAAGGCCAAAAATATCAAGCGGCCAGCAACAAACAGCACCATCAAAGGTGTAATAGATACGGAGGTAACGCAATTTGGGGTGCGGTAGTGCAACGGTTATCACGCTGCGCTACGAACCCGGCGACCCGAGTTTGATTCCCGCTCACAGCCAATATCGGTGACATATCTGAAACGGTCCTGGGCCTCCCCTAGGTCAACTCGGCCTCAAATAAGTATCTGGTGTGACGTGTGTAAACATCGCAACCAGGGAGACGAAGGCTGCTGGGCGTGGTGCCGGCCACCCACCCCCCTCGTGCGCCGTGCCGTACTTCACAGGTGCTCGCTAACAGCACTTGCCCCAACAGTCTGTTAAGGCTATACGGGGGATCTTTGTGTTTGTCTCTGTACCTGAGTCATCTCAGTCAGTTAACCCATACCACCTGGGTACGTGTACCTAGCCTGGCACGAGCACTGTGATGGCGTCACCACCGCTTAGCGGCGAATGGCGGCTCTTGTTGCTGTTTGTGGCACCTTGGGTGGAGGAGTGCATGGCGAGCGTGTTGCTCCAGACGGCCAGGGCTGGGGATGAACCCCAGTGGCGCTCCTTCCATCACAGCTCGGCCAATCCACCATTCACTGCTGTACTTCTATAACGACACCGGCACGACCGCTATCACCGCAGGGTGGCCAGTTTCTACACAGACCAAACCCGAGTTGAGAGATTTAGCCGGCCTCGGTCTGTCAACACTGTGCACAGTGTGCAGTACATTACTGTGATACGGTTCAACGCAATGCCACCAGATCTCAGTGCTAATGAATTCCTGCCACGCTAACATAGACGCCAATTCTTGGTCTGGTGGCAACTCTCTTTCTCTCGCTGTCATTTATGTGAAGGACGCTGGTGGGATTGGATTGGCATCCGATACAGCAGCAGCAGTTCCCACATTCGATTTTTAATCACAGTTGTCGAGCCCAAGGACTAAGACGTCAAGCAGGCAACAACAAACGCAACTTTTGTATCTGTAAAAGGTAGAAGTTATCACTTTAATGGACTTGAGCAAGGTTATTAGAGGAGCTTGGTGAAAATATGGTGGGAATTCCACAGTGGAGTGGTGTGAGTGAAGAAGCAGAAAGGGAAGTGTTTTTCTGGCCCCTCATGCCACTGCCAACCTTCACAGATGTTTTTTCGGACAACTGTACACCAGGAAAACATTTTTCTAGTTAAAAGGAGAGACTCGACATCATGGCGTCTACAGCCTTTCCGTCGAGCACTGCCCACGGCCCTGCGAAGCACTAGTTAGGAACCACTGGCAGAGAGATCGCAACCGTTTGAAGAGTCCACTCAATCTGCCGCTCACTAAATGGGGGACAGGACGAAGAAGGAATTCTTTCTCTGAAACCAACAAGAGCAGAGGTGTAGGGAATCTCAGCGGGACCTACACCACCGCTTTATTGACCTGGTCAAGGCCTATGATATCATTAAAAGGCCAGGGCTCTGGATTATTTTTTCTTTCATGGTCCCTAACTCTGCTCACAATCATTATGGATCTTTATGATAGTGGGCAGGCCCAGGTAAATGGACGTGGGAGAGAGTCAGAGCTATTTCCTCTTCACCTTGGGGTGCGACAGGGATGTCATCTGGTTCTCTATTTATTCAACATCTTTTTAATCCACGTTGTTCGAGAAACTCTCCATGGTCTTACCAGAGGAATTTCTATCTGGTACAGATACAATGGGAGCCTGATGAATGTCCGCTGCAGTCAAGGGATGGCTCCCTATTGGTCAACCATGTTATGTATGCTGATGGTCTGGTAACTGCTGCTCACTTTAAAATGGAATTGAAGGCTCTGCTGCTGAACCTGGAGCGTGCCTCTATGAGGTGGGGCCTTTACCAATAGCCTCACCAAAATTAAGCACCTGCCTAGGTATTTTATGTCATCAAACGCTCCACCCCCTCGAATCCTCATGAGTGATGGGACAGTTGTGGAGAGAGTGAAGATGTTTCCATACCTGGGTAGTGTGCTTATGACCAGCTCCGGTTTGGCAGCAGAGGTCTCGCTGAATTAGTCGAGTGCCATTATTTTCATCAGCTGTGTAACGCTGTGTGGAAGCTACCTGGTCTGTCGCTAAACACACATCTTTGGGTCTTCTCGGCCACAGTTATGCCCTCCCATCTCTATGCTTACGAAATGTGGAGCCATCCGATGGAACCGGTTTAAAACATTCAGGCTGGCCAGCCTACGATCCATCTTGGATTTAACCAGGCTGGTTGTGTGAGGAACTCACAAATCCATGAAAGATCTGGACACATTCCGATCAGTGAGCTCGTCCAGCAGGCGAGGCTGCGTTTTGCTGCTCAGCTACTGCATGCCCAAGCAGCTCTATTTGACCGGATAGAGGGGGCTAAACGGGCACAGCATGGGCCAGAGAAGAGATAGACTGATGTGATTTAGGATGTGGATCTGATTGGAATTGCTGATGACTGTCACCAGCAATGTGAATATCGGTCTCTATGGAGGAACCTCCTGAAGGATGCTACAGGGCAGTTGGAGGCAGTCGCCCTCCAACAACAGGGGAGGGCAGAGGAGCGACGCTCACAACGATGAGTGCAGCGTCGGGTGGCTAAAACGCAGCAAGTCGGCAGGGTGGGGAGCACAGGTGGTGCATCGAACCAGTCATCTCAGTCAATCCATGGCACGTGGATTTGTTCCATGACTCTTGGACAGCGAGCCTTCAACACTTCACGTGGGGTCAAAGTGCGCCTAGCCTGGCACAAGCGTCGTGGTGACGTCACCGACACTTAGTGGCGAATGGCGATTGTTGATGTTGGTGGTGCTATGGAGAATGCACTGGCCTCTGTGATGTGCAAGAAGTCGTGGGCCTCAAAGGACAGGGCTGCTCCTGGCACTGGGACGTCCTTCTGGTTGGCACAATGGAAGGCCACGTTGGTACGCACGGAAAATGCCACTGGCTTGGCCTGCACATCACACACGCAGACACACGCACGCAAGAAAAGCAATAATTCACCTCAATGTTGAGCTCATGTCCCTGTTGTTGATAAAAGTTAAATAATGAACATGTTTCTATAAAAATAAATGTCTGTCTGCAATCAACAGCTGCTCGAGGCAGACACTAGTGTGTATATTTATAATAGGCATATTAGAGCAGGTTGGAAAACTTTTGCAATCCTGAACTTGGTAATGAACAATACCTACACCAAATTTTACTCGTTACTTTTTTAGGGCTACTAAAACAAAAAAAAAACGGAGTAAAAGCTACAGTATTATAAAAAATAGAGTTATTGTGATGTTTGTACTAGTATCTAAACAGACACGGATATATGTTCAATACAGTCATGGATATGATGTGCTACAAATGAGAGGGATCCCATGTGCAGGTGGCATCGCACTTACCCCGGCGCCGTGCAGCTGCAGTCGTGCCTGCTTCTCTCCCCGAGCCCCTGGTCGCCTGGCTTCCTTGCCGGGCTGTGAGCCATCCCGGCACGCCCTGGCACGGGAATTCACGCTCCTCTGACACACAAAATCATCATAAGCATTGCAGTGCGTGGCTTAGTGGTTTGGTGACACTTTCGCCTCGCAGTAAGAAGGCCCTGTGTAGTGTTCTCTCTGTCGGTGTGCACAAACTCTCCATGAACAAAAACTCCCAAACTCGTTTTGTCATACCTTAGGAATTATTTAACCAATAGCGATGAACATAGTACAATAGGTGACGCAGCTTTATGAAAGGTGAACATATATGAGCACAATCACTGCTATCTCTAACTTGAAGACAATAATTGCTCACCACACCGACGCGACAAAGGACGCGGTTTTCCATCCTGGAAAAGCAAACCCGGATTTTTATCTCCAGCCAAGCTCGGTTCTCTCGCCATGATCCTTTGTGGATTTTTTTCCTTTCTTTGTTCAACATTTTCCGTCCACCTCTCTGAACCGTATCACTGCAGCCAATACCCATCGACGGCGAACGCTCCTCTCACGTTGGTATGCTACTTTACAACATGAGCACCGTAGGAATTAATGCATTCAATGTATAAATCAACAATCAATTTATTGGACATGAGAATACAACGTGCTTGCTCGGGAATGAGGAGCGATGGGGGTGGTGATGGTTTAGAGAAAGCATTTTTGCTCTGCCAAAGCCGGAAAAGCAGTGTAATCGGCTTAAACCCATGCCACTCTTCCTGTGCCATCTGCCAAACGCCGGACGTAGGCTGTCTGTGTCCAGTGAGATGGAGAGACTGCGTGCCGACTGCCACAACTGCTACAGAGTGTTTTGTTAAAAATCAGCTTCTTTTTGCATGATCGGTAACCACATGAAAAAGTAAACAGTAAAAACCACTTACGGGTTTGCCGCACGTATAGACAAAACAACGTAACACGTCCAGATATTTAACTGGGAAACCAAGGGAGCTGCCTCAGCAGGGTAATGGACAGCGTACTCGAATAGCAATAGCAAAGGTTTGCAGTTAAATTCCAGCTCCCGCCACGGCCGTTGTAAACAATGGGGCGAGTTTCCCAAATCTCCACCCACCCCCTCACAATGGGTTCACCACAGCCTATGATCGGCAGGTCGCATTTGGTGGGGTAAAGTGTGGGTAACGCCCACTCCTTGGAAACGTGTGGGCCGCTTGGAAGAGAATACGTTTCTGCAAAGATGAAAGTCTGGTGTCGCAGTCCTGTCAACATCTCCATTGAAGAGGTCATGACTTCACCAGCCCTCAAATGCAATATCCACCTGCATAGATGCTCACTAAAATCACTTTCTCTGACAATAAAGTTCAATCCAGCGATAAAATAAGCAAAAAATCCACCCCATTCACAAATCTGTGATCCTCCACATAACAAATACCATAATTTTTTTACACACCAGATCGGTCACGCGGCCTTCTGGGACTGCATAATTTCAGCAGCATTGGTTAAACATAAGCAAACTTTCGACCGATTTCGACATTCAGTGTCTCATAACTTGCGAATCTGTCCTCATGCGTGCCTTAATAGCTGTGTATGTGAGAGTCAAATCTGCTAGTGTATGTCTCTCCACACACGGCATCTTCTCTGGGCCACGTTGATGCAATGCAGTAATGTTCTGGCATTAAGGCAGGTTCCGACCGATAGCAAAAGTACTGAGGAGCAAGCACAAAATCGCAAGGCATTCGTCTGACATCCACAGAAACAAACCATTACCGTAAACTGAATGAGATTAACCCCAGGAATATACCGGTTACTGGTTTGCCACACATACAGAAATCTCTTGTAACGGGCATTTTGACCTGCCCTGGTGTCATGGTTAGCAGACTTGACTTTCCATTTTAGAGGTCGCTGGTTCGATTCCACCAATGAGAACAGTTTCTTGACTCCCAATGTCTTAATACGCTTCTTTAAAATATATATATAAAGCCTTACCACGAACTTCACAAATAGGTTATAGATTGAATACGCGTGTGCGTACATATGTGATGTAATTACGTGTTTACTATGTATATTTCAATTGGAACCCTGAACATCCTCGCAAACCAGATGTTAATCCATCTCCAGGAAATGTTCATGTGAAAAAAAACATGTATCATGCTGTACTGCAACACATCCTGTGTCTTGCAGGCTCACCTGTGGCTGTGGTGCTGTCACGTTGGGAGGCATATTCCTGGGTGAGGACATGCAAAACTCCGGCAATGCCTAGAGGATTCAATTGCAATTCCAACGCTCCCAAGTTGGCGCTCTTCTATGTCCGTTGCTTCTGCGTCTGGTTCCGCGTATAATTCTTACAGGCTTGAATGACACATGTGTGTGTATGTGTGTGTTTGCTTGCTTGTGTGCGTTAAACACAACCCGTGTCTGGGAGGAGTGTGCGAGTGTGAGCGCCTAAATACAAGTCTGACATCACCACCAATCACGATCACCCCCCCACCACCATGAGTTAGATGACCCATTCCCAATCTGTCGCGATATTTTCCTCGCTGCATGAACGGTGGAGTGTTTTCGAGATGGAATCGAACCGGCGATATCTGGATTGCAAGTTCAGTGTGCGAACCATTGCACCGCTGTAGCAGCTCCCTTGCTCCTCAGTTAGAATATGTTTATTGCTTGACACCTCCACAGGTACAGAAAACCGCTAACCGGTATTTTTTTACCGTTTTTTCACGCTGCTACCATGCAGCGCTTGTCCAGCATTTACTCCCAGTCCTGGATTATGCTGACGGAGTCCATTCTACTTACTCTCAGAATTGCCTTAAAAAGAAAGAGAAACAACGATAAAATAACAATAATTTGTGTTTCATCCACACCAGCGCGTATCAAAGAGTGCTTCGTATGTATGTAAAATTTCTGTCGCACCATACGTAACTGTGCTGATCGGAGGCGCTTCACATACAAAACACTGTTATTATATTGGGTGGAGCGCCGAGTTCCGACCTCACTGCACCAGATATAATTCAGAATAAATAAGTCAGGATGAGTGATGACCCAGAAACTCACTAGTTCACTCCAAATACTCACTCACCGGTGGTCATAACCTCCTTGTCACTCTTCTACCGCTACTACCACGGTGACTGTTCTAGTGAACTTCACTCACTGATTCATCCACCCATGCTGAGGACTCGGTCTACCACACTGACTGCTTTTTCGCATCCACCCTGAATTCAACCACGACACTGCAGGTCTTGAGACGTCTCCTCCTGCTTCTTCCCTCGGACTGCTCCACTTTGAAATTCCCTCTCATCGTCTGATTTCCCAATCTAACCTTGCTCAATAAAAAAAAAAGTGTTAACTCTTATCTATTACGACTTTAATCGTGCTGTTTTCTGCTGGCCGCTGGACGTTTTTGACCTTTGAGCCTGTGATGAAGAAATGTATAAGAACCTACACGGGCCCTCACCGAGCATTCTGAAGCCACGTTGCTTGAGGACATCTGACACCAGCTCACCACGAAGCCAATTGCATTCACTAATTATTTACGCACTTTAAACTTTCAGAGCATACTGTGTTGCTGATTTCACTATTGCACCCATTGTTTTGTGATACTGCGTTGGCAGTGGTGGTCGAGCACAAACAATAACAATTGATCACATTCGTCAACAACACCGTAGCCTTAAAAGGAAAACATATATAGTATTGATGTATAAATGTATCCGGAGCTGATCTATATGCTATGAGGAAGGGTCATTGCCCAAAACGTCAGCTGTTTTATTATATATATTCTCCTTTTAAGGCAACACTGTTATTAATGGATGTAGGTTGTGTTCCACATTAAGCTATATCCCTGTAATTACATAAACATGTTAAAAGCACTTTGTTCTACATGTTCTTCTTTGGTTCTTTCGGTAAAGTCACGTAGAATGAGAGTAAAATAATGCATTAATAAAATAAAATAACACAATAAAATTATCTTGACGTTTCGGCCACAACACAAGTGGCCTTCTTCAGGTGTTATTTTATTTTATTAATTTATCATTTTATTCTCATTCTACGTGACTTTACCGAAAGAACCAAAGAAGATTAATCCTTGCAGTCACGAAAGCTTTAAATCTACATATTCTCATTGGTAAATGTAAAAAATACATTGTATAACTTAACATGTAAGTATTTGCAGCCAACATTATTTATAATTGTTTTTTGTACACATGATTATTTCATTTGTTTGGCAATGTTGGGTGGTGGAGGGTCTTAAACCATAAAGTTGGCCAGATCATTACGTGGCTTAGCTCAACAAAATTATTATGAATTATTGTTTTACTTGACAAGGTTGTGGTTTTGTTAGGCCTCATGCAAACTGTACTAAACCAGATATGCAAATTTAAATCTGATACCCTACATGTATCTGAGGCAGGCTTCTCAATTATACATGTGCAAGAGGACAGACGCTAGGTTCAATTTCAGCGATGTCACACGAGCACCTCTGTTCCACCTGCAAACGAGTGCAGCCAACGCTGCACGCTTGAATCTCAAGGGATTCCAATCCACTAATGTGTAAGCCACATAGCACACAGTTGTTTCAACTAGTGCACAAGCACTTTATTTTCCTATCATTAGTGCTACTCACTTCCGAACTGCCAATCACTTTGTGAAGTTGGTCTTTTCCACAGACAAACCCAGCCATTTTGTCAGCCAGCCCAGGCCTATCAAAACTGAGCAGCCTACTGCGATACAGTTCAATATAATATTTCGGTCCCAGTTCTTGGTGTAAATCAATTCCTGCCAGCTAAACACACATGCCGATTCCTAGACAGGTGGCAACCCTCGCACCAAGTGATATGTATTTTAAGTGTAATGATGTACATATATACCTTATTTTAATTGACCAGATTAGACCCACCGAGTTATGTAGCTCTTTTTCAGAAGCGACCTGGCCGCAAACGATAGCTCAATGAAGTGGCTTATCACGTGGAAATGTAAAGCAGCCACATACTCTAAACCCGTGTACATTTAAATGTGGAGGGGAAAACCCGGAGGACCTGGAAAAAAAATCCACGCGACCACTGGAAGAATATGCAAACTCCAAAAATACAGCAGGCGTCAGGGTCGGGATTTGGATCGAACACACGTCCTCCTGCATACCAGGCGAGGTAGTTAACATCTTAGCACCGAAGCGCTCCTATATTATTATGTGTGCATGCACTAAAGCACGTGTGTATGTGTATGCGTAATGCAGACGTGCGCTATAATGCATAGGTGATTGCTTACCACTTACCAGGGACTAATTTGTCAAGTTACAAGTGGGGAGAAAACATAGAAAAGTTTTCACCAACCCGCACTGACCAGCGTGGTGAAGTATGGTCAAATAGTGCCCACGACTGGCACTTGCATGAAGAGTATTGGATTGACAGATGAATTAAAATAATAATTGGACACATAATAGGCAAGATTCCCATAATGTGTGATATGCACTTCGAAAAAATGTATTTTACCTTGCGAATCCTCGCTGATTCTCAAGACTCTTTCAGGAGTGTCCTGCTATATTGTTGGGATGGTTGGCCATGGATTCCAATGATGAGTGTTTGGAGAAACCCCACCTCGCATTGGAGGTGATCACACTCAAAGCTCCGAACACAGAGATGCGATAATTGGTTCAATACAAACTCTGGACTAGTTTCAACATTCAGGGTCTCATGAGCGGAGTCGGGCTTGCTGGCACACATTCGGGTGAACTACCATATACCATGGGCAAGGGCCCTCTCTGTCAGACATGGGTCCTAGTTCGACGCGAACCTCTATAATTTAATAATTTCGTCGCCGTCTTTGTATTGTTACTCATATTCTCCACAGCAACGCGAATAATTTTGTGCCGTCTTATATAATTCTGTCACAGAACAATTCCTCACTGAGACATTGACAATTCAGCCAGCATTGATTCCAGGAAGTCTGCCTGCAAGCGGCGAATGTCGAAGCAGGTCCAGAGCCGCTGGTATGCATTCACAGTTGGCCTTGTGGCCCATGGGACGCGTATAGAATACTTTTATTTTGCATGTGACAGGACAAATATGTTGATGAGGGAGGAGCATTGTCCACTGAGTTATCTTGTCGCGTGGATGTCTGCATGGGGATGGCCCTCCACGAGAGGGCGCTGTGGCCCCTGAAAAACAAATCACGAGAGGAGTAACCTCCCCCCCTCGCAGTCCCCCTCACCCCGTGCGGACTTCGCCCTGAGGCCCAGGGAAGGTCCGGCGATTAGTCTGAGGTCATGGCCGATCCCACGGGGCTTGTTCAGACCGTGCTGGGGCCCGTGGCCGTGAAGGCCCTGGGTGTCACACTGCCCCACGAGCACCTGAGCATGGCTTTCGACTGCTGCTTCGTGGAGCCTCCCGCTGGCCATGGCCACCGGGCCACCATGGAGTTCAGCCTGAGCGGCCTGCACTGGATCCAGCAGCACCCGTACAGCCACAGGGGCAACCTGCGCCTTGGCGAGGAGGAGGAGGCCGTGAGACGGGTAGAGAGCTGCGCTCTTCACATCGTCTCCAGCATCACCGCGACCGCCACCACTATCGGCACAGTCGAGCACCATCACCACCATCTCCACCGAGTCTCAATAACGGGCCAATGACTCGTTTGTCAGAATGTACAGCGGGGCGTGGAGTTCTCCACAGAGCAGTGAACTTTTACATTTGGGTGAAAACCAGAGCACCCAGAGAGTGGGGCCACAACTCCACGAGAGGGCGGCACGGAACGTCTCTGTAGCGATAGGCCAGCAACCTACTTGCTGCACTCTCAAGTCTGTCGTACACACGGTTTGTTTATTACATTTCCGTGTTTGCGGAACATCGGTAAACGGTCTAAATAAATGATAAATCACGCCGCCACTGATGGGGCTAACGTCGCGTGCTGTTTTGCTTTACCGGTAACCAAATGGCAAAACAAAAACGGTTACCTGTTATCCGCACGTGTAGTAAGACACACAATAGCAATAAAACAAAAAAACATGCAGCGTTTTGGCTGAGAAATGAATGTGGTCACAGTCGGGGGGTCGTGGCCAGCAACACCGCACAGCCCAGAGGTCGCCGGTTCGATTGCAATTAAAACAACGGCGCAACGTTTCTCAAATCTCTGCTGATGCGGTGTGGTAAAGTGTGAGTACGTCCATCTCTTCCTCCAAGACGCCTGGTCATCGTGGAGGAGCAGATCAAACACCTCTTAGCGCTCGCTCAAGACACTGCTGGCTTGTGTCAGCAGTGTCTTGAGCGACCGATTGCAGTGCTGCGCCTTTACACTGAAAATCAAGGCCAGATGCACGTGGATTTGCGTGCGTGTTGTCGGGTCAGACCTAACATTCGGTTCCCATCTTCAGACTTGTGGGACCGGTAATCGAGTCGGAAAATGGTCACCGGTTGTCAATCATTTGCTTTGGTGTTATGTTGGCAGAGCTAAAACCCCTTGGGCAGTAAACGCTCATTTTCGATGGGGATCTCGTTACACCATGGCATCCTCGTTACTACAGCACAAAAAAAACACGCGCATCGGCATCATGGTACAAGCAGCACACAGAATACAACGTGGCGAGGTCGAGGCATCTCATACACAAAGTATTTGGTGCAAAACAGCCCCGAGATCAGTAAGATTGTAAAAAAAAAATCACTCAAAAGTCTGCAAAGCAGAGCGATCAATTGCACGCACACGTGAAAGGAAAGATGAGGTACAAAAGAGATTTAAAGCAAGGATGGTAAGGTTTTGATCTAACCTTAATGGTAATGTAAAATTAAAACCGATTTTAACAACCCTATTCGCTGTTTCACATGTTTCAGGACCTGCTTGCGTTCCGCGAGGCTGGAGGAGGTGCGCTGGTGGAGAACAGCACCACGGGGTTGTGCCGAGACATGGGGGCTCTGCAGCGCCTGTCGCGCCAGACAGGGGTGCACGTTGTGGCCGGGACAGGCTTCTACGTGGCCAGCACCCACACCCCAGAAACCCAAGCCATGACCATTGAGCAGGTAGGCACCAGACGTGGGCGAGTGGCATCGCGTGCGCCTCTTGTTGCAGACGATCACGGTTCGAATCTGGCAGGCCACCCTGATTACGGTGACGAGATGTTAACTACCTCGCCTGGTATACAGGAGGGCGTGGGTTCGATCCTGACACTGACGCCTGGATATTTGGAGTTTGCGTGTTCTTCCCGTGGTCGCGTGGATTTTTCTTCAGTTTCTTCGGTTTTTACCTCCACGTTTGGAATCAAGATGCGTTCAGAGTAATTGGCTGCTATACATTTCCAAGTGATAAGCCACTTCGTTGAGATATCATTTGTGGCCAGGTTGCTTCTGAAAAACAGCTATATAGCTCAGTGGGCCTTACATGGTAAAATAAAGCGTAGTTTAGTTTTTGTTTAAATTAACACTCCAGGAAGCTAAAGTGATTTCCTGCTCATTTGAGCATTGAGGCGGTGCTCACTTATTCACAGCCCTGAGGGAGTGGTGGACTTGACACCTCACTATGGTGGGGGTGAGTCTGTTCAGAGGAAGACCACTTGACTTCCCGGCAAAGGGGTACTTTTGATTTAAAGCTTTCGTGACTGCAGGGATTCATATTATTGGTTCTTTCGGTAAAGTCACGTAGAAGGGAAACAATAAAATAATAAAAATATTTTTTATTATTGTTTCCCTTCTACGTGACTTTTTGTTATTTTATTATTTCCCTTCTACGTGACTTTACCGAAAGAACCAAGAATATAAAAAAGGGGTACTTATTTTATTGACCCCAAGGAGGGATGATGGATTAAGTAAAACCACAACTGGGATTTGAACCCAAAACCTTCTGATTGCAGGTTGCTTACTGGGATTTGAACCCAAAACCTTCTGATTGCAGGTTGCTTACTTCACCACTGAGCCACCTGACCTGATGTTGCCGTGGTGTTTGTACAATTATAGGCACCATCTGCTTCACTTATAGTGACGTAATTCAAAGAAGAGTAGGCCATTCTGTGCCGATCGGTCACACGGCCTTCTGGGAGTGCATTTCTTCAGCAGCATTAGTTCAATACAAGCTAACTCTGGACCAGTTTAGACATTCAGTGCCTTATCAGCAGAGTCATACATGCTTGACTTAAATTCAGTCAATACTCAATCAGGTTGTGTCTAAATGATACATTTGTGTGTGAGTTTGTTCTTCATCTCACTGGCGAGCTGAAAGAATTGGCATGTTAAATGCTTGTACACATTACAATTTGATGCTTGGCTCTCTGGGGTAGTGGAGGATCTTTTGACACAAATTGTGAAAAATCATTATACAGTAAAACCTTGGATTGCGAGTAACTTGGTCTGTGAGTGTTTTGCAAGATGAGCAAAATTTTTAAATAAATATGAATTTGATAAACGAGCGAGGTCTTGCAATACGAGTAGTACGTATACGCTTTGTCTGCCGAACGTCACGTGATCACAAGTGATATACGAGTGTCTTGATATACGAGTGCTTTGGATTACAAACACGTTTCCGGAACGAATTATGCTCGCAATCCAAGGTTTTACTGTATGTCCTAACCCAGTAATCAATTATGAATCTATACTCAACCATATTGTGTGATGCACAGTAACAGTGAATGTCTAGCCAACTAACTCTTGCGAAATCCCCTGTGGGTACAGTTGGCTGGTGTGATGCGTGGCGACCTGCTGGACGGAGTAGATGGCACCGCGGTGCGCTGTGGTGTTATTGGAGAGCTGGGCTGCTCGTGGCCTCTGGATGAGACGGAGCGACGTGTATTGCAAGCAGCTGGCACCCTGCAGGCCGATGTCGGGTGCCCAGTCATTGTGCACCCTGGGCGTCACATCTCCTCCCCAGCAGACATCACCCGCGTCTTACTTGAAGCCGGCGGGAAAGCACCGAAGATCGTTATGTCTCACCTCGACAGGTACGATGGCAAATATAATTCACGGATATTCACGTCCTAGTTCAATATAGGGACGCTGCCATGGTGAAATAGCTAGCAGCACGCCCGACATTCAATTCAGTCTATTCCATCATCCGGCACAGTAGAATCAATGGTGCAAGTTTTAAAAAGTCTTCCCCACTCTCTCTGTCCACCACCCAGCGGTATAAATGGGTACGCCACAGTCAAACGGCCAGTCGTACGTGGTGGAGTAAAGTGTGGGTACGACCATCTCTTCCAACACGCCTGGTCAATGTGGAAGAGTAAATAAAATATACCCACGAGTTGTAGTGGAGACCCCTTTCTGCCAGCAGTGGTATGAGAAAGCAATTACAATGCCGCACCTCGTTAATTCCCTATTCCTGTACCAGGGGCGAGTCTATTCATAGGACGACCACTGATGACTTTCCCACAAAACGGTACTCGTTTTAACACCTCTGGAGGAGCGATGGGCTGGATGAACTCACAACCTTCCAAATTGCGATGAGACGAAACCGTCCAATGAGACTAAGCAGTCAGCCTAGTAGACCGAGTCCTCAACACGGGCGGAGAATTCAAGAAGTAAAGTTTACGTAGACAGTAACCATGGTCATAGTGATAGATGAGTGATAAGGTGGTGACTGGCCACTTACGAGTGACTGGAGTGAGTCGGTGTTGAATCATCATATGCACTTTGAACTTACAGTATTCCCTCGTTATTCACGAACTTGCTATCTGTGATTTCGGCGATTCACGAATTGCATCTGGAACTCTACGTGACTGCATCGAGGGAGAAAGAATGTGATGTGAGAAAGTGATGAGGTTAAGTGATGAAATAAATTGATGAAATAAAGTGATGGGTCTACGACTGTGCAGCATCATAATTTAAAGTAAGTTCATTTATAAACTATTATTTAATACTTTAATATTTGTTTTTATTTACATTATTACCGATTTGTATGTTATTGTGTTCTGATAATTTTAATGTATTTAATAGCTTATTTATGTTTTTATTTAAGGCCAATATCATTATCCACGAAATTTGGTTTTCACGAGCATCTCTGCAACGTATTCCTCGCAAATAACGAGGGGAAACTTGATATACTTTTTCTATTTTGTATATTTTTGTTTTTGCTTACCTTTCCTATAGTTTGCACTCCTAGCGTTTTTTGTATTGTTTGTTATTGTAACTTTCTGATGCTCCCCTACTGGACATCTGTGTTAATGAGCTTCATAGCTTATCATATTTCTCCTGGATAAATAAAGATTCTGATCAATCTTGTATTGTTATTATGTTTTACGCACAAATACACAGGACCTTGTTGGAGCGAGAGGCTCTGCTCGAGTTTGCAACACTCGGAACCTACCTGGAGTTCGACCTGTTTGGTACAGAGATCCTCGATTACCAGCTCAACCTCGATATCGACATGCCGAGCGACAATGAACGAATACACTGGTTAGAGAATGCACAACCAGTAATGCACATGCACGCACACAACACCACTGTATGAAATAATATTGCACTCAGATGCTTGCATTTAATGTCTTTATAAATAACAAAGTAAGCAGACGATACACCTCTTCTTTCCCTCAATGTGAAAACATTTAAGTACAGTAGGCTCTCGATTATCTGCATGTGGTTTATTCGATTTGCGTATTAATCCCACACCTACATTTTGACATAAATTAGTAACTCGTGGATTTCCCCTTAAGCCAAAATTAATAATCTAAAAACAGTTATACATTGTTATTCTTGGAAGTGTTTATTACAAGTCACATGCTTAAACCGAACAAATATGTGCTCTGGTTAATTAGAAATGCACATGATCGCCTCTGCAGTACAGTAGTTGCATATCTTTACAACACTGAACAGTGGGTGGAGTTTGATTGATGTTGATTGGCGTGTCTCTGCTATCCACTTCGTGGGCCGAGTCTTCTGCGCGGGAGCAGAAAAGTTAGTATGCGTTCTAAATAGAAAGAGTAACCATTGAAATCGTCAGTTGTGCTTTTTTTCGAGTGATTTATGTATTTATACATAGAGATCTACGGAAAATAGATATTTTTGGATTATCCGTGATTTTAAATCATCCGCGGCCGTCCTCCACTTTATTAGCATGGATAATCGAGAGTCTACTGTATTTTTGTTACACATCTCATTGGCCAAGCGACGTGCCCTCTGTGATAGCGTATACATGAAGAAGCACTGCCTCAGCACAAGCAAACTCTGGACTGGTTTCGGAATTCCTTGTCTTATCAGCAGTCAGGCTTTCTTTATTCAATACCAGTTAACTGCCAGAAGTTTATAGGATATGACCTTCTGTGTGAGATATGAGTTTGCTTGTGTTAAGGAATGCTGCTGAAAGTATGCACTCCCAGAAGGAAGGCCGTATGGCTAATGAGATGTGAGAAAAAATATTCCTTTGATTTATCTAAAGGGACCGATAGGGGAAGAAGGCGTATCGTCACTGTAAAAAAAAAAATGTTCCTGGGTAGTGTTATTTTCTTATTGCTTATGCCTCAAGAGTACAGAAAATGGCTATTATTCCCCAAAAACTTTGCTATTGTGACCAGAACACAATTAATAACACTGTGTAACAGATTGATTATTTTTTTGTTCCTGGGTCGTAAATGTTATTTCCTAATTGCTTATGCCTCAAAAGTACAGAAAATGGCAAAATGGCTATTATTCTCCACAAACTTTGCTTTTGTGACCAGGACAGTGATATTTTGAAGTGTACCTATTTTCAATGAGAAAACGTGTGCATTTGTGTCATTCCTTCACATAACGTCCTGGTCACAAAAGCAAAGTTTGTGGGGAATAATATCCATTTTCTATACTTTTGAGGCATAAACAATTCGAAAATAACACTACCCAGAAACAAAAATCGTGTTACTATTGGTCCTAGCTCTTCGCAAAACTGTAGAATACAGTAATACATCACGCAAGATAATAACGACGTGCCTACTCTGTGATGTGCGTCGTGTCTGTAGGATTGAGTTCCTGTTGGCGGAGGGGCTGGAGAAACGCCTACTTGTGTCACACGACATTCACACCAAACACCGCCTCACCACGTTTGGTGGACATGGGTTTGAGCACATCCTCACGAAAATCGCACCAAAGATGCTGCGGCGTGGGATGTCTCAGCACGTACTCGACTGCATCCTGCGTACAAACCCGCAAACATGGCTCGCCTGGCCTGAGCAGTGACTCCGTTTGATTGGAGGCCTGGGTACAGACAAAGGCTGCTAAAACCTTTTTTTTGTATTCCCGGAAACCGAATGAAAAGAAATATTAAGACCTGTTGCCAGTTTGCCCCACACTTAGAAATGTTTATCAATATGGATAACATTCATCTTTTTTCATTGAGAAATTGGAGGGAGCTGTCGTGGGGTAATGGTCAGCAGCACACTGGACTCGCGTTCCAGAGGTCACAGGTCGATCCCGTCTCCCAGTGTGGCAGTTTAAACAACGGCGAACTTTTTTTCAATGCCCCCCAGTTCTGTCCACCCAGCAGCATAAATGGGTATGCTACAGTCACTCAGCAGGTCACGTGCAGTGGGATCAGGTGTGGGTACTGCCACCTCTTCCAAGATGCCTGCTCAGTGTGGAGGAGAAGACAATACAGCTTGAAGCTCCCTCTGGTGGAGGCTCTTCTGCCAGCAGTAACGTGAGCCGGCAATTGCAGGATTGCACCTTTACCTTTCAAATAAGAAACGTGGGCAAATGTACTCGGGCTGTCGTGCGGTTTCTACGGTTGTGCGTGCATGTTAGTGTAATTTCACACGTTATCTCTTCCTCCATTTTGGAACTGATGGAAATCACAGTCTGCCACATTTTATTACCATTTTCTGTACCCAGTGACCTTGTGTCAGCCTTCGATATTCTCTAGAAAGAGCACTAGTTCTCTATGTAGCATTCTTTAATGTGATTATATTTTAAAATGTTGAGTTGCATATATGACTGTGACGATTGAATGTATTTTCCTCAAAGTGATTATGAAGGATTTAACAAAATGCAAATGAATTATTAAATATTTTATGAAATTCAAAATAATCTCTTAAGATCCGATTTAGTTGATAATTAAGATCAAGAAGTCAGCATGGACAATGCCGTTGATGCCACCACACCTCACGACCAACACTTTCTCCCCTCCGCCAGATCCCACAGCTACTGCAGAGTAGACACGCGACCTCCAAAGTCTGCGCTCACAGCATCCCACCACCATATCTGCTCTTAGGGCTTCCCATGGTGGATTCGTGGAGACCACTCAAAAACCTGCCTTGCCTCAGATTCCCACACCTTTAAACTCAAACTTGTATCTTTTTAATAGTGATTTCCATAACTATCAGCTGACAATGCGCCTCCTTCCAATATCTATCTCCCCACATACAAGTTAAAACAGTATGAGTAAATGACTTAGTGGGACCCCCTGATACCCAAACATTAAAAACTCGTGAATGATGTCACAGACCTCCCCCATTCACCCACCATCACAAGGCCCGCATTGTTACTTTTCCCTTCTTGATGCAAGACCGTTACTCTGCCGTGCGTGTACACGGCGACACCCAACTCTCTCTCTCTGCCAGGAATTTTCCACCAGTGTTCCCTGCTACCTAGTGCTAGCTCCATACAAAACAAGACCATGATGTCATTATGTTCTTGGCAAGTGCAACTAAGGTAGCACAGTGATCGTGTTTTCCATGGTGGACACAGGCTACCTATCCATATGCCACAATCCCACCAACTCCACGAGTCAGCAGGTGTGAATTTTGCCGTGTCGCTCGGAATCTCACGCAGCATTAACACTTTGATAGTCTGATGGTGTGCACACTGGTGCGGTACCACCTATTTGAGTGTGGCTGAGAACTTGCACAAAGCAAAACCATTGCATAGAGTAACAGACAATACGCCTCCATTAAATATCTGTCACTCCGTGTAAAAAATACAAGCATGTATGCATCACAAAGCATAATTACGTCTGATCAATTTTCAACAGCATTGTGGTCTCGTGTGATTCACTTACATGGTCGCAAATTAGTGTTCCCTATGCTTACTGCATGAGTGCTACAGCCCAAATATTGCTTTTGGAAACCTAAATATGAAATTAAATTATATGATTATTTTTCAAATACGGTTACTGAGCACAAGCCCAAAATGGCAAGCGGTCAGCAAAAAGCAGCACTGTGAAAGCTAGAATCGATACAGAGTTAATGCATTTCTTGAATTGAGCAAGGTTAGTATATAAGTGCTTGGGAAAAGAGACGATGGGGGGGAATTCGAAAGCGGAGAAGTGCGAGTGTGGTGGTTGAACACAGCGTGGATGGGTGAGTCCTCAACATGGGTGGAGGAATCAATGAGTGAAGTTCAAGGGAACAGTGACCATAGTAGTCACTATAAAAGAGTGTGAGTGAGTGGACGAGTGAATGAGTGGGTGAGTGAGAGTGAGTGTTTCAGCCATCTCGTTGCCCATTTTACGAGTGTGCCACTGAAGTCGGCACATTAACATTTCTGTTTCCATAGCATCGTGTAATCAGGCGGCAAGCATTAGGAGGCCCGAGCAAAGGGGCATGCGTCTGTGTAGTGTGCAGGACACTGAGAGCCAAGTGTGTGCGCTGTAAAGACAACCGCTTTGATTTACAAAGCGATTGTGCTGTTTGGTGCCACAAAAAGCGCACACAAGCATCGCCCTATTCATCCACGCCGTGCCGAACTTACGCACGTTAGAACGCAGATCTTGTACATGTTCTATCAACTGCTTTGTAAAGTCATTACGGTTTGGTACATTATTATGATCCGTACGTAGAGATATAAGTGTTCTTCGCTAGTGCTACCAAACGCTTTTGTATATTTTATGTTCAGCATTGCTGCTAGGCGTCATTGAGCAACTTCAGCTGTCTTACAATTGCGTTATGTTTATGTTCATATAGTATATGCGTAAACAGTCTGGACAGGTGGCTTAGTGGTAGAGTCAGCGGCTCGCATTCGGAAGGTTGCAAATTCAAATCCTTGTTGGTGAATTGACAGCCCTTTCATCCATCCGGGATCATTAAAATTAGTACCACATTGTGGGGCAGCCAACTATGGTTATCCAATGGAAAGACTCATCCCCACCACAAGGATGTAGTGGGACTGATGGTAAGGCATCACCGCAAATGTTTCTGTTGTGACGGTTTTTCTCGTTATTTACAGATTCGATTTTAATTTCACACTTGCAACTTTCATCAGCTGGATGAGACCTGGCTACTTTGGGTTTGAATGGGGTCCTAGGTGGATGAATGTCAGGCACATATAAAGCAATTGGCGGGACCCCGGGGTCCCGTCACTGCCCCGGGGTGGGAAAACCCGCATAGCGACACGAGTCTTGCCTTACCGACAACAAAACTAGTGTCAATCGATTAGCCTCGTCGAGAGCTACTCGGGGGCACTAAGTATCGTAAAAAGTTTAAAAATTACATAAACACGTTAAATTCACTGCGGGGGCGGGCTCGCCTTGGCAAAGAAGCTGAGGATCGACGGCTGACCGGAGGGCATCGTCGTCGCGCGCGACTGCGGCGGACACCCCCTGGGCTTGCGTTTGGCCGGTGGGGTGGCGCCCGTCGTGTTGATCGCCGCCTGCTGCTGCTGGCGCTTGTTGGCGCGAGTCTGGGCGGGCGGCGCATTGCTGTCGGGATCACGAGTGGGCGGACTGAAAAATAATCATCATTATTGACCTGATTTTTGCAAATGATTCATATAACCAATGACAAGCCGATGATCAGTTGGCAGATCATCTACACGGTAAGTATAGGTTTCAAGGACGTGAACCTGCATTTGCTCTTCAATCACTCTATAGTCCAGCAGACAGTCTTGCTTGACCTGTCGTCGTGCATTCATGATATGTAGATGCGCCGGATACTGGAAGGAACAGTTGGTGATGGGGAGGCGATCCCACAATAGCCTGGGACTCGCGTCCTGCCACACATTGCAATGCTCCCACACACCCTTAATTTTATTTATGAAAAGGGACACTTTGTTGCTAGACAGGTTGTCGTCCTGATTAGAGGACTTTACACCCATTGTGGTAAATGGAGACAGAACCAGTCCACCGCACCTCCTGAATTCCACAAAAGTCCAGGTGGTTATGTTCCACCTCCTGAAAAGAGGAATGGCAATCCTCTTCCCCGGCGAATGATCAGACATTCCACATGGCCAACAGCAGTGGTTTTCTGGGAGATGGCATAAACACCTGTCCCCCCAAGGGCTTCTGGCACAAGTTTAATTTGGTGTTCGGAAATTGGTCTACAGCTTGGAGAGATTACGAGTTCCTCGTTTCTGTCCAGTGTGCCCAACCCCGTTAGCCACCGTGATGGCTGTGAGCACACCATGAGGATAAACAGCTGATTATCATCAGCCTTATACTGTATACACAAAATCCCCCGTATAGCCTTAACAGCAACTGCTATTAGCAAGCATCCAATGAAGTCCGGCACGGCACACGAGAGGATGGGTTTCCAGTACCACGCCCGGCCACCTTTGTCTCCATAGTGGCGGTTTACACACCGCACCAGGTACTCATTTGAGGCTGAGTCGACCAGGGGAGACCCAAGATCGGTTCAGATAATCGTCACCGGTGTTGGCCGTGAGCGGGAATCGAACTCGGGTCGCCGAGTTCGTAGCGCAGCACGTTAACCTCTATGCTAACATACGCACATCCAGTATACACTCAGATACACATTACACTCACATAGACATACAGTCGATCATCGATAATTATCCAGCGGCTTGGGGGTGAAGGGTGCATCGGATTTACAAAAACGACGGATAATCACTAAGTAATTATTTAAAATTGCTTATTTTTGCACATTCTTATCTAACATGTTTTTTAAGCGTTTTTAATTTGTTTACTAAATGAAATTGGAATAAATAAGCATTCAAATAGACAACAATAAATATCCTACTCCAAAAAGTTATTATATTTACTGTTTCGTACTTACCACTCCAATTTCGAAGAATCTGCACCATGGGGTAATGTCCCTAGCACAACTGTAGTGACTAACTATTAGCAAGCACCATCGGGGTTAACACGCTTAATAATTAGTCCATCTATTGCCGGCGACGCTACTCAGTCAGGACAGTTGGTAGGCTGCCTGACTGGTGGCGCCCCGAGATGGTGGAGACGCAGACGACGACAAGAAGGATGGTGAAGACGGCGAGAAGAATGGTGAAGACAACGAGAAGAATGGTGACGAAGACTTCAGCAGCACGACGGGGAAACTACTCCAACAACAGCCCAGAGGTCCCCTACAGGGGGCCCCTCTTATGCTGTCAGCATTGCCTTGCTCCGCCCCCGGCCACGCCCCCTTTATGGAAGCTACTAGCAGGTTCTTTGGTGTGCCCCTCCTGTGACCTTTCCCCTAGATCCCCCTCTGGTGTATATCCTGGCCTGCTGATGTCAAGGCTGCTGTACGCCACAGATCCCCTTTCCTGCCAGGAGCCAGCACTATGCTACTACTTTATGCCACTATATCACCCCCCCCACCCCGTGAAAAAAAACCAGCCGTCCCGGCTGACACCAATCACATATGTAGCGGGGGAACTCACAAAAATGCGCTGACGCAATTAAGCTAACATGGAGGGATAACGAGTTTTAGGCGAGAATTCTTAACAATGAACCCGAACCACAAGGAAGTGAACAATGTTCAATGGCCGCCGGCGTGCCGCTGCGTGCGAGCATCAGGAGGACCCCAGGTCAACCGGTAGTCACAGCCCATCTCGCGTCTGTGGCCACCCGCCAGACAGCATCGGAACTCAATTTGACAACGGAAAAGGGAGCGGGTCATCGAAATGAAGCACTCTTTGAATGGGTCCTCGCCGCTGGACCCACAGCTGGGACGGGAATTGGCATGCTGGGGACCCCTGCGACACTACGAAAATGGCCTAATGGGCACGGCACTCCCGGGAAGAAGATGGCAACCGGTTCCTCACACCCGGTTCCTCACGTCTTTTGGAGGTGCTGCCGGTGGGTCTGCGGGTGTCAGGCGCTAGAATCCTGTGGGCGATACAATGGAATCTTTCTGAGGCGTAACCTCCGGGCTCGCCCGCCCCGGCTCGTCGGACACGTCAGACACCCAGCACTCAGGAGGTGGAGATGAACAGTCAACATAGGGTGGAATATAGGGTTTCAACTGTGACAGGTGCATAAACCAGCGACTGACCTGTATACGCATGCACTGCAGCCGCTTGACTTCTACCACCTCAACAGGGCCCTGCCATGGCCGGTGCAATTTAGGGGACGTACCCAGGGGCACCTGGGGACAAAGCAACCATGCCTTGTCCCGAGCGGTCCATGGGGTCCCGGACTGCCGTTGCCCTACGAGTTTTTCATTCGCGGCCTGTCGTTTAGCTGAATTCCCTCGAGACGCCTCCTGTGCCTCCGTCAGCCGCCTAATCATGACCTGCATGGACATGGGTATAACGGCCTTATTTTTGCCCAGGTCCATGCCTAACTGAGCCTCCATGGGAGGGTCACTTTCCCTCCCATACATGAGGTAAAACAGGAAGAATCTTGTTGAGGCGTGAGGGGGCATCCTATACACGGTCAGGACACCGGGAATGTGTAAGTCCCAGTCTGACTGAGTCTCATTAACCTGTTGGCACAACATGGGTGTAAGTGTCCTGTGCAAGCGCTCCACTATCCCGTCCATCTGGGGATGGTAGGGCGATGTCCGGATTTTTTTCATTCCCAGGGAATCACACACCTTTAACAATTTCGAAGAAAAATTTCGCCCCTGGTCCATAAGAAGTTGTTCCAGGGCCCCTTTGTCCAAAACGCACCCGTGTAAAAATGCATCCACAATGGATGTGGCTGACTGATCTGGCAGAGGCCATGCCATCAGCCACTGAGACAGGTATTCCACACCGACGAGGAGGAATTTGTTTCCCCTTTGAGTGGCGGGAAACGGCCCGAGGATTTCCCAGAGCAACCAGCTTGTT